AGCATATTAAGTTGTAAGATCATCACACTATATTTAAAATAGAAATACGCAAGACATCTTCAAATAAGGCATAGGGCATGTATCATAAATATACTTAGTTCATAAAAACATTAAATACAAAAATAACCTCATTATTTGATGAAATAGAACATCATGATAAAATAGTAAATTGTATACGTTATAAAATGGTTCTTCGGAAAATCTGATTGCAAATTAATTTGCTGTTACCACAGGTACTTGTCTTGGCAAAAAAACCTATATAACTTGATATATAATAAGGTATATAGTTATTTTTTTTAAGAGACAAGTGCCTGTGGCTGGCCTGCAACTCATTTAAGCCTTCTTTTGTAATGAAAACCGTAGATATGCTAGATATATATGCTGGAACTGTGTTAAGATGATTGAAGATGTTAATAAGAGGTTAAGAAATCATTATACACAAAACAAAGTGACGTTCCTGAATAGTTAAAACTTTATGTTGTATTTTCACCCATAACAATTACAAGTAAGTGGACAGTACGGTAACTACAATTTGACATAATAAAAGAATAATTAATAGTTATTTTTCCCATCCACTTGACTTCTGACCATGTAACTGATTACAACAATTTTTACAGACATATTTTGCATTTGAATTTAAGTCGGATATTATATAATGCGCTGTAAAAAATACTGTATAATAATAATAAGGTTATAACGACAAACTTTGCTTTATCATCACATGAAATATTATTGCGAACCCAATTAGTTTTCCACAGTGCAATCTCTATCTGGTCAAGGTATTTAAACTTTTGTAAGTTCTCTTGTCCCATCAAATGAATACAATAGCTATTGTTATCTGTGTAGTTTATTCACTGGAACCTTTAAATTTCTTCTAAGAGAAATCTATCACTCATTGATTAATTTACCTGAATCATGAACATTTTTTCTTATATATAGACAAAAATACTTTTTTTATACTCATTAACTGCCTGTGATGATGTATTTATTCAAAATTGATAATATATTATCAATCTTTTCAATATAAACACTGATTTAATCATAAAAATTTGATTTCTAACAAAAGTTTAAGTAATGTTCCCATTGAAATTTGCATTTTTTTTTTTTTTGTTTAGTTATAGAATACATTTAAGTAGGTCTTAATTTGAACATCATAATTTTCAAGATTTTATTTGTCAAACACACAAAAAAAAACAAATTCTAAAGTTTTGTCAGAAATCAACTTTTATTAATGTTTGAATCGCTGTTTACATTCAACAAATTGAAAATATCTTATTAATATTGAATAAATACAACATCACATGCAGTTTTGAGTATAAAACATGTATTTTGGTCTATTTAGAAGATTTTTTTTTACTCAGGTAAATTAATCAATGAGTGATAGATTTCTCTTAGAAGAAATTTAAAGGTCCCAGAGAATAAACTAAACAGTGAACAATAGCTATTGTATTTATTCAATAGGACAGGTGAACTTACAAAAGTTTAAATACCTTGACCAGATAGAGATGGTACTGTGGAAAACTTTCATTGGGTTTGCAATAATATCATTACAATTAAACACAACTATTTGATTATGATATTTTGTATCAGCTGAAATGGCCTGAACTTTTTCATGAATTACCTGGGTTTTTTTATTTACAGCAGGTGAACTGGTCTTGTACAGAATACCAAAATTTTCCTTCTATATACACTTATTCGTACAGGTTTATTTAATGACCTTAAATACTGAATGTTTCTAATACAATGTAAATTCTTACAAACACTTTCCAATGCTGATTATATTAATATGGGCACTTTCCTTATAACGGGGTAATACATACTGACACTTTCCATGTATAAGCTATATTCATACGGACACTTTCCATGTATAAGCTATATTCATACGGACACTTTTCATGTATAAGCTATATTCATACTGACACTTTCCATGTATAAGCTATATTCATACTGACACTTTCCATGTATATGCTATATTCATACGGACACTTTCCATATATAAGCTATATTCATACTGACACTTTACATGTATAAGTTATATTCATACTGACACTTTCCATGTATTTAAGCTATATTCATACTGACACTTTCCATGTATAAGCTATATTCATACTGACACTTTCTGTGTAAAAGTTATATTCATACTGACACTTTCCATGTATAAGCTATATTCATACGGACACTTTCCATGTATAAGCTATATTCATACGGACACTTTTCATGTATAAGCTATATTCATACTGACACTTTCCATGTATATGCTATATTCATACGGACACTTTCCATATATAAGCTATATTCATACTGACACTTTACATGTATAAGTTATATTCATACTGACACTTTCCATGTATTTAAGCTATATTCATACTGACACTTTCCATGTATAAGCTATATTCATACTGACACTTTCTGTGTAAAAGTTATATTCATACTGACACTTTCCATGTATAAGCTATATTCATACTGATACTTTCCATGTAAAACCTATATTCATACTGTCACATTTCATGTATAAGTTATATTTAAACTGAGACTTTCCTTATACCGAGGTTATACATACTGACACTTTCAATGTATAAACTTTAATTGTACTGATACTTTCTATATACCAGCTATATTCATACATATGTATATGCTTTTTTGAAAGTTTTACTTTCAAACTGATCTGCTGTCTTGTTTTGAATGATTTTTTTTACATCTGTCAATTTCTTGGTACATTGTACCACCCCTTTAACAACTTTAGTTAACATGATCCAAGAAAATGAGGTCAAGGTCAGATAAAGCAAACTGGAAATACATGTACATCATCTTACAGTCATTCCAATTGATCAATGAATCATGAAAATTAGGTCAAGGTCAGATGAACCCTGCCAGACAGACATAGATATAAGAAGATGTGGTATGAGTGCCAATGAGACAACTCTCCATCCAAGTCAAAATTTATAAAAGTAAACCATTATAGGTCACAGTACGGTCTTCAACACGAAGCCTTGGCTCACACCGAACAGTAAGCTATAAAGGGCCCAAAAAATTACTAGTGTAAAACCATTCAAACGGGAAAACCAACGGTCTAATCTATATAAAAAACGAGAAACGAGATACACTTATGAACCACATCAACAAACGACAACTACTGAACATCAGATTCCTGACTTAGGACAGGTGCAAACAAATGCAGCAGGTTTAAACGTTTTAATGGTACCAAACTTTCACCCTTTTTCTGAAACAATAGTGTAACATCACAACATAGAAAGACACACTATAAAATATCAACTGAAATAGCTTAACTCAATCAAAGGACATATTAACACCATTGAACATACACTGAACAAATAAATTTGACCTATGATACAATGTAAATACAAGATAAATAAACTAAGGGAAGAATAATAAAAGTAACATGTTATATCGGTATGAAATGTTAAACAATTAAAGAAAAACAATATGCTCGAACAATAATATCAGCCATTTGCAATAACTTTAAACACAGGTAAATGAAAATAATATTGTTGTTAGGTATACGTGTACAGTTCCAATAGAGAAAGGAAATGTACACTATACAATTAGTACATGCTTTAAATATATTTGACCTATTGCATATAGTATCTAAGAAACAACTTAACCAGGAAAACTTAAGATTGACCAATGAACCATGAAAATGAGGTCAAGGTCAGATGATAATTGCCAGACAGACATATACACCTTACAATCATTCAATACACCAAACGTAGTTGACCTATTGCTTATAGTATTAGAAAAATAGACCAAAAAAACAAAAAATCAACATTGAGCAATGAACCGTAAAAATAAGGTCAAGGTCAAATAAAACATGCCAGACTGACATGTACATCGTAAAATATTTTCATACACCAAATAAAGTTGACCTATTGCATACAGTATTAGAAAAACAGACCAAAACACAAAAACTTAACTTTAACCAGTGAACCATGAAAATGAGGTCAAGGTCAGATGACACCTGCCAGTTGTACATGTACACCTTACAATCATTCCATACACCAAATATAGTAAGCCTATTGCTTATAGTATCTGCGATATGGTTTGACCACGAAAACTTAACCTTGTTCACTGATCCATGAAATGAGGTCGAGCTCAAGTGAAAATTGTCTGACAGGCACAAGGACCTTGCAAGGTACGCACTAGCTGCGAAAATGTAACTCTATTGTCCTTTGAAAATTATTTTGGCATATATTGTCCTTTGAAATTTTTTTTGCAATAGAGCTACGTTTTTGCAGCTAGGTACGCACATACCAAATATAGTTATCCTATTACTCAAAATAAGAGAGAAATCAAGAATACTAAAAATCTTAACTTTTTTTTCAAGTAGTCACTGAACCATGAAAATGAGGTCAAGGACAATGGACATATGACAGATAGAAACTTCATAGCATAAGGCATCTATGTACAAAGTATGAAGGATCCAGGTCTTCTACCTCCTGAAATATCAAGCTTTTAAGAAGTTTGTTAACGCCGCCGCCGCTGGATCACTATCCCTATGTCGCGCTTTCTGCGACAGAAGTCAAAGGCTTGACAATAAAATTAAGCAAAATTTGTATTGAATGTGAACTCAACATGGATAACTGGAATCTCAATGCATCCCCTAATGAAAGGCATTTGACTGTATTTGTAGGAAGAATACTCAAGTTTAATAAATAATTGAGTTATAACTCAAATTTGTTCCTTCAGTGTAAGTAGTATATGTGATGGTTATCAATAAATATCAAAGAGTACCCCTTAAGTCAATACAAAGGGCTAACTTGAACTGGCTGTAAGGTATGAGGCATTTTGTTCATTGTTGAAGACCTTCTAGCAACTGACCATAGTAATAAAGGAACCATTTCTTTGCTTTATTGCTTGTTTCCTAGTATGTCATTAGATTTTTTTCTAGTGTCATTTGCCTCATGTCCCTTCTTTTCCTGCATACACAAAGATGAATGCAAACATGTCCAGGTAAACAAATGGCACATAAATCAGAGACAAACTATTATCTAAATATTTTAATATTAAATTTTTATAAAACAACATATAGAAAAATATGAAAATATTATGAAATATAATAACAGAACAATAAGAATCACAGCAATGCTCCTGACAATAGTATTTACAAATAACAAAAACTCTCATAAAGTAAACATCTGGAAGTCCTGGTGCTAATTCTTCACAATATTTTGATTATTATGTATGAAGACTATAATCATATTATTAAAGCTTCTTTTAATTCGTTTTATCTCATTGAAGGTGACAAACAGTGAAATAATAAAAAAAAAATAATTTCCAAACAAATACTGTTGATGACAGCAGGCATGGTGAAAACATCTCTTTTTCATAGTTTTATGCAGATAACACTTTTAATTCACACATAAAATTTCCGCTTTAGATTGAAAAAATCACTTATAAAATTACGGAAAATATAAATAAAAACCTTTCTCTATTCATTCGGTAAAGTTTGTTCTTTGACAAAGCATGCTTCTTATTCTACATATACCAAGGATCAGTCATAAGACAAATATAACAGTGTCCAGAGTGTTTTTCTTAAACAAAATGAAAATTCATGAAAAATTGCACTTCATGGAGAATGTGAAAGAATGTTGAACATTGTGATTGGAATGTTTATCTGAAGTGTCTGTTACCCTTCACAATCAATCATAAAACAGATAACAAATTTCAAGAAAGTCTCAAAAACAATTCAAACTAAATGGCACAACATAAAAAAAATCAACATTCCTTTAAAAAGTTATAAAGCTGACATTTGCGGTACCATTGAGTAATGCAGAAAAAATATTATTCAATGACATTAGTTCCTACTTGGTCATATTAAAAATAAGTATAAATGTTGAATGAAGGCTATTGTAAAATGACTGCAATAACTTATATTTTCTTTAACAATTACTGGTACATATCAATTCTTTAATTGATTTTTGTGGATTTGACAAAGTAACATATACAAGCTGTTAGAAAATTTAAAGTTTGTTGACCATATAAATTAGTGGCTTTCCTACACCCATGAAATCCACAAAAACTGGTACCGCATACATAATAATGAATCCACAGTAATGGATCATGGTTGTCATTGCACATCTCTATATAAGGCCTGAATAGACATGTATTTTTTTTAACAATTCATATAACACCTTACAGTTATTTTTGATATGCTTAAAACAATTTACCCTATAATTTCACCTGAAATGCATTGCCATAAGTAAGGCCATATAACAAATACTATAAGGTCCTTAATAAATACCACAGTATCTGTACAAAAATTAGTCACTGGGTCATAATTAATGACAATAAAAACATAAATTCAGGTTTGAATATTTTAATTTAGCACTAATATTAAAACAATTCCAAACATTTTGTATGTACTTTTAATAGAGTTCTATGTAAAACCCTGCAGTAGGGACAAGCTTGGAATTTGAAATGGCTCACAATTCGTGAATTTGAAAAAGAAAAAACTTCATTCTTTGGTGCCACAGGTGCCAAATTTTGTATTTAGCAATTTTTGAAAATCTTCACTAAATCTGATTAAAAATGGCAATAGTTCAAATAGCTCTTTTTTTGCCTGAGAGCAGTCAATATTCTTGTGGTCAGATCATACCCTACAAAATAATGCCAAAATAAAGTAAAATGTGTGTTTGAAATCTAAATCAACATAACCGTTTGGAAGAAAGATTTACCAGACATGATAGATTATCCAATTAAAGACAAAATAACATGGATATTTGAAAACTACTTAATAAAATAATAGTTTGAAATAAAATTAAGTAGGAAAACATACACACTCTTTCTATATAAAGATCTGGAATGCAATTTAACTTTTAAATCTATTGGAGAAGGTCATAAATGAAGAAAATACAATAAACAATTTTTCAAACCCACTAGAAAAGCCCAGTAGTCTACAAAAATAATGATTCATAAATGCTATAAAATTCTAAACTACATGTAAAGCTATCGTATGGAGCACCATTATTTGTACCAATAAATGCAATTCAATGTATTGTGCAAACTGAAGTCCTATAAGATGTGATATGTTGTCATGACAAAATTTAAGTAAGCTAAAAATTCAAGATTATCTATAATAAAAATAGTATTTAAATATCACAGTTAGGTAATAAAGTGTTCTAACAAAAAGTTATTGTATTAATAGTGATAATATTATTATAGAATGATAGATGACCTGCATTACCATAGTTACAAATTATTGTGAATGTTCAACAAAGTGTGATTAATGATTAAAAATTCTAATAAGTATGACTAGTTCAAAATGCTTCAAATGCACTCTTTTTATTTTTTTTCATTCAATGCATTTTTTTAAATTCTTCATCTTTCATCAATATATAGGTCTTTATTTACTTTAGGAGATCCAGCCCATATAGGGATATACTGAACTAACCCTTATTCTACACCTAACCCTAACCAATACCTAACATTAGCCCAACCCTTAACCCTAACCTGAAACAAACGCTGACCTGACCCTAAAGTCTAGGGTCCCCTTAAGTAAACAAAAGACTCCATATCTGTCTTGATATTTCACTGTTTTATTTCTCCAATATAGAAACATTTGCAATGGGTTTGACTGACTTTTCTAATGATATGTAGGTGTATAAATTTTCAGCTTTTCTGGACGATTTTTAAACTTTTAGATAAAGCAAAGAGGAACTAAAATAGAGAATGGAAAAAGGGAATGTGTCAAAAAGACAACAACCGACCACAGTGCTTAAGAAGTTTAAATTTTTTCTTTACATTTTGACTACTAATTAAATGTTCTCGTACATCTATTGCTTCATTCAGACAGAACATCTAAGTTTTCTTCTTGCTCCTCAAAATAATCTCCATCAATCTGTCCATTTTCTTTTGATTGACTTTCCTCTTCTCCTTCCTTTTTCTCAGTGTCTTTTTCACTTTCCACAAAACCCACTTTTTTCTCTGACCCTGTAGATGATTTTCTACTATCACTTATGGTGTCCTTAGAAGTTTTAGTTCCATTTTTGCTTGGCCTGTGTTTCCTCCTTGGTTTTCTGTATGCATTCCAAACACGAATTGTTTTGTCCCAAGAACATGACACATACTGAAATGTAAATTTGTATTACTGTCAGAAACGTCATAGCATAACAAATGATCATCAGTGTTGTGAAATGTTTTCAGAAAATTTTGTGTCATTGAAACCATGAAGAAGGCCATTAAGGCCCAATTTTTTAACACAAAAAACGTGAATAAATGCTCATATTATATGAAAATGTATAAAACAAGAATTATTAATCAATTTGACCCAATATTTAAACTTATGACAGCACATATTTTAAGAAAATGAAAAAAATACTAATTTTATGCAGTTTTCCATTCTTTTATGGAAACATCGTCCACAGCATAATAATTCAAGAGTTTTCTTATTGCTATTTACACAATCCTACCAAATATAGAGTTTTCATATTTCTGTGCCTATAATTTTACAAAATATTCTCAAAAGTTGATACAAAACAAAAAATTATTTTTATTAAAGGGTTCAACAGAACCATATGTCTTGCCTGCAACTGATGCAGTCAGACAAAAAACTAAGAAATATTGATATGAAATTAAAAAAAATAGCTCATGGTGCTATCTTAGTATTGTGAAGATGCTTCTGTCTAAGTTCTGTAAGATACTATGAAGCTTTGACCAAGTTATTCAAGTTTTAAAATCTTTAACTAATGACTACGAAATATAAAATAAGGAGATGTGGTATGAATGCCAATTAGACATCTATTCAACAGAGTCCAAATGACTTCTCTTTTAGCAATTATGGGTCAACAAAAAGCAAAACCTATACTGTATAGTCAACTGTAAAAGGCCCTGACATGACATAATGTGTAACGATTCAAACTAAAAAAAAACTGCATGATTTATGACATTTTAGGACCTGTCAAAAGTATAATTTGAATTCGAGGTCTTAATTAAAAATACAGTTTTTTTACAATTCTAAGTTGACATTTGAATTGGATGAACAAAAATACCCGTTGATAGACATACCTGATTTCTTTCTGTAATATGCATGATTGTTCTCACTGAATCTGTGTGCCCTTCATTAGTCTGAACAAGTCTATAATTTTCTGGATCATATACCCTGAGTATAAAAATACATATTATATATCATATTTATATAGCTGATTGATACTTACACAAAAAAACTTACAAGAAAAGACTTGTAAAGCATGAACATTTCAGTAGAACAAATTTTATCTTAAGATTTTTTGTGAAAAGAGCCCCTGATCTGTAACTACCTATTAAAGTTTAATATCAGACACAAAGCCATAAAAAGTGTTCATAACTTCCATGTTGTCCAATTTAGTCAAAAGCCAACCAAAAACAAATGAATAATCTAACTGTAAATAATAAACTGTTATCACAGAGATGTGTCTCGCCGTTTTGTAATTTTGATAATGCAAATGTTGAAATTAAAATAGCAATACTTTAACATGTAAGTTATGCAATTGTTCACAGTTGATGAACCATGACTGAAGGTGCATGGCTAAACAATCTCCATGGAAATGAGATGTGCCAATGCTAATACAACTGCATACCAAATACCATTGACTTATTATAAGTCGTTCCCTTTAAACAAAACAAAACACAAACATTAACTTGTAAACTATGTAAAAGTTTGAAAGTCAATGAACAATGATGAGGGGGTGGGGCTATATAATCTCCATGGAAACAATAATTGCAAATGCCAATAAATTTGCATACAATATATCATTGACTTAACATTAGCAGTTCATTTTAAACTGATCTAATCACAAACTAAAACATGTAAACTAAGCAAAAGTTTCAAAGTCAATAGACCATGACTGAGGGGGCAGGGCCAAATATTCTCCATGGAAATGAGATGTGCTAATGCTTATACAACTGAATACCAATTAACATTGGCCTACCACTAATGGTTCCCTAATGGTTCCACTTAAACTGACCTAATCACAAACTAATACATGTAAACTAAGCAAAATTTTCAAAGTTAATAGACCATGACTAAGGGGGCGGAGCCAAATAATCTCCATGGAAATGAGATATGCCAATGCTTATATAACTGCATACCAAATACCATTGACCTACCACTAGTGGATCCCCATAAACGGACCTAATCACAAACTCATACATGTAAACTAAGCAAAAGTTTCAAAGTCAATAGACCATGACTGAGGGGGCAGAGCCAAACAATCTCCATGGAAATGAGATGTGCCAATGCTAATACAACTGCATACCAAATACCATTGACTTATTATAAGTCGTTCCCTTTAAACAAAACAAAACACAAACATTAACTTGTAAACTATGTAAAAGTTTGAAAGTCAATGAACAATGATGAGGGGGTGGGGCTATATAATCTCCATGGAAACAATAATTGCAAATGCCAATAAATTTGCATACAATATATCATTGACTAAACATTAGCAGTTCATTTTAAACTGATCTAATCACAAACTAAAACATGTAAACTAAGCAAAAGTTTCAAAGTCAATAGACCATGACTGAGGGGGCAGGGCCAAATATTCTCCATGGAAATGAGATGTGCTAATGCTTATACAACTGAATACCAATTAACATTGGCCTACCACTAATGGTTCCCTAATGGTTCCACTTAAACTGACCTAATCACAAACTAATACATGTAAACTAAGCAAAATTTTCAAAGTTAATAGACCATGACTAAGGGGGCGGAGCCAAATAATCTCCATGGAAATGAGATATGCCAATGCTTATATAACTGCATACCAAATACCATTGACCTACCACTAGTGGATCCCCATAAACGGACCTAATCACAAACTCATACATGTAAACTAAGCAAAAGTTTCAAAGTCAATAGACCATGACTGAGGGGGCAGAGCCAAATAATCTCCATGGAAATGAGATGTGACAATGCTAATACAACTGCATACCAAATATCATTGACCTACCACTTGTGGTTCACCATAAACTAGATCTAATCACAAACTAATACATTGTTGCCGCCGCCGCCACTGCCGACGCCGGAAACAGCACACCTATGTCTCGCTTTTTGACTCTGTCAAGGCGAAACAAAAAAAAAGGATAAAAGTCCAGTGACTGATTTAAAAAAATATATCTTAAGAGAAAAATACTTGAAAGGCATGAAAATATCAGTATAACTTACGATTAATTTTTATTGCAAGATATTTGTGAAAAGAGCCCTAGTATTTGATGAAGGCAATTTTTCATTTTTCATTGTTTTAAAATCTTCAAATACATGAGTTGACAACCGGTGCAATTTAATGGATATAAGTAGATGGATTAACAAACTTGTATATTCCGTTAACTTTTATTTACCAACATCAATGCTAAATTTTATAAAGTAATGTCGAATAAGGCTTGAACAAATAACTTCAATTTACTCCCCTTAACAAATTAAGATAAAATTTGGCACTTTGAATGACATATAGTTCTTATCTGTCAATTTATTTTTTTATTTCATTCAATATCACATTGAATTTTCTGTCTTGCATCAAATTTTTTCATGCAACTTGATAAAATTAGATAGCAAGTTGTCTGCTTCTTTCTGGTCAATTACTTTTAACATTTGCAAACTAATATCTTCAATCTTACAGTGCTTCAAAATCTTTTCAGATGTTACTTCCTTAGGGTAAACATTTGAGTCTGCATTGAAAAGTTTTAGTTAAAATGCTATATATGTTTTTTGTTAACCAGGGTTTAAGCTAGGATTTTGAGGGCTTTAGTCACTTTTGCGCAGGATGAAGAAATCTTATTTTGGTTAGCAGCAAGGGACCTAGGATGTTTATTACTATCTATACATCTTTGTCAGACTTTGAAGGACTTAAGCATACACGGCAGTTACAGCATGATTTGACTGATGTAGCACTTTAATACGAAGATTAGGATATAAGATCTAGAAATCTAGTTCACAATTTCACTTCAGTTAGTTTCAGGGTACATTCCTAATCAGCAAAAATTTGGATCCAATTTTTTAAAACCAGGAATAACAGCATAAATGAACTTGTAAGGACTATTTCACTGCATTATTCATACTCATTATCCTTAAAAACGTTTTAAAGCGATATTTAGAATTAATTCTACACAGTTGGAACCAAGGATTTGTACAAATCCTTATTGGAACAATTCTAATGACTTTAAATTGTAAATTTATCATGAATAGATCCTGTTTACTTTCGATTTCCAAATGAAATGAAAACGGGAAGTGACAAGTGGATAATAAATTCAGAATGAATCCAGATTCATCTACGGATTGGTTCGTGTTTAAAAAAGGCAGGAAATTATCATTTTTTAAATAAAATTTGCTTAATAAGAACTATATTTCTCTCTCTCGTTAAGTTTGATACTTAATCATTTTGTATTTTACGTTTTAGTGTCTTTAAATACATAAGAATACTTTCGTGCATGCGCAGTTTATCGTAAAGGAAGCACCTGTTTGACTCCTGAAAACATTTCTGAATATGAATAAAGTTCTATCTTTTTAATCGAAATTGTCGAAAGTTTTTGATTAAAATTTATATCAAATATGACGAAAATACATTCATTTGACGAAACTACGACAGGCAAACTGCAAATTGTGATCGTTTGAGAAATATTGAAATTAAAATGCGAACTGTCCGAGGGAAAACTTGAATGACGAAACTACGACAAACGAACTGCAAATTGTGCTCGTTTGATAAATATTGAAATTGAAATGCCGACCGACTGATTTTAATGGGGAAAATAATTATGATGATCAATTATGAGGTTGATAAATAATTAACGGATGAGTGACCCATCCGATGGAGATAAGCGGATTATCTGTAATCACAACTTGTAACACCTGTTGTAAATGTTAATTAGCTGAGGGTCATAAACTTGTCAGAAACAATAAGACAGGTAGAATTATAGTATTTTCATGCGAAAATATTTTTACTCTTTCCAATTTAAGTGACGAAATTGATTTGGAATACTTTCGTCATTTTGAAAACCGTTTCATAAATGACGAAAATGACGAGCGCTAGCAAAATCACTGTGTTAACTCAATCTGACATACATTACCTGATAAAATTTTGAACACCAACTATTATGCATCCATTGAGATGATCTATACACATACAGCTAACAGCACCTTGTGCTGACAATATTGCCTCACATTTATTTAATCCATGGCCAGCCTGTCAATAAAAAGAAGCATAACATTTCCATACTAATATTTCACTGATCATTCAACATTTTGTTTTGAATTCAATTAAGATTTATAAGATTATTATTTTATTATTTTATTGAGGTATAAGAGTGTTGACAGAAGCACATTTCGTATGAAGCGTGGAAGCACTTCATGTCAGAAATGTGCACAGATTTAGCACAGATTTAGCATGTTTACAACCCTATTAAATTAGAAAAAGAAGCATTCAATTCTTACAATTACATTTTTATGCCAATCAAAATTTCAGATTCTAATGAAGCATACATATAAATGTAATTATTGTTACAGATAACCATTATATATGCCATCAAATACTTATGTTAGAAGATTGATTGATTGATTGGTGTTTAACACCACTTTCAACACTATTGTTCTATTTCGTGGCGTATAAAATTTACAGGAAAATAACATTGGATGTCATTTATATTAACATACATCTGACATGTATAAATTTAATCTGGAGGTTTTTTTTATCATAATTATATGCAAATGAAATAAGCAAATAAATGAACAATTGATGTGATATGATATTCCTCAACTTAATTTGTATTTTAAACCTGTCTCATTGAGGATGTAGTTGACTGGTTGCGGTTTGCTTTATGTCTAATGGCAAACTAATTCAGGATATGAAAGAGAATCAGTGGATTGTTATCAAATAATATGCTTCTTTAATATTTGTGAGTTTTTGCAATGTTTAAATTTTTTATCAATGAAAATATAAACATATCACCCAGACCTGATTGTATACCTACCAGAAAAAGCACTATTTTATCAATGAGATTTTATACATACCCAAATCCTGATTGTAGCATCATCTGACCCAGTTACCCAGAATCCTTTGCCATGAGGATTCCATCGAACACATGTAATTTCTCCTTCATGACCTTGCAGTGTATTCTGTAAGGTCATCTTTGACCCATCCAATGAAAACTTTCTGATATATACCATACCATCTGATGATGAATATGCAAATTCATTACTGAAAAACAAGTTTTCATTAAAATCCAATGAAATGTCACATTCAATATAAAACTAGTTTAAACTTTATTTACATTTCTTTTCTTATAATTCTATAATAATAGAAATTAGTCTGGACTGTGTGTTATTTTGATGGTACAATGCAAATGTTGAAATTAATTTCTAATATTTTAAAATTTCATTTATAAAGCTTTAGTAGACTCCCAGTGAATGTTCATCTCGATTCCAGTAAATTTTGATAAAATAATTGTGTGCAGTTGATATTAATTAAATCATCCTGACTATTTGCAAACAATCCATCATGACTTTATGATTACAAATGTCTGGAAATATGCACACAGAATGTCCATAATGTAAACTTAAACTTGCGTAATTGTATAAAAAACTAAATGTTAATAGTTCTTACTAAGAAATTTAGACTATACTTAACATATTTTACACTTACTATTTAGGAGAGAAATCCATTTCCATAATAACACCATCACAAGCTAGTTCTAAATTATCTAACTTTGGATCAGGTGCTGTGTTTCTAAAGGTGTCATGAAGCCTGAAAAATATATTACACTGCTGTAGATTACTCCCTAGTTATAGTCATGTACAATCTTACCAATACATCTATTTTAATTTTTAATTTACTTTAAATACAAGAGACTGTATCACTCATCTGGCATTATGCCAAAAAATAATCTGATACAATACAAGATGATTATTTTGATAGATCTTGACATTCTGAGCATTTTTGCCCTTGTCAGATTTTCTCAATCTATTATAATTTTCAAGATATAAGACAAATAACGCATTTTACCCTGAAGTATATTTTTAGCAATGGCGGCCAAATTTTTTTACTGACCAGGAAAAAAGACACAAACTTAATAATAGAAACCATAAGAATCATTCACCACAAGTGCCGTTCAAATTGGTTCAGTAGTTTCAGAGAGGATCTTGGAAAAAGTTACCCTGACCCATTATTCTGACTCCTTTATGTTGCATGCTTAGTGGAGGCAGCAAATACCAATTTTAGAGTCTTTGGTTTGACCTGGACAAGGATCGAACCAAATAACTCCCACACTCAGGGCGAGCAAGCTACCACAAGACTACTGAGGCAGTTCAATGACAGAAAAATGGTACTCTGTGAAACAGTCTTGTTATTTTACCACAGAATAAATATGCTTTTAAAAATCATATGTAAACTTTTAAAAATGTTTGGGTTTGAGCATTCCTGATAAAGGTAATTCAAGAGGCGCTTCAGACAAACAAAATTTATATAGTAAGACTTGCCTTCCTTTTTCTAAATCCCAAATACATATTCTGCTATCCCAACCGCCACTCAGCTAAAAAGTAATAGAATTATAAAAGTTATCAAAGACAGAACTGAAAAGAAGAGACACATACATTATTTATCAATAATTTTTCATCCCATTAAGGTGTAATACCACCAAATCATAGTACGTCACATCCGGTTGCATACGAAAATAGGTCGAAAAAAAATATTCCCTTGAATTTGACAGTTGTAGGTAATTGATCCTACATTTCATTGCAGTAAAACATTTCTGGGTCATAAACTATATATCTTGGGTATTTCAAAGCACCATTATTTTTTTATTTGGGGTTTCTATAGAATATTTTGGAAACTTGAGGTTACATGGTTACTAAAGCTTGTACACAGGTTAAGAAAGGGGGAAAATTTGATTGGTTAACTTCCAGTGATGGTTATTTTCTTATATGCAATGAAATGTTATGTGAATTTTTTTCTATAGTACTGGACAGGATAAAACTTTACTCATGCCAAGTATTTCTTTATTTGAAACAAAGATAAATTCTGCACAATTTTTTGAAAAGTGCAAATTTAACAAAGACTAATAGGGGAAAATCAATGGTGGTATTACACCTAATATGGGAAGCTGTACATGCACCTTTGACCTTGTGAGTACTCTCATGTGTTAAAATTTCTTGCTATTTAAGTGAAATATTACAAATAATGAAATATTCTGAGTGGATTGAGTCTCCAAAACACATTTTATGAGAAAATTTCCTTGAAATAGGACTTCACCATGAATATTAGTTTACAGAACAAGCCATACTTAGAGTAGTGGGGAGTTTTTTCTCCTTATTTCTTATATTGTGCCATACCAGAAAATTTTTCTTCAGAAATACTTTAATATATAGTTTTAAGTAAATGAAATTATTTTAAAAGCAGTAACAACAAATTATTCACCAAAAGAGAAGCTTTTTATGTCCCTCTCTGGAACGCGGCGTAAATTTAAGTTTTACGTAAGGACTTATTGAAACCTCCTTGGAGACAGTAAACTTTTATACGGATAGTTCATTCAGCTTGAATACTTCAATTAATCATTTATTTTAACATTTCTATCATAAATGAGTGAAAGTTACCCCAAAATTTTTATTTATTGGCCTAAAAAGTAGAAATTTTGAGGAAATTAGAGGTATAAATGGACCAAAAGAGACCTTATAAGGAAGACAAAGAGGTCCATTAGTAGTATTTATCATCCTAAAGTCATCTTTTGTATCATATTCAACTGTTTGTAGGCAGATGAGATAAATATTTGATCATTTATTGGTCCACACTATATTCTATCATGATGCGGCTTGGTTTGGATTTTTCGAAGAAATTTTGCTTGAATCGCTGTAGATGTCGTCTTACATTATACTAGATTTTTCTCAAACTATTGAACTGATTATGACAAAACTTGACAGGAATGCTTGAAATAACCAGTATTACAAAGGAAAAAAGTCACATTCAGTTTATTTAACAAAAAAGTCTTCTTTAGGTGTAATACCACCAAATCATAGTACGTCACATCCGGTTGCATACGAAAATAGGTCGAAAAAAAATATTCCCTTGAATTTGACAGTTGTAGGTAATTGATCCTACATTTCATTGCAGTAAAACATTTCTGGGTCATAAACTATATATCTTGGGTATTTCAAAGCACCATTATTTTTTTATTTGGGGTTTCTATAGAATATTTTGGAAACTTGAGGTTACATGGTTACTAAAGCTTGTACACAGGTTAAGAAAGGGGGAAAATTTGATTGGTTAACTTCCAGTGATGGTTATTTTCTTATATGCAATGAAATGTTATGTGAATTTTTTTCTATAGTACTGGACAGGATAAAACTTTACTCATGCCAAGTATTTCTTTATTTGAAACAAAGATAAATTCTGCACAATTTTTTGAAAAGTGCAAATTTAACAAAGACTAATAGGGGAAAATCAATGGTGGTATTACACCTTAACAGTATGCTAAATTGCTTAATTTTCTATTTGTATATGCTATAACAAACAAAATTATCTACCAATGAAGAAGAAAAAAATCATTATAGCCACAAATCAAATTTTAATATACCGTATATCAGGTTTTTTTCGCTTGTGTTTAATTTTCGCTTTGTTCGCAGTAGCTAAAGAAACGTGAAAATTTGACCCCGCATAAATTTCCCTACATATTCCCAGAAAATTATCAAAATTTGAAAGTTTTATATATTATACTGTTAATTATGGAGTCTTTTGTGTTGTTCAACAGATCACAAGAATGAGCAAACTTAATTAAAATCTCTGTTTTCATAATAATCAAATTAGCTAATCATACGTGTCACACATTTTGACAACACAGCAATCAGATGCTAATAAGTGACGCTACTGTATTGATAGGAGCCATAATCCAAACAATAGGCATTTAATGTAAAAATATAATAAAAATAAATCACTTTTACAAGGATATTTGCATATCTGTATTGATCAAAACCTTCAATTTTTAGCATGCCCCAATGTGCATAATTAATTTACGTTCCTTAAAAGTTCTCTAAATTGTGTACTTTCGTTTGGTTTACTAGTATTTATTTGTGATCGATTACCTTTCAGTCAATCAATTTTGTGTTACTTTCATCTATAACAATGTGAAACAGTTATATTTTCGCGTGTATTTTCCCATTCAGCGAAAATTATACACAGTGAATATTTAACATGCCCATTTTGTCATGAAATCGCAAAAAAAAGCTGATATACGGTATTCAAAATAGTTTGTAAATAGTGCAAAAATATTGGAGACAAAAACATTCATAAAAAGTAAACAGCTAAAAAATTTGCAGATTACACAGATGTTTCTGTTAAAACAAATTAGTTTACAGTTATTATTCATTCTAATTATCTATTGTTTATTTCATTTTTTAAGTCAATTCTGCATGAGAAGAATAAAAAAACACTTACCAGATAAGTGGAGTCCAGCCCCTGTTCTCTCCCAACAACAACTAAACTGGTTACACAACTAGTGTGTTCAGCAAATACAGATTTACATATAAATCCTGCCACTCTATTTGTCACAGAATCATTGTCCTGAAAGAAAAAGCCATATATATATACAAACATATAAATGTCAACCTAGTAAGAAAAGTACCAAAAGAGAAAACTTTATCAATTAGATATTAGATATGACATGGCTGCAAAAAGTTGGTCAATAGGAAGGAAATCAAATTTGATCTGTAAATCATCATTATGCAAATGTTCCAAAAGAAAGCTCCAGATACAATTTTTTCTGATTTTTTTAAAGTCTAATGGCCATACTTTCCCCTAAAGTTGTTCCAAACTGAACAAAATCCAAGTTTGATCTGTAAGTCATCATTATATACTAGTGTACTTAAAATCACCTCCAGATCTGCAGACATAGTAAAAAAAAGGTCCTGACAACTGCTTGATTTCAGAATGAGGGAATTTAGGGAAAATGGGTTACACTATATGCCCTGACAACTTAGTAGCAGGGCATACAAAAAAATATAAAAAATCATTGTGGCAAGGGGCATTCAGTTATTTTCCCAATATAAAGTAAATTGACATTTGGGGTTAACAAACTATGAGTTGCTAACTTCTATGTCATTTGGTCTTTGGTGGAAAGTTGTCTCATTGACAATCATACCACCTCTTCTTATCACTATATGTCTACAGTAGTATTTTTTCAAAAGGTCCCTCCCCAAAGTAGAATGTATCACTTGTCCATATTATTATGCAAGTTAGTAAATAATTATTGCCAAAACTACCCTAGTACTTACATTGAATTTTCTGTTCTTTGGCAGAAGTTCTGAGTCAGGATCTAATAGTATACTATATTTTTCGATTAATTTATCCAAATCTTCTGGTTTCATGTCCTTTAAAGCCTTAACAGCATCATCATCAAATCCCCAAATGTCTAAATATATAAGATGCCTTTTATCAAATCATCAAAACAAAAAATTAAATATTAATAAATCAGTGTAAGTAATCTAGATCCATGTTGATAGTATCATCATATTTAGTATGCAATGTTCCTTATATCATTCTGATAAAGGTCATAATAAAATAGAAGAAAAATCTATATCTATCTAGATAAGGTATTATAATTGATTTCACATGGAAATATACTGCCTTCATGTCACAAGACAATATCTGTCGAAGTTAAGTGTTTTAAGTTTTACCATCATTTTACTAAAATTTGAATTACATATTTTTTTAATTTCAAAAATCTGTAAATATAAGAATTGATTGTTTCATGCAAATATGATGGTCACTTCTTTTCATTTCTTATAAAGTTTAAAAATACAGCATTCAATTTTATAATAAGGTGTATATATAAATATACATTATTAAAGCTGATTATTCAAATATTCATCAAATATTTTTTGAAAACTGATAAAATATAATAATTTTGTGTAGAAATTCCAAATGGACATTAATTTTACGTTATTGTAATAATTCAACATTTCTGATAAGGCTAGATAAATGATTCCAATCAATAATAAAAAATTACAATAACACTCTCATCAGGGTTACAGGTTTGTATGAAATGTTATGAAGCATTAAGCAAGAAAACAGCTTTTCAAGTGGATCACAGATTTCATAAATTCAGCTTTTTGGAAATTTCATGAATGCAAATAGCAACTTTGATAAAACTATCAATCTATTTGGAAATTTCATAACCTTGATTAATAAACTGTTGACACAGAGATATGGCTCACCTTTTTGCAATTTTGATAGCATAATGCAAATACTGAATCCAAATGGCAATATTTAAACATGTAAACTATGCAAAACTTTCAAAGTCAATGAAACATGACTTAAGGTGCAGGACCAAATAATCTCCATGGAAATGAGAAATCTGATCTAATCACAAACTTATAAATTGCTGACGCCGCTGCTGTCGGAAACAACATACTTAAGTCTCCCTTTTTGACTCCATCAAGGCGAGACAACAATCTACTTGGATTTCATATGTTTGATTAGTCTACTGTGGATTCATTTATATTCTTGGGTACCAATGTTTCATGGATTGTGGAAAAATTGTACTTTCATGAATATTTGAGTTCATGGTTTTGTCAAAGTCTGCATACAAGCATTACACAATAGATTAATCAAATGAACACAAAATAATAAAAAAATCAGTGTATATTTGTTTGAGTAGTAAGTAGCTAGATCATGCCTTAACAAATACTTCATTAATGCCCAGACAGGATGAAAAGTTCATGATGCATTTCAAACAATAAATTATCATATTAAAGTAGCAGTTGTGAGAGCAAGAACAATATCTTTGTACTATCTGACATGCAACTGTAAACATACAGTATTTGAGTAATGTACCACAAACATTCTTTATGGTTTCTTAATGTGAAGCATGAAACATGCAGTTAAATCGTGTGATGAATATGTGTATTTACTTACAAATATTGCTATCCTCTGAAGCAGCTATAATATAATCTAAATATTCAACAAAGACAACTTTCATTATGGTAATTTTCTGGTCATCTTGGGTTGTTGTCTGAAAGTACATTGTAGTTGAGGGCAATTGTTATGGATTTTTTACATTTAGGGCTGTTCCAAAATTGATCATGGTAAGGGGACAGGGCACTCAAATTAATAAATTATGGGTGGTTGCATTTTCCTTAGAATTTTGTAAATATTATAAGTACCATGGATTCATTTATTTTCGTGTGTGCCAATTTTCATGGATTTAGGAAACATTGTATTTTAGGGGATATTTGATTTCATGGTTTTACAAAAGTCTGCATACAAGCCTATAACAATTTGTACTTGGATGGTTGGGATCTAAAAAAATACTTCCAGTTCCCCCCATGTGTTTAATTCTGGAACAGCCCGTAGTCAAATTAGGAACTTGTGCTGATAAAATCATAAATTGCTACTTTTTTTACTTGTTAGATTGGTGTCTCATTGATTATCTCACATCATCTATTATCCAAATTTGTGTTTAATTTGATGTTGTTTGAAAACATAATTTTTATGACATATTAATTTTGAGTGACAATAATATGGATATTAATTTACTTTTGTGGCAACAATTTTACAATACATTTCAAAACACAACACCCTTGGTTGAGTTTATTGTTCAAATTGATTTTTTTTTACTAATGGTTCATTTATAATTAGAAATAGATTTTTTTTTACTAATGGTTCATTTATAATTAGAAATTGATTTTTTTTACTAATGGTTCATTTATAATTAGAAATTGATTTTTTCCCTGTTGATATGTCTGAAGACCTTACACCGATAGGCATTAGAGTTTACCTCATCGACTGTCAAATTGATCACATGTTTGTTACTTTTGAAGTGTAAAAGTGTTGAAGTTTTACCAAAAACGCAGAGGCGAAAATCAGAATATTTTCCTTAATCATAATCAACATATTTTAAAGTACTCACTTGTTGGAGATTTGGTTTGTTATAAGCATAGTGACTTTGTACATTTCTAAAGTTGACTTTAGCAGAATCTACTTTGATTGGCTCCAATGGTTTCATTGAAGATGTTTGAGATAGCTGTTGTTCTAAGATTAATTCCCTTGCTTTACTGCCTGCCTTCTTCTTCTTTTTAAGCTGTGTATCACTTATTTGGTAAGGTTCATTACTGTAAACAATAAGTGGTACTATACATATATGTTTACATCCATTTGTCACTATATCATACTATATGAGTTTATATCAAATTTGAAGTTTTTTTCTCAGTAACAGAAAAACTTCCTTTCTTCACCACTTTAATTATCTATCCCAAAAATAAATATTCCAAGCTTTCAAACTAAAACATTTAATTATCTGTTATAACAGCTAGAATTGTATGTCCAAACTTTTGATAGACGAAGATTACAATATATTGTGTTGGCTCTTTCCTGGGCATTTCATCATATATATTTACAGAATAGAAATTTATCAAAATAATTTTCATCAAAATTCCCAAAAGCAGTTGACTAAGTTTCATATTTTTCAAGTCAGGGCCTTTTATAGCAGACCATACGGTATGGGTTTTTCTCATTGTTGAAGTCTGTATGATTGCCTATAATTGCTTACATCCACTTCATTTGAACTTTGGTGGATAGTTGTCTCATTGGCAATCATACCAGATCTCCTTATTTTCTTATAATAAAAAAAAAAAAGAAATGATGACATTTGACTAAATACATTACCTGTACATAAAATGATTAGATTGCATTCTCTCCCATTTCATAATCACACCCTCATGATCACCACTAAATATTAATATTGGCACCTTTTTAGCTGCAAAATATTATTAACTTGCATTTACTGAAGATGAAACAAAGCTAAACATGGATGCATTATCATTATTATTATTATTATTATTATTATTAGTCCAAAAAGCAGGATATTATTATAGATTATCGTTGATCATCTCAACGAGATTGATTTTCTCGCTTGAGCCGGTACGGCGAAAGCGAGAAAAGCAATCGAGTTGAGATGACCAATGATAATCTGTTTATCGCTATTTTACCTATGACGACGTTGTTAATTTCATGTCAATTTCATTAGCAATGGCACGTGTCCCCTTAATTTCTAGCGATAATTTTCATATCACTCGACTCCGCTGAGAAAGGAAATTATCAGTCAGTAAGATCAAAGGAAATTTTCGTAAAATAGCGATAATTATTATTATCAGTCCAAAAAGCAGGAGTTATTTCTTTAGTTTCATTTGAGATTTACAAAGATTGTTGTGAATATTTATTAATTCCAAAAGATACTAATTACATAATACTATCATGAGACTTATCTAAGCCTATTTACATTACAATTCTATACAATTTACTTATTAAGCCTACATGTGTTTCAATCAAAGACATAACTAAGATAATGCCCATGCTAGTAGTTGTTTGATCACCTCTGGTATGTGAAACACTAAGTTTGATCATGGAGAAGCCAAAATCAAAGACTTTAAATTTGGTAACTGTTGCTTCCATGCAAAACTTGCAGCATTTAGGAGTAAAAAAAGTAACTGTTAAACTTGGAGTTAGAATAATGTGGATGAGGATTGTTTCGGTTGAGCTAGCATGTTCGTCTAGTACAAGTCACAATTTTTTTTTTAAATTAACATATTACCATCAGGAATATGCATATAATATTTGCTATTAGATGCTAAGCACAAATCAGTTAATAAACATATGTAGTATACTAAAGAGAACAGCAAAAGCTGACACTATGTGCTGTCTTAATCTTAGTTTATATAGCACTGAGCTCTTGAGTTTATGAGTGACTTCATTGTTCCTACCCCAAATAAAGTATAACACTTACTGTAACATAAACTTTCTAATGGAGATTTACACTTTAATGCAGTTATACAACCAGATGTGTTATACTTCCATACTATCAGATGTCGTCTGCTGGTACAAGCTAAAAATTCAAATCTCAAGGTTAATGTTAAAACAAACCTTATTCACATTTAAATGATCAAGTTAACTAAAAAAAATATTTCTACTGATTTGGTTTTCTACTAGGCAGCACCAAGTATCATGTAATTTTGACTGACAAAAATTGTCAGAAGAAAAGATGAAGTCTCGGATCCATGTGTATTCCTTTCCTTTAAAGGACCTTTCTCAACCTTAATACTGTAAATTCAGAAATTATTGTGTAGATTTATTATTGCTATTGTTGAAAAATGGACAAAAATGCGAATTTAATTATTGCGATTTCAGGAAAATCTGCATACAGATATATGTATCAAATATCAGAATGAGAGTTCTTATTATTGCCATACTTACCCAGTTGCATTATTCACATTAATAAAAACCTTGCAACAATTTCTGAATTTACAGTATATAAATCAGATAAAAAAAATTAAGTCATTTACTAGTAGCAAAAAAATATCTTAAATCATAAACTATCCTCTTTAGCTTATATATATTTTTTTCAATAGCAACTCCTACACTATTTGGAAATCATTGATGAATAAGTTTTTATTTTAAACATTCAATTTGATTTTTTGCATTACATATATCACAGATTTCAGAGCTTTTATTTACCATGACAACCTACCATATAATTCCTGGTCTCTTTTACCCTTGAAAATATCCTGAGGAAATTGAAGTCAAAAACAATACTTTTCAACCTCTAAAAATCAAATTCAATTTCGATATGGCCTTATATCATTATTCATAAACTTCATTAAACTAAAGCAAACACTTACCCACAACTTCATTCAATTCATTAAAATACTTTAAAACTTGTAAAGAATATTTTTCCTCCTCCTCTTTTTGAAATGTTCCTATAAATTCTGAAACCTACAACAGAAGGAAAAAAAATTATGGGTACATTTGATGATTCCCTGCTCATACTATCATATTTCCATGTTCAGTGACCACAAACTCTTGGTCAAAACCTAATTCGGTATAAATTTTTGAAATTTTAACACCAAAATGAACATGCGTACTAAAGTTTAAAGGTGATTTGATCACTATATCATGTAAACTATCTTAAACCATTACTTTAACCTGAAACCAATCAGACCAACAAACTAATAAAATGATGAACGATCAGGAAAATAATATGCCCCCCTACTATCATATTCATTGATTTATTGATTGGTGTTTAACACCTCTGATGTGGCGGTCTGTTTGTACTAGTGGAGGAAGCCAGAGAGAACAATAGACTTTCAGTAGTAAAACTGACAATCATAGGGTCAAGTAAAATTGAAGTCGAGCGCACCTGCCAAGGGCGAATTCATATTCACCTCATTGTTGACAGGCTAGTGATACAGTAGTTCAACTACTTAGACCACTGAATCACCAAGACCCCTCCCTACTATCATAGGCTTGGTATAAAAATAATTAGTCACATTATCAACGACATAAACTGACTATTAAAATACCTTTAGTTTCTTCATTAAAGATGATATGGGGCAAAAGTCAGTGAGATAGCAACCTTCTCTTTGTTGTTTATGCAATGAATATAACCATATTTTGTAAAAAAAAGTAATTAAATCTTGTCTAAACAATAAAATATCAAATACTTTTAAAAATACTTGTGCCTGGTTTTACATACTTTGTCTCCTGACTTTGGGTCAAACAATGTGGCATAAGATGTGCCACCTGCCACCCACAGTGTTTTATTCCTTGGTACATAACATATTCCTGACACTGTTGCCATGAAGTTGTCCAGTCGATGTACTAAGTCTAAATCTACAGTCCAGATCTTTGCTGTTTTGTCAAATGATCCAGAAATTACCCAGGTGTTATTTTCGTTGTCTTTTGCCATCAATAGGCAAGATATTCCAGCATCATGAGCATGGTGATTTCTAAAAACAAATGAACAATCCTTATGACAAAAAAACATATTTATAATGCTTAATACCATAAAAAGTAAACACAGGATAATTTTTGCTCAGGATTTTAGAATGTTACAGAACTTGCCTATGTATTTCCTGCTATATTTCATGTCAGTCTTAGATTACTGAATTAAAAATATATCCTTTAATAAAAATAGATTGTTATCTAATGAAAATGATATTTGCAAATCACAATTTCTGTTCAAAGGGAAATAACTCAATCATATAATTAGTGTATTTGGACTTCTAAAAAGTCAAAAACTCAAAAACGAGACAAGCTAAAATCATGAAAATAGAACTTGACCTTCATTTAGTCACAGGAAACAACATATTGAAATTTGAAAAAAAATCATCAAAGCGTTTGTATGTTAATGAAAGGACACTTTTTGTCAGAACCCAACTGCTGCCCGCCTTACATCCCCAAATCAATAACCGATTTTTCCTTCGAAAATCTGGTTAAAAATAAAAATCACTTGAAACTGATACAACTTTTTTTTGTAAATTGAAGCGTGTTGTTTTTTAATATGTAAATCACCAATATAATATAAGCACAGGATCACAGACATGTGTGTTGAGATCAAATGTAGTATATTATCATGCAAGTGTGTGCATTTGTTTGGGTAATATCAACAAAGAGTCTATGACATCTCTAAGTGTGTGAAATATCTATCTGATGCACTGCATTCATTGTATCTTAATATTTGCTTGAATGATTACTGGTATATCCCAGCAAACAGCAAATGAAAACTTGCTTATTTAACTCTAGTGAATATTATCAACAAGTGGTTGCATCAAGCCATCTTGAATTTTATCTATAATTGCAGCTGTATATACATAGAGTGTTCACAATTTTGTTTGGATTGTTCTGACAAAAGAGATTCGAAGTAAAATTCAAACTAGAAGCTCTAAAGAGCCTGCGTCGCTCACCTAGGTTGATGTGCATGTTCAACAATGGACACTCTCCAACATTGTGACTAGAATAGAATTCATGACAAAAGTCTCTTTTTTGTTGATCATGTATTGCTGATCATTTTTTCTCTGTTTACAGTTTCTATCTATCCTCTTTTGTTTTTGCCCAAAACACAAAAAAAAAGCGTAAACAAAAATCATTTAAAGACAATCACTCTGAAAAAGTGTCTTCTGATGAATTCTGCAAATTTTGAGTGACTTGTAGATCTTGTATTGTTGATCATCTTTGCTATTTAAAGTGTCTATCTATCTTTCATAGTTTTCAAGATTTTAGACAAAAATAAAAAAAAAATTTTGGCCTTGTTGACTTATTTGATGATCTTGTCTTGCTGATCATTTTTGCTATTTTATCTATCTTTTATAGTTTTCAAGAAAATAGACTAAATCACTAAAAATGGGTAAAATTCATAATTAAAGAGCTACAACTCCAATATAGAGTCCACTGACAATTTTAGCCATTTCCACAATATGTAGATCTTGTATTGCTGATCATTTTTGCTTATTCAAGTTTCTATCTATTATTACTTTAAAGATATAATGCAAAATGCAAAAAAATTGGTAAAAATCGTCATTCAAGGGCAATAACTCCAATAAGGAGTCCTCAGACGATTTCCTATATATTAACCCAATTTTAGATATTGATTTGCTAATCAGTTTGCTTATTCAAGTTTATCTATCTATTATATTATTCTTAAGATATAAGGCAAAATGCAAAAAAAATGGTAAAAATCGTCATGGAAGGGCAATAAAGAGTCCTTGGACGATTTCCTAAATTTTAACTTAATTGTAGATCTTGTCTTGCTGATCATTTTTTCTAATATAATTTTTTATCTATCTATTATAATTTTTAAGAGATAAGGCAAAAACGCAAAAAAGTTGGTAAAAATCATCAAAGGGCAATGACTCCAATAAGGAGTCCTCGGAGGATTTCCTAATTCCTGATAGTTGATCTTGTCTTGCTGATCATTTTTGAAAAGCAAAGTTTTTATCTATCTATAATTTATAGTATTTAAGACATAGGGCAAAAACGCAAAAAATTTGTAAAAATCGTCATTAAGGGCTAAAACTCCAGTAAGGAGTCTTCTGACTAGTTCAGCAATGTTTGACTTAATTGTAGATCTCTTCTTGTTGATCATTTTTCTTCCTCAAAGTTTCTCTCCATCTATTATAATTTTTAAGAAATAAGACAAAAAAGCAAAAAAAAAATGGTAAAAATCATCATTTTAGGGCAGTAACTCCAAAAAGAAGTCATCTGACAGTTTTGATGTAAATAGACAATAGATAGATCTCAACATGATGAACATTTCTGTCCCTGTTACATTTTCTCTATCTATAGTGGTAATTATCAAGATAATAGACAAAACTTGCATTTCACCTCTGTTCTATTTTAAGCCATGACAGCCATGTTGGTTGGCTGGCAGGTTCATTGGACACATTTTTAAACTAGATTAGTTACTCCAATGATGATTAGTCCAAATTTAGTAAAATTTGGCCCCATATTTTCAGAGATGAAGATTTTTGTAAAAGTTAATGGACGACGACCACGGACGCCAAGTGATGATAAAAATCATTTGTTTCTTTTGGCCAAAGGACCAAGTGAGCCAAAAATGGTCAAAAACATATTTAGATGTTTAAGAGAGCTATGATAATTTCATATAAACAATGTTTTAATTTAACTAAAAACTTACACTTTTGGATTCTTTCCATCTTCACTCCTCACAGCTGATATATCATACTTTATTAATTTACCATCATAACTATAAAGAAAAAAAATCATGTTATCTAAAAAGTACAATATATTAATGGTTAGTAAAATCAGTGTTTATAATGTTAATACATAATGATTTTCATTCTTAATCTGTTAAACATGAGGTTTGTTGTGAAAGGGATCAAACAATCTTTAATACTTCATTACTGCATCAGAGTCATTCTTACATAGAATGTAGATACAGCAATATATTTCTTATGTGATTTGCACATCTACAGATACTTGAATGTGATTGGTTAGTTATGGAAGATATTCGTTTTATGAAAAGTCTACAACAAACAACTGACATTCCCTTGGGAACCAACTGTGCCCCTCTTCTTGCCGACTTGTTCCTTTATTCATATGAGGCCAACTTTATACAGGAAAATCTTAGGAAGAAAGAAAAGAAGTTAGCAGTATCCTTTAACTTTACTTTTCGCTATATAGATGATTTTCTCTCACTAAATAATTAAAAATTTGGTGACTATGTTGAACGCATCTATCCCATCGAACTTGAGATAAAGGATACAACAGATACAGTTAAGTCTGTCTCATATTTTGACTTAAATCCAGAAATTGACAATGAGGGTCGGTTGAAAACATAACTTTACGACAAGAGATGATTTCAGCTTCCCAATTGTGAACTTTCCATTTCTATGTAGAAACATTGCAGCAGCGCCTGCATACAGATTATATACATGTATCTCCCAGTTGATACGATATTCCAGAGATTGTATTTACTATCATGATTTCCTTAATAGAGGGTTACTACTCACAAGGAAGCTATTAAACCAAGAGTTCCAAGTGGTGAAGTTGAAATCATCACTTTGTAAATTTTACAGACCCCATCAGGAGTTGGTTGACCGTTATGGTATATACGTTTCACAGATAGCGGATATGTTCCAATTGTCTTTACTACAATCGTCCCCTTTTTCCACGAATGTGACCTATCGAATTAGACTAACTGGGTTTGTACTGACATGAGCAACACGATGGGTGCCACATGTGGAGCAGGATCTGCTTACCCTTCAGGAGCACCTGAGATCCACCTGAGTTTTTGGTGTGGTTCGTGTTGATCAGTCTTTAGTTTCCTATGTTGTGTTTTGTGCACTGTTGTTATTCTGTCTTTTTCTTTTTGAGCCATGACGTTATCAGTTTATTTTCGTCTTATGAGTTTGAATGTACCTTTGATATCCTTCGCCTCTCTTTTTCTCTGACATTGTAGACCAGACGATGAATAGAAAAGTATACTGGCATTGACCCCAACTTACCCTGCAGAATATATTTTGGAATCCTGCCAAATTATACTTCTTACTATATCTTCATGAAGTTCAAAAATATTCACAGGATGCAAATCTATGATGTGACCCATCTCTTTACCTGAAACCAAAAAAATGAAGTTAGTGCCTATTATAACTGAATTATGAATTAATCATGAATTCTGTGCCAATGATGACCAAGGTTATAAAAACATAAGATAGCTACATGTACTAATGTAGCATGAAATAATGTTACACATGTGTCTCAGATTTCAACAGCTCTTGCTTATTAGAAAGATGCAATTCTATGTACAATTTCACATCTGTACTGCTTTCTATACGATCATTTTGTATTAACAATGAACACCTATTTAGCCAAAAAATTTAACAGATATTTACGATACAAATTATACCTTTGGAAAGAATCCAGGTACTGATCATTATTTAAGCTCTTTTCAAAAACAGTGTCTATGACGTCATTTTTCAATATGTTGTTTACACATTTGTATGGCTTAAGATACCAATACATTGCTATAGACTGCAATGATAAAATAGAAGATCAAGGTAATTATGATAATGATTGGTCTAAATATTTTCTTACATTTTGAATTAAAATGTTGAAGTATATGTTTTATTGTATTCCATGTTGAGATTAGTATTGTAAATATTTTTCCCAATTATAATTTAATCATTGTGTGAATAAAATAGAATTGTTTTTGTCTCTGTGATGTTACCGCTGGTTTATAGACATATGATCCTTTTACAATGGTTATATTTGTAAAAATGTATGCTTCTCGACAGTAGCTGCACAAAAAATATATCTGTATAGAAATGCTAGAATTGTCGTTGAATTTCACATAAATTATGCATACAAACCAAGAAATGTGGCTCAAAATGCATCTCAACATTTATATCATGCTATATCAAAAGAACGAAATGAATAAAAACCAATACATTACTCACCAAATACTACAACAAGCCTGCCTTTAATTGTAACGTAAATATCAAAATATTGTTATTTTATAATGTTTACTTTTGATTATATAAGTATAACATACATTATGTTTACCTCACCAGTCCTTCCCATTGTTCCTACCTTCTTCCAAATTTAAGTACTTGATAATATTTTATATTTTGATTTTGCTAAATTATCATAAAACTGAAGCATTAGTTATAGTTTCAGACTTAAATATATTTATACTGCATGTACTCTTTTTTTCAGGTGATGGCTAAGTAACGTATCCAAATTCAACAAGCATTCTGTGAGTATTGCATGGCAATACATAGTCCCCTACAGGTTACAAATTCATTGTAATGGAACGAAATTCTAAATTGATCTATAACTTGTTATGGTGTAAACTACATAAAATTATCAAGTCAAAATCTTCAAGCAAGACGAAAAAAACTGTTGACAACTGATTATTTAAGGTGGTACCCAACACCTTGACTAATATTAATTTGGCTCGTTTAATTTTCATAAAATTTTGACAAAATGTTTACTTTGACCCTTTGACAAAAATATAAAAATTTCAAAAAATTTGAACCAACCACTTTATCAGAAAAATTTCGTTGGTTATATAGCAGTTTGACAAACACTAATTTTGATCATTGAGAAGCTTAATATTTCCTTAACAATACAACGTGATTAAAACGTTAAGTTGATTTTAACAGAGTTATCTCCCTGTAGTGTTAGGTACCACCTTAAGTGAATTTTTATAAAAGACCATAACTCTGCACAAAATTATCAGACTGGAACAAAATTCCAACTTGATCTGTAACTTGTCATGATAATACTATATACTAATTATCAAATCATTATCTTCAAGAATAACAAACAAACTTCCACTAAATTCTTCAAACAATCTACCAAAGAAAAGGAAAAAAATCCAAAATGTCATTTTGTCTTTTAATTTTTTTTTTTTTAAATGAGTTATTTTCCTTTGAACAGAAATCTACTAATTAATAAGTATTTCATCAAAAATTTAATTCTAGGGAAAGGGCTTTAACTGAAGAGAAAGAACTAAAGAGAAAAGCTAAAATCGTGAAAATTGAACTTGACCTGTAACTAGTCATGATAAATCAATAAACCAAATATCAAATCAATATCTTCAAGCACGAAGAAAAAAAGTCTGGAAAACTGATTTGCCCGACTGACAGATGGACAGACAGACAGACAGACGGACGGAGTGAAAACCTAAAGTCCCCTTCGACTTCGTCGGTAGGGGACTAAAAAGAGTATAGAGAAAGAAAGAAACTCAAAGAGAGAAAATCTTACTCAAAGAAAGAATCAGCCAGGGTAATTAAATACTAAACTCCATGAGCTGAATTACAAGTTAAGGATAGAAAAAATTGAAATGCATGTCAATCAAGCACATAGAAGTAAAAGAAATGCATCAGCGTTGGTTTTATAACCAGCCTGCTAGCAGCGGTCATGAAAGTGTAGGAAGTCCATTGGTTGTAAAATTTACACGTTTTGCAAGAAGGAAAGGAGGAAAAAATATAGAAGTATTATAAACGAACAGTTGAATAGATAACCATAAGAATACATTGTAATATAAAAAAAAGGAATATTTTCACACGAGAAAACACTATTCATTTAAATTTCTTCTTATTTAACTAATTTTATTTAGCAGAATAATGTCTTTGCTAATACATTATTTTTTCATTCATAAATAACAAACATTCAACGTTTATAGTAAGAATTTCTGATTAGAATGTTATAAGTAATTAGAGTATTGATTTTTACGTTGCCTTTACACAGTTCTATTAAATCTTTACTATGCCTACATTTCTTTGGAAAAATCTTTTAAAATTTCTCTACAATGATTCTGAATTTGTGTTAGCTATAAACTGTTGAAACGCAATTATTGGAACAGATTATCAATTTACATTAAAGAAAGTGATTTTGTAGATTTAAAGGAACATTTTATTTTCTAAACATGGAATCAGTTGTCGGATTCTGTAAAATGATTTCAGGACAATGTAAGTCATAAGTGAATTTGAAAGTAGAAACTTGTTTTATCAGTCCACTCAACATTTTGCATTAGATATAGACATTAACTTCAGTTAAGGTACTTTAAACAGTCAGTCGCAAATTATGTAAATATTCTGTCAAACAATAAGACACTAAAGGCGCCAAAACTAACGCTGGAAATTTTTAAATCCAAGTTTGTGAGAAGAAAAAATTATCAGTTTTGATTAACACATTTATTCGGGTACAAAGTATTAAAAGTTTTAATGTGATTATACAATGTTTATTATTATTGATTTTAACATATACTTTTGCCATCGTAACTTGAGAATGAGTGTGAAGTATAGATTTTTTTACTCTCTCAAGACATTTTTATTCTTAATGGAATGCAATGTTGAATTATGAATACTCTAAAAAATAGAGAAATAAAATGTTGACACAGAGATATGTCTTGTCTGTCAGCACAAAATTCAGAAAAAGACAATCTTATGGACAGCAACATTGCTAATTAATTCAGAGTTGCTGGACCAACTAGTAGGTAGTGCCTCAAAATGGTTGACAAACTGAGATGTACAGACAGCTATGAAACTTAAAAGAAAATATTGTCTATTGTAAGTACATGTAGTTCCTATCAAACTAACTTAATCAGAAAACTTAACATTGAAAATTGTTAATTGATTGAAAGTCACCGGACCATAGGGGGGCAGGGCCTTGAAATAGTCGTCAAACTGATATGTACATAAGTAATGCCACTTTATAGAAAATATCATTGATCTATCGCAAGTAGTCTATATCAAACTAACTTAAGCAGAAAACTTATTGAAAATTGCCAATTAATTGAAAGTCACTGAACCATGGCCTAGGGGCCTCAAAATAGTTGACAAACTGATATGTACTGATAGCAATGCAACTTCACACAAAATATCATTGATCTATCACCAGTAGTTCCTATCAATCTAACTTAAGGAGAAAACATTTAAAATTGCTAATTAATTCAAAGTCACTGGACCATGGCATGGGGGGCAGGGCTCAAAATTTTTGTCAAACTGATATGTACTGATAGTAATGCATCTTCATACAGCATATCAATGATCTATCACAAGTAGTTCCTATCAAACTAACTTAAGCAGTAAACTTAACAATTGTTGATGCCATTGCTGCAGTTGGAAAAGCAATCCCTATGTCTCGCTTTCCGCGACTGTCATTGCAGGCGAGACAAAAAATAAAATAAAAAAGCTGTTCCTTCAAAAAAAATGACAAAAAGTAATTCAGTTGATTATAAATGACTCCAATGACAAATTCATAAACTAAAACATACACCCAGCAATAATAAACTACTACTTAACATCTGCCCTTCAAAATATATGTCATAAATTGTATTTATGATATTATTCTACAACATCCAATGTCTCCTATTAATCCCACCTCATATGTATTAAGTCTACACCGGAACCAATATCTTAAACAAAGAAATAAAGACAAAATTTCCCTAAAATTTGTAAATATTCTACCTTCTTTATCTTCTAAATGTATCAAAACACAGGCTGAAAAGCAACTTTTATATTTTGAATTTTGATCATAAGTACCTCCTTTGCATGGTGCTGTTTGGAAAAAAGCCTTCATCAACAATTTTTATTTTTAATTATAAGTGATCAAATCTCTTCCATGTCAGGTACAACCAATCTAAATGCATGATTTTTAAGTTGTTTCCATAAACATGATAAAAGCTACGAAATATTCTCAGACTAAAGAATAGTTATATCTTTAAGACATTGAAGCAAGATAAATTAGTGGTACATTTTTTATATATAGTAAGTTTGTATAGGATAGGGTTGTCTCTCTTGTTGGTAGATATCTGAATGTAGTACTCGTTATAATGGGGATTTTGTGGAAAATAGTTTCTGAAGTTATTTTTTTAACAATAATAGAGATGATTTTCTTTTTTCCATTCTATTTCATAAATGACCACAATATCTATTATTAATAACTGATAATGAGATGGTGATGGTTTGTTGCTGTTAAATAGTTCTTTCATTTTTTGAATGGTACATCAAATATAAAATTGCTTAAGACTAAAGTCTTTACATATGAATCAAACTTACTTTCATCTAAGCCATAGATTCTAATAGCACCGTTAAAACCACAGACAATTTGCTTTTTCCATGGGTTCATAGCCATACAGTATACTGGTATTCCAATCTGTTGAGAAAAAATACAATTGTAAAATCTATATAGTACCTCAATAAAAAAAAATTCCAGAGATTATTTTCATACATGTATCTACTTTAGAATCAGAAGAAGAGATATACAAGATATCTTAATACTTTCATTTATACTTAGTATACTATTTCTCTATCAGAAACTATCATTATTACAAACAGGTTGGAATTAACAACAGCCCTCCATAGAATGTTTGAGTAATGTTCATACTTTTCATAAAAAATAAAAGGAAAAAACTTTTACTTTTACTCCTAATTTAATTTTTTCGCAGGGTTTCCTGGCCGAAATTAATCTAAAATGTGCTACAGCAAAAACGACCTTGTAGGTTTGATCATTGAAAACTCAGAAACAATAGCATGTTATGCAGTCAAATTTTGATGATATGAAGAAAATAGCACAAGTTTGGCGTCCATTAACTTTTCCAAGAATCATAAACAGTTTACCTTTAAAACGTGTGTCAATAATATTGGTTGATTGAGTCAGAAGATAATTTTTGGCTTTGCATCAGCGTATATCTTGTTGACTTACATTCAGCAATATTTATATTATTTAAACAAAAGAGGTATTTTTCCAGTGTCAAAAAATTATTGTTAATAAGCATACACCAAGTGAACAATTTAGGAGATAACTGTATTGTATTTTAAGCTTGGCCTTCGTAAAACGTAGATTTTACTGTCGCAAACTGAGTTTACCTAGCAACGCGGAGAGGAGCTAGGTAAACGGATATTTGCGACAGTAAAATCAATTTTTACGAAGGCCAAGCTTAAAATACATTACAGTTATCTCCATTCTAATGCCATATATTAAAATGAATTCCATTTACAAAATATAAGGCTTAAAAATGCCATAAATGAAAAAGTCCACGAAACTGTTGCATTGTCTTTAGCATCTAAACAATGTGACGTCATATGTATACTCTGGATGTCAAACATAAACACTAGACATATTTATACTTTTTGTACGCTTCAGAATGGTTTCAATATAGACAAAAAGAAGATTTTGAGGCTCAAAATGGGACTTTCTTGTTTATTTTTTGAGAAATTACATACCCCAAACAAATCGGAATTCAAAATGGTGGCTTTCTTAGTTACGGACTGGTAGAACGTGGAATCTAATCCCTCAAAATATTTGTCAACGTCCAATGAAAATTATCGTTACAAACGAATTGCATTAGAATCACCAATATGTGGCAATACTTGCATCAAATGTAAAATTGAACAAGTCATCTAGGGTATAACACTCAGTATACCCCCAAAGCTCTTGTTTATGAAAATTTACACCTCTCTAAAAAAATGTAGGTACAAACCTAGGTCTGGAATTCAATTTACGTAAAAAAGATTTATGCTTAACTTTTGATTTGCCAAATGACAGACTACAAATGTTTTCCTTTTTTTAAATTGTTAGAACCAGTTTGTACAACATCAAAGATTTAAAATAAAAGCTGCAACCATGATCATAGTCTATTGATATGGATGGATTGTTAACTTAATTGTTACATTTGCAAAATAAGATATCGTAAGTTTTATATGAAATTCAGAATTGTTAACTTTAGGCACCGTCCATTCATCTTATGTGTTTGTTTGGGCTTCAGTTTTAGTTCAGATCTCCATAATTTTTCAACTTGACAATAAGTAAATAAGCACTATTGTTTTCAAAAGTCAATGCTGTTCCCCTCTAAGATTCAGTAGAAAAAAAAACTATATTTTTTTCACTTCCCTTATTGAACAAATCAGTTTTTTAAAATAAAATAAGAATCAAAAAAATTTGTAAAATAAAACAAATCAGCTTGTCCTCGTATTATATATTTTTTTATTGCCAACAAACACTTTAAATTTATGGTTGCTCACCTAAAAAAAAACTTTTTTTCAAACCTGTTATATTATAGATAAATCATAGAATACAATCTAATCTCAATTGAAATATGAATTAAATTGAAGAATATTGTCTCATCTCTTAAACCCCCTTTTCTGTTTAATAATAACACACTGAGATGCAACAACACATGTTTTTATCGAACACACTATTTTGAGACACATTTGTCAATTTTGTCAATATCCGGTTCTATCTTTAATGAAAGTAGACTTTTGTTTTCCTGACCTTCAGAAGACCAAGTTGTTTTTCCATGAAAAGCAATAAAATCTGAAGAACCACAGCCTCCCAAAAGTGCCTATAATGACAATAAAAACTCTGATCATTCAGTAATGGACCATTGATTGACAAAAGGCAGCGAGAAATAAAAAGTTACAGTTTGTACCCCAAACAGACGACAAAACAGTCATGACTCCATAAGTTAGTTTAGAGTATTCAGAGGATCTTTTATTTCTGATTCTTTTTTAGAGTTTGATGAGAGTCAACTTACAGGAACTATATCAAAAACACCACCACCAGATGACCATGCTACAATAACTCCATCATTAGCAGCAGATAACATAAGTTTGGCTGCAGTCCTGTAAGAAAAATATAGGCATCAATACTAGCAATACCAAAGTTTTAATTTAACAATAATAAAACAATTATTTTTTTAAATCTTTTTTGTTCTATCATTTATCAGAATCACAACTTATCTGTTCTGCCATGTTTGTGTGTTTGTCCCCTGTAAGATGCACTGAAAACACTGTAAATGTCTTAGCTTATTGGTGCTTTCTTTTATTCAAAAATATCACTGTTTTACTGATGTTTATGACTAAAATCTTGATATTTTAGTAGATGAGAGCAACCAAATATTGTACTGCTTCAGGCTATTTACTTGTAAGCCAAGTTTGTTTATAACAGATTTTGATGTTCCATGAATATGTTTTTTTTTGTTTTGTTAGAAATAACAGTAATTTATAGTACATCACTGCACCTACCAGTATAAAAAGTCTGTCACCCATCCTTTATGTTCGTGTTGCACCGAACATAATTTTCCTGTTTCAGATTCATAGCTCTTAATAACACCATCTGAAAAATAATACAAGATCAGATATAAGTACAAAAGTGAAATGTTACAATTAGCATATATATCATGTATGTATTGCACCAGAAATTCATAGTCTCCAAACAAATTTAGATGCTGGGTCTTTAGCCATTAGTAAAGTCTAGTCAAATTTAATTCAGGCTAGCAAAAATGGAAAAAACAAATGGAGTATGAAAGGGCCAATATAGAAAAAGATATACAAGTAACTTGTTAAAGGACAAACATGTGAACACTCATGAAAGCTCTACTTGTCTTAAGTCTAGAAAGTAATAAACAATACATGTACAATAGATAAGCAAAATCATATACATGTACACTTAATGTGTATGAAATAGGAAATGGAATGCTATTTAACAAATAAAATGGTACTTAAATAAATACAAACATTTACTTCATTTGGTCTCTGGTGGATAGTTGTCTCATTGGCAATCATACCACATCTCCTTGGTCTCTGGTGGATAGTTGTCTCATTGGCAATCATACCACATCTCCTTGGTCTCTGGTGGATAGTTGTCTCATTGGCAATCATATCACATCTCCTTGGCAATCATACCACATCTCCTTGGTCTCTGGTGGATAGTTGTCTCATTGGCAATCATACCACATCTCCTTGGTCTCTGGTGGATAGTTGTCTCATTGGCAATCATATCACATCTCCTTGGTCTCTGGTGGATAGTTGTCTCATTGGCAATCATACCACATCTCCTTGGTCTCTGGTGGATAGTTGTCTCATTGACAATCATACCACATCTCCTTGGTCTCTGGTGGATAGTTGTCTCATTGGCAATCATACCACATCTCATTATTTTATTAGTTTTCAGGAATAGCTGTATTTTTAGGGTTTCCAGATTTTTGGAGCAAGCAAGTCCAAAGAACTATGAATTAATTTGGATTTGCCTAAATTTCTAAATCTTTATCATGTTGTAAATATTATGTGATTATTAACTTTTAAGTATTAATTGATCTTCAAAAAGAATAAATATGACATAGAACAAACAGAGATGTACATGTTTATGAGACTACATCCTTTAGAAGAAGACAATCTACATTTGTAAGTGGGAATAACTTTTTTTAATACTTCCTGCAATATTTTGCAAATAAAATATGTTTAAACTGAAACAACAATCTCATAAATTATCAGGATAGTGCTTTCATTGCTGTTTGTTGTCTTATCATGCTACCACAGACTCAGTGTTATTTCTTCTAAAATAACATCAATAACTTAACAAATAATATGTATGTACAAGCAATTACATAGGAAATGAAACACTAGTAGATATTTTAGGGACATGTTCTGTAACAGTTTTAATTAAAAAGTCATTAAGTATTTAAATCATTTTCTATAAGATTAATGACTTTAATAATAGGATTATCTTTAACAATGTTTTTATGAATTTATTTTATTACAAATTTGTTGATGACTAATCTATTCTGATAGGCCATGAAGTTTTAAACATCATAATTCTACAAAACCTTTACTTTAGCTTCATGTGTTTTATTGAATTAAGCAGTCATCAACTCATCGTCTTTGAACATTTGCATCATGTTCATTGCCTTTTCTGGATTTCAAACTTTTCCTTATTCTACATTGTATTTCACAATAAAAAAATGAATAAGATCTTTATATCTTATTTGTCACCTCTCATCACATACATCTGTCATGTTTGTAAATAGGTATTACAGGGGAAATTTATTTTATGTCAAAAACAAAAGAAAAACGGTGAAAAATTGAGAAAAACAAGGACAAGGACATGGAATAAACATCTCTGTCTCACATGCTGCAACATTTTTCAGATTCATAACAATACGGTGGATGTAATCATTCAAAAGGGAAGTTACCTACATTTTGTATATCTAAATAAACATGTCTGCCATATTGTTATGCACAAGACAGAAAAAAATGTACTTCTGAAGAACTATACTTTGAGTAAAAGTAACATATTATCTCAACATTGTAGTTTTATCAATATAAGCTCTATTAAACTATATTAATTAGAGTTGTCGGCTATATTCAATCAATTTTCTAAAATTTTTCAGGTATTTGGTGTACGCACCTTTATTTACTACAAATCAAATTTATATAACTTTTACACCCTGCATTTAGCCTTAACGATGCCACTTAAGGCTGGAACAACATGAAACAGTAAAAGTTACTACATTTGACTGTTTCCACGTCTAATTCTCTGATTTGGCCGTCCTCAGAATCCCTTATCACGCCCTATAAAGTCTATTCGGGAAAATTTTGTCAACTAACTCACTTCGAACCAGTACCTTTGACTCTACAGCATCATTATGCACACCTGAAGCAGGTTAGAATGAAAAAGAAGACATAATTGTCTTTCAGAACAGTTCACTTTTTTTGAAATATCATAGATCCATTTTGTCACAAAATTTAATAAAAAGTAGCTATTTTTTAACATTTCAAGTTTCGTCAGGACATCTGGACTGTAAACTACAGAACTTTTCCTTTATACTTTTGACAAAATGGATCAATTACTATCATTTAAGGTAAGTATTTTCAAAATCTATTGGATTTTTAAAGGCTGATATGTCTTCTATTCAATACACCTTATTAGCTATATGTCCAGCATTACTAGCCAACACAGAGGTTCCCGTAAAATTTTGACATCTCAATAGAAAATGTCAACGCAACAATGCGAGTGACTATTGTATGCATCAATAGTTTAAGTGTTGCAAAATCTCAGGTCAAGTGTAGAAAATTCTGAAAGAGCAACCGCAGGGGTACATAACCATCGGATTTCTCAAAAGAAACCTCAATATCTCTAACAGCGATATCAAAGAAAAGGCCTACATCTCCCTCGTTAGTCCAACAGTCGAATATGCCAGCTCTCTATGGGATCCATATATACCTCCAAAAAGATAAACACAAGTTAGAAATGGTACAAAGGAGATCGGCCAGATATGTAACAAACCGGTACAGTAACAGATCATCCTTAACTGATATGTTGGAACAACTAAAGTGGACACCACTTGAAGATAGAAGGAGAAGCGCACGACTATCAATGATGTATAAGATCAACAATCAGGAGGTCAACATTGCATCAAGCTACAAACTCGTTCCACCGGACAAGATCTCAAGAAATATGGGCACAAACTCTTTTCAGATCCCACAATGTAACACGACAACAAGGAAAGATTAATTCTACCCGAGGACCATCAGGAATTGGAATGCCTTACCCTCCTCAGTTACATCTGTCAGCAGCCTTGAATCGTTCAAGAGGCTCCTGACAAACAAATAAATCAAAAGCCCTTGTTTTTAATCCCCACTGTTAAATATTTGTATATTTGTATAGTACCTTTTTTTGTTTGTTATTTTAATCAAAATTATATTTGCGCATACCCAAAAGTGATAGAATAGTCAACATGATGATGGTGGTCACTAACCGGTAGAAGTAGAAGTAATGCCCAGATGTTGCTGTAGCCTGTAGGCATAAAAAGCATCAGTTAGAATCGAAGTAGTTGGCAAAAAATTTGTTTTTCAACCAAGACTTTTCTAGGGCTGGATAATGAATTTTGATGCATTCAAATCTGAAAATCACTCCAGTCACAGAATCCCAATATATGCAATAAAGCCGGATTATCAGTGATCGGGAAGGACGTGCGCCTTGCGCCAATTGCGCTTATCGACCAGAAATGGCGCATAGAGTGACAAAGGTAAGCGCCCGCGTGGCGCATGATATTTTTCACTTCGTTTTGAAACGTTGAGATATCATCAAATGGATTTCCGATCGTATTTCGTGCCGTGTCGAGTACACAACTCCAATGATAGGAGCACCTATATATTTTTGGGACGTATCGGGTGTTTTCCTATGGTAATAATAGCAACATGCGGTATGACTGATTACCCAAAAAACATAATTAACCATCATTCATGATATATTTTTTTATAAACAACTTTAAATTTGTGAAAATTGGCTAGTACAGTCGAGAATTCTTCTCTAATTATAATCTTTTAAGTAAGCTTGCTATTATTTCGATTGAAAAATCCAAAAGCCTTTTTATGAATAGCATAGTATTTGTCTCCATAAAAGGGGCTTAACTGTCCTTGTCAATTTTTTTGGTCTTTGGCTCGTTTTGACATTAAACATGCCTTCAGCGAATTGTTGTCGTGTCTTATCAATTAACGTTGCTCTCTACTGTTATTCTTGTCATCGTGATGAAGTAATAATAATACAAGTGCAGAGGAAATGCCAGAAACGTCCTCTAATACGGAACGTCTGGAATAAGTATGGTATCGACGAAGACCCAAATTTAATGTAAAAAAATAATGAACATGAACAAGGGAACAGTACCAGTTTTAACATTGTGAATAAAGGTTATCGTAAATATTGCCCGGTTTGGAAGAAGTTATTGTATATTCATTGAAATTGAAATAACAAAATCACAGGAACAATTTCCATGATATTAATTAGAATCATACTTGTAAGTACAGTGAAATATACACTTTTTTATTTTTTTTTTTTATTGTTAACGAATGGCCCACTCATTTGACAACATGGCCCATTAATTCTAAAAATGGCCCATTGAATTTATTTTTGGGGGGCCCTGGGCCCATAGAGAAAAAATCCTTCCAGATCACTGGATTATCTAAAGATCCAGAGAAGCAGGACAAATAGCTAGCTTTATTATTTTAATAAACAGTGTTAGAAATTATCAATTGCCAAGTTCAGCTGACCATGCTGTAAAACTGGTAAAATCTCATAACTAAGGTGATCATTGTCACCGTCCTTCTTTACCTTCGCAGCCTATCAAAATCTCCCTTCGTGCAGGATTGTAGCCGATTGCAGTGATTGCCCGGGAGTGAGTATCACGGATCGAATACAGTTTTTCCATCGCCATTTTTGTAGTTTAATGTATAAATATGTATCTACAATTTACAAATTATTCTCATATGTGTGGTACATGCAAAAATTCCAAAGCGTGCGCCAAAAATTGTCAACTTCCACCATATTTGTATTTCTTGACAACATTGAACTGCGCATATGTATCATTAACTTCCGGTTAAATTGACTGACGAATCGGTCGAAAACCAAACGATTGGTCTATCTATAATTACACAAAACAATTTGTAACAAAATAAAATGCAACGGGAAAATAAAATGCAACGGACATAAATTGAAATTGATGTCAGCAACTGAAGAAATTATGAACAAAAATTAAAAAGTTTACCACAGTCTACGGTCGGTATTTAGAAAATTTAGCACAAAAATACAGTTCCAGCATAATTTGTTCAGAGAAGCTATTAAATCACAGGTCAATATCAAGGTTATTTCTTTTTAACCCTCTCAACTCTCTATGTATTTCCAAGGGATTAAAAATATGATCCCCTCATGTGTCATTTTGGGGAATTTTTGCAATTCTACATTTTGATTAACCTTATATCTTCAGATTTAAAAAATTCAAAAAATAAAAATAATCTGAAGGTTTTACTACAACTATCACATAAACTTACCATTTTCAAATATCCATGAAAATGAGGTCAAGGTCAGTTGAATTATGCCAGATAGACATTTATACCTTCAATCAATTCATACACCAAATATAGTGGTCCTATTTTGTCCTATTACTTATACATTGTGAAGTATCTAGAAAACAGACCAATCTACAAAAACTAAACATTGACCAATGAACCATGAAAATTATGTCAAGGTCATATGAACCCTGCCAGAAAGACATGTTCACCTAACAACAATTCCATACACCAAATATAGTTGATCTATTGCCTATAGTATCTGATAAACTGACAAAACCAAGAAAACTTTACATTGACCAATGAACCACGATAATGAGATCAAGGTCACATGAACCCTGCCAGACATACATGTACACCTTACCATCATTCCATACACCAAATATAATTGTCCTATTGCTTAAAGTATCTGATAAACTGACAAAACTATGAAATTTTAACATGACCAATGAACAATGAAATGAGATAAAAGTCATATGAAACCTGCCAGTTGGACATGTACACCTTACAATCAGTCCATACACCAAATATAGTTGACCTATTGCTTATAGTAACTATTTGATAAAATACAGACTTGACCAAATATAGTGGGCCTATTCCCTATAGTATATTAGTGTGGACAAGTTCATTTATATACAAATTATCTATTTGATATTATTCCCAACTTTGTACTTCGTTTATATCTATTTACTCTATATTATAATGATCTTACTATATTGAACATATATTTGTATTATATGGTTCAATGAATCCAAATACTCTATCTAGGCTCTTTGATATTTACTCACCACTGGTTATTGGACGAATTACTTTTCTTAATAGTTGTTTTATCTGGTTCTGGCCAGTTTGACAGTTCATCTTTTGACTATATATACTGTAATTTTTAACTATATTGTCAATGCAGAATAAGTAGCACCAGAAACAACACTATGAGCCGTAGCCAGCATTATAAGGTATTTATAGTTTAAGGGTTTTTCAAATTAATCTATGGTTAAAAGTTTTTGTCTTAAATATTTTATTTAGTTTCATTTACTTTGCTAATTGTATTTCAAACTTTATATTTTCTTTTTTACCTGTAATAAACTTTCAATGTTGTATAGTATTTTATTGAGACGTATGGTCAACTTACTTTAGTGAACAGTTTTCATTAGCATTAATTAACAAATTGTTTACATTCAGAGTTGTCATTCAACTAGTTTTGCATTATTATTTATTTGCAATAGTGTAATTAAACATAATATACATTATTTGCTACAAAATGATATATTCATATGCATTTATTTGTAAAGTTATATTTATTTGTCATTATCTGTATATTTCAGATCTGTCGTTGCTTTCTTTATAGTATATAATAAAGTATTTGAACGTTCTCATTCAATTCATCTATGTCTTATACCACCTGGTCACATAAGAAACAGACCAAACTTCAAAAACTAAGACATTGTCCAGTGAACCATAAAAATGAGGTCAAGGTCAGATGAAACCTGCCAGTTAGACATGTACACCTTAAAACCATTCCATACACCAAATATAACTGACCTATTGCTTATAGTAACTATCTGATAAAATACAGATATGTAGACCTTGCAAGGAAACCATATATCAAATATAGTTATCCTATTACTGATAATAAGTGAGTATTTCACATGAAAAACAACTATTTTTTTTTCAAATAGTCACTGATAAAAGGGCAATGGACATATGAAGTTTCTTAACATAAGGTATATTTATACAAGGTATGAAGCATCCAGGTCTTCTACTCTCTGAAATTTAAAGCTTTTATAGGAAGTTTCTGACGTCACCCTGACAGGATTTTAATCCTTGTCTCACATTCAGCAACTTTGGTCATGTTATTTTTTTCAGACTAGCTGAAAGCTGAGCTTGTGATCTAGTTCGTTTTGTTCTCATTTATTCTTGACACTTAATTTTATTCTCTTTTATATACATCTTTTTGGTTGAAATATTATACAAACAATTTCTGACCTTTTTTGATAAGTTGCAGTAGTTTTACCTTTACCAATGTCAGTTTTGAATGTACCATTGACTTTTTCCTTGTTTTTGTATTTTTTAATTTCTTTTTTTGATCAATTTGCAACAATTTTATTACAAATTTGGCTTGATATGCTGAGTGAAACTAGAGACTCTAAAGAGCCTGTGTCGCTCACATGGATCTATGTGCATCTTCAACAGCCCTTTCCAACATTGTAAACAAGATTATAATTCATGACTAAAATCTCTTTTCACTTGATCTACTATTGCTGATCAGCAACTACCCATGAGGGTCTCACATGGTTGGTTACTCTTGATCTGCTCTAGCTTTTGCCCAAATGGGTAAAAATCATCATTCAAGACAATAACTCCTATTAGAAGATTTTAATTTCGTCTTTGTAGACCAATTTGTAGTTCTTGTCTTGCAGATATTTTTAGCTTTTCTTTTTCTACTGTTGTTTTACCAAAAATGTAAGCAATGGGTAAAAATTGTAATTCAAGGGCAATAACTCATATAAGAAGTTGACTGACAATTACGGTCTTCTTGACAAATTTGAAGAATCAGCCTTGCCAATCGTTTTTTCTATTTAAAAGTGTTTTTGTTAAATCTAATTATGATAGTTTTGAAAACAATAGGCAAAAAAAGAAAAAAAGACTGTAAAAAAATATTCATTTAAGGGAAATAACTCCTTTGGGCCAGGTGAGCTAAACTTGTCCATCTGAAAAGATTTGCAGCAGCATCACTTTTTTTATAATCAACAATCAAATAGCCATGAAAATCATAATGGTTTCCAATGTGTTTTAAGGAAGATAGTAAACTAGCTTATTATTTTGGCTTTGGTTTTTTTAAGCAGGACATTGATTTTGATTTGTTCACAACAAATATTTATTGTTTGGTCAGAAAACATCTTACACTTAATTGTGACTTTATGATTAATGCTAATAGATATTCCTTTAAATAATTATAAAGTTTTGGACTTTGGCTATGTTTTAAATAATAAAGCTATTAAATGTAGAATTTTATTTAAGTACATGTAACAATATTTTCAGAACACTTCACATACATAAATAAATACACAAATAAATAAATTAACAATCATATTACATACCACTGCAAATAATTGTCAAAATATGACATGTTTTCTACGAAAATTTCCATAAAAAGCATATATGCATTGATAGGAAATGTATAAAACAGGTTTCTGGTACTGATTTGGCAAGATTAAGAATAATTGAAAACTTTTATAATATTAATCGATGAACTAAATGAAGTCATGTTGCTGAAGCTCACTGTCTCAAAACCGGAAATTAAATCTGTATTTGAGAATTTAAATGGGAAAATGATGATTTTCAAAAGAAAATTTGAAAATTGTTAGCAATGTTTGTACTTAATTCTTGTGCCTTTGTGAAAACAGAACAGCACAGTATTATGAAATAACAGTATGATTGAATATCCATATCAGTTTTTAAAAATGTCCATCTCCAAAGATAAGATCAAGAGCTGCTTGAAGATCTCCACCAGTTGCTTGCAGTGCTCTCCTAGCTAAAGCTTCATCAGTTATACCCATATCACGTAACTGTTGTATCTGATCCTGAAAAAAACCCAAATATTATCTGATTGAAAGGGTGTTTGTTTTCTTTTAGTAATACAATCATATACAATTGCAGAAACAGTAAAGATTATTAATTTGTTTTTATGTCTATGGACATTTTATAGATCAATAAAATGCTTCGCTGGGGCGCAGCTTGATACGACCGCAGAGGTCGAACCCTGAACAGTTGGGGCAAGTATGGACACAACATTCAAGCTTGATACAGCTCAGAATTTGGATTGTTATTAAATATTTGACACAGCATAGGTTTCTGACACAGAAAGAATGTGGTCTAAGAACTTGAATTTTTTTAATTTACCTATTATGGTCCAATGTCCAAAATCAAAATACATGGTTAGATTCAGCATATCAAAGAACCCCATATATTCAATTTTTGTTAAAATCAAACAAAGTTTAATTTTGGACCCCAACTTGGACAAACTTGAAAACTGGGCCCATAATCAAAAATCTAAACACATGTTTAGATTCAGCATATCAAAGAACCCCAAGAATTCAATTTTTGCTAAAATCAAACTAAGTTTAATTTTGGACCCTTTGGACCTTAATGTAGACCAATTTAAAAAACGGGACTTAAAATTAAAAATCTAAATATACGGTTAGATTTGGAATATCAAAGAACCCCAATAATTCAATTTTTGATGAAATCAAACAAAGTTTAATTTTGGACCCTTTTGACCTCAATATGAACCAATTTGATAGCGGGGCCCACAAATAAAAAATCTAAATTCATGGTTAGATTCAGCATAACAAAGAACCCCATATATTCAATTTTTGTTGAAATCAAAAAAAGTATAATTTTGGACCCCAACTTGGACCAACTTGAAAACTGGGCCCATAATCAAAAATCTAAACACATGTTTAGATTCAGCATATCAAAGAACCCCAAGAATTCAATTTTTGTTAAAATCAAACTAAGTTTAATTTTGGACCCTTTGGACCTCAATGAAGACCAATTTAAAAAACGGGACCCAAATTAAAAATCTAAAAACACGGTTAGATTTGGCATATCAAAGAACCCCAATAATTCAATTTTCGATGAAATCAAACAAAGTTTAATTTTGGACCCTTTTGACCTCAATATGAACCAATTTGATAGCGGGGCCTACAAATAAAAAATCTAAATACATGGTTAGATTCAGCATATCAAAGAACCTCATATATTCAATTTTTGTTGAAATCAAACAAAGTTTAATTTTGGACCCCAATTTGGACCAACTTGAAAACTGGGCCCATAATCAAAAATCTAAATACATGTTTAGATTCAGCATATCAAAGAACCCCATATATTCAATTTTTGTTGAAATCAAACAAAGTTTAAATACTGGACCCTATCTTGAACCAACTTGAAAACTGGGCCCATAATCAAAAATCTAAACACATGTTTAGATTCAGCAAATCAAAGAACCCCAAGAATTCAATTTTTGTTAAAATCAAACTAAGTTTAATTTGGACCCTTTGGACCTCAATGTAGACCAATTTAAAAAACAGGACCCAAAATTAAAAACCTAAATACACGGTTAGATTTGGAATATCAAAGAACCCCAATAATTCAATTTTAGATGAAATCAAACAAAGTTTAATTTTGGACCCTTTTGACCTCAATATGAACCAATTAGATAACGGGGTCCACAAATAAAAAATCTAAATACATGGTTAGATTCAGCATATCAAAGAACCCCATATATTCAATTTTTGTTGAAATCAAACAAAGTTTAATTTTGGACCCCAATTTGGACCAACTTGAAAACTGGGCCAAAAATCAAAAATCTAAATACATGTTTAGATTCAGCATATCAAAGAACCTCATATATTCAATTTTTGCTAAAATCAAACAAAGTTTAATTTTGGACCCTTTGGACATTAATGTAGACCAATTTGAAAACTGGACCCAAAATTAAAAATCTAAATACACTGTTAGATTCGGCATAACAAATAAATAAATGTGATCAAAGATTTTACAAATCTAATGCGCCATACTGTGCAATTAAAGATTACTTCTTGAAATTTTTCAATATTTGAAATTTGAAAAAAAAATAATATTTGAAGAATAATTCTTTTTAATTTCTGAAATCTGAAATGAGAAAAAATTGGCCCCCCACAATTTCTTTTTTATCCCCCCCCCCTTTTTCCCCCAAAAAAATTCTTTCCCTCAAGATATGGTCATAATCTCAATTCAAATTTCCAATGGAGTTAGCAACCATAATTACCCATTTAAATTTACCATAGTGCTAACTTAATCTATTTTATAATAGAATTAATAAAAATATAGTGTCAAATCTTTCATATGGATTTTTTTGTTAAAAAAAAAAGATGAAAACATTTGCAGATATTTTTACTGGTCTTCCTTTATAAATATGCATTTCTTTAAACATAATTTAAAAGCAGTGTAAGGGAAGTAACCAAAACGTTGTATTTGGATTACCTCCCTTACACTGTTTTAGATTATCTTTATTGTTCATTAACCATTACTTTATACATAATTTAAAAGCAGTGTAAGGGAGATAATTTCAATGATGTATTTGATTTATCTCCCTTACACTGCTTTAAATTATGTTTTGTACTAAAGTATTTGTCCATTAACCAGGACAACCTTGTTTTTCCCCCTTTTTTGCCCCTAATTCCTAAACGGTTTGAGCCATAACCCCCCAAAGCAAATCCTAACCATCCCTTTGTGGTATGGAAACTTGTAGTATAATTTCAGAGAGATCCATACACCGTTCCACAGTTATTGCCTGGAAACTAGAAAATGCTCATTTTTGGCCCCTTTTTGGCCCCTAATTCCTTAACTGTTGGTACCATAACCCCCAAAATCAATCCCAACCTTCCTTTTGTGGTATTTAACCTTATGGTCAAATTTCAAAAAGATCCATTCACTTAAACTAAAGTTAGAGTGCGAAAACCAATATGTATTCGGACGACGACGCCGGACGACGACGACGACGACGACGACGACGACGACGCCAACGTCATACCAATATACGACCACAAAATTTTTTTGCGGTCGTATAAAAAGAAAGAATTTGCAGCTGCCCCAAGAGCACATGGTATGCCCTTATTGTGCATATTGATATTGTTACAAAAATAACAAGAGGCTCTCAAGAGCATGAATCGCTCACCTGTAATTTTTTGCTTAAATCTTTTATCAATGATTATTTTTTCTTTTCAATATATATTAATGAGTGGCTTAAAAATGGCATTTAAATGTTCTTTGTATCTGTCCTATTTTCTTCAAAAGCAAAAAATGCATTTTACTCCTATGTTCCATTTTAGCCATAGTGGCTATGTTTCTTGATGTACAAGGAAATAAAATAAAAATTTATACTAGATTGGCTGAAATTGATTCAGCAGTTTCAAAGGAGAAGATTTTTAAAAGTAAGCAAACAAGATGAACAAATTGTTAAAAATTGACTATTAAGGGCAATAACTCCTTTAGTGGTCAATTGACAATTTTGATCATAGAAACTTATTTGTAGATCTTACTTTGCTGAACATTTTTGCTGTTTACAGTTTATCTTTATCTATAATAATATTATAATAATATTCAAGATAATAACCGAAAACTGCAAAATTTCCTTAAAATCATTAATTCAGGGGCAATAACCCAAAATCAGATACCCGATTTAGCTGATAATTTCAGGGCAGGTAGACCTTGACCTAATGAATACTTTAACATCTTGTCTGATTTGCTTTAAATGCTTTAGTTCTTCAGATATAAGTCAAAATCTGCATTTTACCCTATGTTCTATTTTTAGCCATGGCGGCCATGTTTTCTGAGAAACAGAAAATAAAACACAAACTTTATTCTAGATAACCTAAGAATCATTCAGCTTAAGTTTGGTTTAATTTGGTTCAGCAGTTTCAGAGGAGAAGATTTTTTAAAGTTCAAAAACATGATAAAACAAGAAATGATTGTAACAGGATGCTGTTACGAAGTCTCCCAAACGAAGCTCCCATAATTCGTAATTCCCAGAGTCGCCTGACATTGGGCAACGTCCAGTGAAAATTGGTTTGGTCCAGTAAAGTTATATGCATTAGTGATGCCTGGGGACTAACCCTGTATATCATTCAAATCATCTTGGCATGACAAACCAGAATATATATGGTTTAGGGGTGGGGATCTCGACCATTTACAAGATATTAGAACTTTCTCAAATGGCAGGGGGTCGGGATGACCCCTGGGGACTAACACTGTATATTATTCAAACCATCTTAGCATGACAAACCAGAATATATATGGTTTAGGGGTGGGGATCTTGACCACTTACAAGATATCAGAACTTTCTTTAATGGCATGGGGTGGGGGTGACCCCTAGGGACTAACCCTGTATTACATTTGATGTGCTTTATCATGACAAACCAGAATATATATGGTTTAGGGGTGGGGATCTAGACTATTTACAAGATATTAGAACCTTCTCAAATGGCAGGGGGTCGGGATGACCCCCGGGGACTAACCCTGTATATCATTCAAACCATCTTAGCATGACAAACCAAAATATATATGGTTTAGGGGTGGGGATCTTGACCACTTACAAGGTATTAGAACTTTCTTAAATGGCAGGGGGTGGGGGTGACCCCTGGGAACTAACCTTGTATTTCATTTAATGGGCTTTATCATTTAGAACATTTTCAATTAAAAAGATTGTGTTTATCACAAAAGGTTTTCAATTTATAATTATTTGAAAATTTCAAGAAATAAAATCCCATAGGGTTCTATAGTAAAACCCTCTTTTCTTTTTGCCCCTCAAAGTACCCCTTTATAAACCCCATTGCACAAACAAAACCCTGATTGCACCACTAGACATGTTAGTCTAACATATTGTGAAACCCTAAGTTAATCTGACAAGCGGTTTTGGAGAACGGGTGCGGACAAGTTCAAATTTAAAAGCGGCGGAAGTAGAAGAAGAAGAAGAAGAATAATAATAATAATAAGAACTGAGCTAAAACAATAAGTCTTCCCAAACTTCGTTTGGGAGACTTAACAAGTTGTGTAAAATTGTCCTCAAAGGGCAATAACTCCTTAAGGGGTCAATTGACAATTTTGGTCATATAAACTTATTTGTAGATCTTACTTTGCTGAACATTTTTGCTGTTTACAGTTTATCTTTATCTATAATATTCAAGATAACCAAAAACTGCAAAATTTCCTTAAAATTACCAATTTAGTGACAGCAACCCATCAAATTGGTTGTTAGATTCATCTGAAAATGTCAGGGCTGATAGAACTTGACCTAATGAACATTTTTATCCCTTGTCAGATTTGCTCTAAATGCTTAAGTTTTGAGATATAAGCCAATAAAATGCTCCGCTGGGTGCAGCTTAATACGACCGCAGAGGTCGAACCCTGAACTGTTGGGGCAAGTATGGACACAACATTCAAGCTTGATACAGCACTGAATTTGGATTGTGATTAAATATTTGACACAGCATAGGTTTCTGACACAGAATGAATGTGGTCTAAGAACTTAAATTTTTTTTAATTTACCTATTCAAACCATATCATTATTAATTGCTTTAATATATAAATCAGAAATAACCAATTTAAAATGAAAAATTTTAAAGAAAAAAAGGAAAAAAAGAATCCCCACTCAAAATTTTTTGAACCCCCTTATGATTCATCATCCCCAAACTCAATCCCAGCCTTCCCTTTGTGTTACAATGTATGGTGCCTTGCAGTACAATTTCAGAGAGACCATACACTTGAACACAAGTTATTGTCTGGAAACTAGAAAAATGCTTGTTTTTGGCCCCTTTTTGGCCCCAAATTCCTAAACACTTAGGGCAATTACCCCCAAACTCAAACCCAGCTTTCCCTTTGTGATATGGAACCTTGTTGTACAATTTCATAAAGATCCATACACTTACACACAAGTTATTGTCCTGAAACTACAAAAATGCTTGTTTTTTTGCCCCTTTTTTGCCCCTAATTCCTAAAATCTTGAGGCAATTACCCCATAAATCAATCGCAGCATTCCCTTTGTGGTATGGTACCTTGCAGTACAATTTCAGAGAGATCCTTACACTTGAACACAAGTTATTGTCTGGAAACTAGAAAAATGCTTATTTTTGGCCCCCTTTTGGTCCCTTATTCCTAAACATTTTGGGCAATTACCCCCAAACTCAATTCCAGCTTTCCCTTCGTGATATGGAACCTTGTAGTACAATTTAAGAAAGATCCATACACTAACACACAAGTTATTGTCCTGTAACTAGAAAAATGCTTGCTTTTTTGTCCCTTTTTGGCCCCTAATTCCTAAAATTTTGAGGCAATTACCCCCGAAATCAATCCCAGCCTTTCCTTTAGTGGTATGGTACCTTGCAGTACAATTTCAGAGAGATCCATACACTTGAACACAAGTTATTGTCTGGAAACTAGAAAAATGCTTATTTTTGGCCCCTTATTCCTAAACGTTTTGGGCAATTACCCCCAAACTCAATTCCAGCTTTCCCTTTGTGATATTGAACCTTGTAGTACAATTTCAGAAAGATCCATACACTTACACACAAGTCATTGTCATGAAACTAGAAAAATGCTTGGTTTTTGCCCCTTTTTTGGCCCCTAATTCCTAAAATTTTGAGGCAATTACCCCAAAAATCAATCCCAGCATTCCTTTAGTGATATGGAACCTTGTGGTACAATGTCAGAGAGATCCATACACTAACACACAAGTTATGTCTTGAAGTTACAAAAATGCTTATTTTTGGCCCCTTTTTGGCCCCTAATTTCTTAACTGTTGGTACCATAACCCCCAAAATCAATCCCCACCTTCCTTTCGTGGTATTGAACCTTGTGGTAAAATTTCATAGAGATCCATTCACCTAAACTAAAGTTAGAGTGCGAAAACCAATGTGTCTTCGGACGACGACGACAACGCCGACGCCGACGCCAACATCATACCAATATACGACCACTGCATTTTACCCCTATGTTCTATCTTTAGCCATGGCGGCCATGTTTTTTGACGAAACAGAAAATAAAACACAAACTTTATTTAGATACCCTAAGGATCATTCAGCTTAAGTTTGGTTGGAATTGGTTCAGCAGTTTAAGAGGAGAAGATGTTTGAAAAAGTTTACACCAGACGGACGACGACAACGGACGCCTAGTGATGGCAAAAGCTAAAAAATGGGATATAACGAGAAGCAAAAACTAGAGGCTCTCAAGAGCCTGTGTAGCTCACCTGTATTTACTGATGCTTTGGAAATCATGTAAAATAAGGTAAAAATCATAATTAATAGTATAAGATATTAGATATTATAATAATATCTAAGATAATAACAAAAACTGCAAATTTTTTGTAAAATTACTAACTCAGGGGCAGCAACCCAGCAGCAGGTTGTCGGATTCGTCTGAAAATTTCAGGGCAGATAAATCTTAATCTGATAAACATTTTTGCCACCTATCAGATTTGCTCTAAATGCTTTAGTTTCAGAGATATAAACCAAAAACTGCATTTTACCCCTATGTTCTATTTTTAACCAAGTCGGCCATGATGGTTGGAAGGCGGGGTCATCGGACAAAATTTTAGATACCCTAATAATGATGATGGCCAAGTATGGTTAAATTTGTCTCAGTAGTTTCAGAGAAGAAGATTTTTGTAAAAGATTACAAAAATTTACAAAAAATTGTTAAAAATTGACTATTAAGGGCAATAACTCCTAAAGGGGTCGACTGACAATTTTGGTCATGACAACTTATTTGTAGATCTTACTTTGCTGAACATTATTGCTGTTTACAGTTTATCTCTATCTATAATAATATTCAAGATAATAACCAAAAACTGCAAAATTTCCTTAAAATTACCAATTCAGTGGCAGCAACCCAACAACAGGTTGTCAGATTTGTCTGAAAATTTCAGGGCAGATAGATCTTGACCTGATAATCAGTTTTACCCTATGTCAGATTTACTCTAAATGCTGGTTTCAGAGATATAAGCCAAAATCTACATTTTACTCCTATGTTCTATTTTTAGCCATGGCGGCCATCTTGGTTGGTTGGCGGGGTCATCGGACACATTTTTAAAACAAGATACCCTAATGATGATTGTGGCCAAGTTTGGTTAAATTTGGCCCAGTGGTTTCAGAGGAGAAGATTTTTTTAAAAAGCTAACGACGACGGACGAAGACGACGACGGACGATGGACGCCAAGTGATGAGAAAAGCTCACTTGGCCCTTCGGGTCAGGTGAGCTAAAAATGGCCCTGTAGAAAATATGCATGAGGATATCCTTAAGTGTAGGAATATAGTGTTGAATGTGACTATTAAAAGTCAGATTAGAATGACAAACCAGAAGAGCCTACATTCACCAATCTAGCAACAGTATTAAGATTATGGTAATATAATCTAATCATACTAGAGCTAGTGCATGACATTTAAAAAATGCCTTTTATTTATATGATAGTGAAAGTCCCATAACTCTGGAATGACAAATCAGAATTTGCTAAAATCAAACAACCTGTCATGTTCATCAATTCCAACAATTATATTAAGTTTCCAGTAATCCAGCAAACTTAAGTTATGGTACAAAATGTGAAAAATTATCTAAAATCAAACAATTTTAAAAAGTTCTGTGACTCTGGTAGGACAAACCAGAAAATTCAAAAAATTGATCAATCCCAACAATTATGTAAAGTTTTAAGGAAATCAATCCAAACATACTTGCATTAGTTCTTGTTATGTCAAAAATTGCCTTAATTCAAAGGTTAAAGTCCTGTAACTCCAAAACAACAAAGCCAAAAACTTTCAAAATCAAAAGGGAGCTTTCTTTAGTTATTCCTAATGTTGTGTTCAAATCACAAGCAAATTTGAGTTATCATACTAAGTGTTAACAGATGGACAATTGCATGGACATTTGTATACCATTTTATGTTAGATCATCGACAGGCATATAATAAAAATAAGGAAAAACAATCAAATTTGCAATTCAATTCCTGTCCTCATTTTAATGTTGGGTAGACATTTTATATAACAATGCAGGTTTATATGAGAAATTCATCGGTGAAACTTTGTGTTGAATTTTCCAAACAATCTCTGCTATTATACTTGAGTTGTTCAGAATTTGAAAACAGTTTTACATGTTTTGTTATTTTACATGTTTTGTTATTTTACATGTTTTGTTATTTTACATGTTTTGTTATTTTAGACCAACAGTCAAAACAGATAAAACTAAGATAATCCTTGCATAAACAATTTGAACAGATTGTTCACAATGTCATACTTTCCCTTATTTAGAAAAAAAAATATACAAAAGGATTTTCGATTGTTTGTCATCAGAGTAGTGTGCTTGTTAAAATACTGTACACTTAAATTAAAGACATAAAAATATATTAAATAGCTATATATAACAGCAAAATTTTGCACAATTTCTGTTTCAGTTATTTACTTAAATCTACAAAATGCCAAATTTTTAGCAGGCTAGACAAAGATATGATCTACAGTGATTTTGAAACAAACTGTGTATGTTTCATTGATTCTTTATTTCTAACAGATACTTTTACACTTCATTAAAACAAATATGAGATCAGTCCAGTTAGATTGTAACTTTTAACCCAAATTGATGTGTATGACAAAAGTGGTAACATGTTATGGTGTGACTGAACAAGCATAGATCTGATATACTTACATCAGATGGTGCAGTTGTTCTTTGTGCTTGATCAATGGCTTGTGAGAAAAAATCACTAGAGATGATAGGTGGTCCTCCCTGAAATAATGTACAAATGTTTCACTGGTGCATTCTTAACTTTTCATTAAGGTTATACAACTTTTTGAGTGTGACATTTATTTATCACTTTTTAATCCCTTTTGCTTTCTTATCTCAAGGCATTGCAGGCAATCCACGTAACCATAAAGGAGACCATGGTTATGCATTTTGGTGTCGGTTCCTTTAACTGACAGTAACTCGTAGATTCATATGGTTTCTGTTAACTGACAGTAACTGGTACATCAAAATGGGTTCTGTTGACCAGTGATACCTTTGAGTTGTAAATTATCAGTGGACTTTAGTGTGAACTATAGTAACTATACTCTTTATTAATTCAACAACACCCTAATAAGAAAGTTTACTAGCACACATTTACCTATTAATACTGGATGTCAACATAACACCAAAACACTCAGAACAGAGACAGAATATATAAAATCTGTGGATATTGTCAAGCATCCTTAAAATTTGTTGGTTCTTTTCATGATTTTCTTTAAATAAAAACTTGAGATGAACATAAGATAAGTTATAGAACTGATTTATTCATCTTAAATATTTTGTATGCATATATTAGTTTCACCATCTGTGTGCACGTGCACACTAGTACACATGTTAACAACATGACTCTGTCCATTATTCGGCAAAAACCTTTTGAATTCAATCAGTCTTGAAATTATTTTGACACACTAAATCATTTACTGCTAAAATTATTTAGTTGAAATTCAATACATCATGAAAAACAAATTTAGAAAGATTAACTTACCCGGTATCCTATTTTTTTACCTGTCAGGTGAACAGGTATATCACAGTGACGTTTATGTCTTATTTGTAATTGTTTTAATGACTGGGTATGTAATAAGACGTTGTTTTTACATTTACTATTCATTTCACTTGAATAACTGGAAAAGTGTGCCCATGTTTAGGGAAACTGTCCTGTCAAAAAATTTGCCTAAACGTCAATATTTTTCTTTATTATATAAAATATTCTTTTGGTCCTGTTCAGTGTTATACTACCTCTACAAATATTGTAAGAAAAGATTTTGTCCTGCAATTATGACCCTTTTTGAAGCCTTGTTTCCATTTCTTATATGAGAATTCAAGAAGAATCTTGTAAAATTTTTAATATTAATTAACATTTTATAACATAGAGAATATGTTTAGAACATTTATTATAGGTAACAAATATATGAGTATTTCAGTATCCAGTAACTATTCCTAACAAGCTTGACATTTGAACATACATGTAATATATTCCTTATATAATACAGCAGAACCTCGTTGTGTCGAAAACTACGATGTGTCGTAGTAATTTGTCAATCCCTTGTAAAGTAATTTCTTATGTTACCTATTCATTTTCAAAAGAGATTAAAGCTGTGTAAACATTCTTGTTTGTATATCAGTTAAAATGAAATGTTTATGGTGACTGGTAATTAACACCTTTAGTGTGGAACTTTAGTGTGTTGAACATATTTCACCTGACATAGAAACAACTCTACAGCATAAAAACTCCCATTCATTGTTGATAGAATTCATTTGAACCAGTCATATTTGTGAAGTTTAGAAACAAGATCTATCTTAACCCAAATTAACAGTTTCTACAAATAATACCTATATTAACACTTTATACTTTGTGACACTAACTTTTCAATTTTTGTATATATACAAACCTTGGATGACTCTAAATTTTGGTATCCATAAGTACTTGTAAACTGATTTTTGAAAAACAATTTGAAATAATATTATAAAATACCTGTGGTTGTGGACTGGTGTCTGGTTGAGATGGGCCTCCTGCTGAGGCTAAGGCAGCTGCTAACTGTGCTGGTGTTATTGCTGATCTTGGAGCCTATAAAAAATATAATAGTTGCCAGTCACCTATTTAATTACAAAAACCTAGCGTATTTGCCATGCAAGTTTTAATCAAAACAAATGGCAATAAAACCTGTATTTCTAAAAGCACATTTTTGCCTTGAGGAAAGATTTTTACATTTTCATAAGCTTGTAAATTCAACCAGTGTTGGGTTGGCATTCACAATTTTTATTTTATTTTCCCCCAGCTTACTTTACATGGATAGCTGTGATAAAATTTAAATACCACCCTTACAGCAGGTTAAACAATTGTAGGACACTTACTATCAGATAGTGGAGGCCTTATGCGACTTCTGGCGCGGAGAGAATTATGGTAAAGGTAAGGTTACTACATGTATCAGATATGAGCTCAACATGCATAAACTTATAAAATGTGAAATATAGGTCAAAGTAACCTTCTTTTTGTTGGAGGTTGACATTTCCTGAGCTGCATCCTCACACTAAGTTACAGGTCGCTCAGTATATGAAATTACTAAACTTGAATGTGAACTTTTACTAAGTAAAGATGTTTTAAAAATTCTTCCAAGCAACTTAACCATGAAATATTGGTAATTCTTTTTTGCATTCTTTTACAACTTATCTAGACGTTGGTCAATCTATTATATGGCGTGAAGTTGAAGGACAGAAGTTCCTAGTCTATTTTGTGGTTCTCCCCACATAAAACACTTACAGAACTTCCTTGTCTATTTTGTGGTGCTTCCAACAATTTCCTGGTCTATTTTGGGGTACTCCCCACATTACAACACTTACAGAAGTTTCTGGTCTATTTTGTGGTTCTACCCACATAAAACACTTACAGAAGTTCCTTGCCTTTTTTGTGGTTCTCCCCACATAAAACACTTACAGAATTTCCTCGTCTACTTTGTGGTTCTCCCAACATAAAACACTTACAGAAATTCTTGGTCGATTTTGGGGTTCTCCCCACATAAAACACTTACAGAAGTTCCTAGTCTATTTTGTGGTTCTCCCAACAAGTTCCTGGTCTATTTTGGGGTTCTCACCACATTAAACACTTACAAAAGTTTCTGGTCTATTTTTTTGGTTCTACCAACACAAAACAATAACAGAAGTTCCATATCTTTTTTGTGGTTCTCCCCCAATTAAAACACTTACAGAAGTTCCTTGTCTATTTTGTGGTTCTCCCAAAAAAAACAATTACAGAATTTCCTTGCCTATTTTGTTGTTCTCCCCACAATAAACACTTACAGAAGTTTCTCGTCTATTTTATGGTTCTCCCTACATTAAACACTTACAGAATTTCCTTGTCTATTTTTTGGATCTCCCCACATAAAACACTTACAGAAGTTCCTGGTCTATTTTGTGGTTTTTCCCACATAAAACACTTACAGAAGTTCCTGGTCTATTTTGTGGTTCTCCCCACATAAAACACTTACAGAAGTTCCTGGTCTATTTTTTGGATCTCCCCACATAAAACACTTACAGAAGTTCCTGGTCTATTTTGTGGATCTCCCCACATAAAACACTTACAGAAGTTCCTGGTCTATTTTGTGGTTCTCCCCACATAAAACACTTACAGAAGTTCCTGGTCTATTTTGTGGTTCTCCCCACATAAAACACTTACAGAAGTTCCTGGTCTTTTTTTTGGATCTCCCCTCATAAAACACTTACAGAAGTTCCTGGTCTATTTTGTGGATCTCCCCACATAAAACACTTACAGAAGTTCCTGGTCTATTTTGTGGTTCTCCCCACATAAAACACTTACAGAAGTTTCTGGTCTATTTTGTGGTTCTCCCCACATAAAACACTTACAGAAGTTCCTGGTCTATTTTTTGGATCTCCCCACATAAAACACTTACAGAAGTTCCTGGTCTATTTTGTGGATCTCCCCACATAAAACACTTACAGAAGTTCCTGGTCTATTTTGTGGTTCTCCCCACATAAAACACTTACAGAAGTTCCTGGTCTATTTTGTGGTTCCATATCTTCATCATCTGACATTTGTTCAAATGAGTAAGCACCTGGAAATAATCAAAATAGTAAGCCCTTGGAAATTACAAATCAATTACACAATCAATTCTAGAAAATAACATTAGGTCTGATACAGAAAAGGCAAGCTTATTGTAATGATTTTATCATGGATCAAAAGTTGCATTTTGATCTCAATGTATTGAGTTTACACAATTACATCTATATTCAAGTAGTAGTTTTAGGGAGAAATAGACACTACAAGTTTTACCATCACAATTATGATCTGATTATTAGTAAACACATTCATTGCTCAAGATTAAAGTATATCTACCGTACTAGAATCATTATTCAAATGGTACCTCTTAACTCCAGAATGGAATTTTCCTAAGAATCCACAGACCCTTTGAAACCGACAAATTCTATTCACCTCCTAGAAGATAAAGGTTACCTAGTCATTTTTGGCAACCTTTATGGGTATGCTTTGTATGTTTAATACTATAGAAAAGAAACAGGGACTTTTATCCAGATAATTGAATTATTATCTATTTCAGAAAATGAGAATGTTATAGATACTAAGACAGCAGGTTCCCAGACCAAGTGAGCTAAAAATGAAAACAAATACCAGGAGCTAATCTTTCTGCACCAGCCTCCATCTTAGAGCCTTCTTCACAGACTGCTGCTGCTACCATCATTGCTGCTTGTCCAAAAGCTGGATGTTTCTCTAATATTCTGTGAAATATATTTTAAAACAATTTTTTCAAATCTGATTAAATAATAAAAATCAATTTCTTGCACAAGTGAAGATTGTGTCATTATTTTTCTTACTTTTTGTTTTCTACCTTCCAATATTTAGGCCAGTTCATTCTAGGGATTTTTTGTTTGCTTTTACAGACATTATATTTTTACAGAGCAAATTTAAATGAAAAATTTTAGTTCTGTGAACTGTATTGACCTTATATCACAATTAAACATGAATAGAAGAAGTACAACAATCCACCTGATGAACCAAAATTTGCAGTAAGGTAGTGTAATATTAGATAAAAATACTATAAGCAACCATAAATAATTGGTGAAGGTGCTGAAATTAGGAAATGTTGAGGCAAATAATGGAATTTATATAATAGTCTTTTTTTAAATGACTAAATTCATATGACTTTATCTTATGCTAGTAGCTTTTTTTCAAGATTTTTTTTTTCTTTTTCTTTAAATGTTTTTATGTTGAGATCACTCAGATATGTTTTTATAAAATATTGTACAGTAAATAAATTATCTATGTTGTTATGCAACAAGAAAATGACTGAGGTGATTTAATTTTTTTTCTTTTCTGATGGAATTTTGTAAGATCTAGTTGCTCATAATTTCTTTTGAAATTCTTTCTATTAATTATCTATCAAGTCATATAACAGTGCTTATTTCATATACAATTCATACAAAATATGAAAGTTGTGCACAACCTCTACCTAGCTTGAAAAAAAGCATGGTGACCTTTTCGTTATGTATATCTTTTTATTATGTATATCTACGAAAATAATCAGAAATGATCTAAATTTTGACATATCTTTTAAGTGTCATTTTTTTGTTCATACTCCTATTCTACCTTAAACATAAATAACTGATTTCAATTTACAGAACTCACTGTCTGATATTTCCTGGATGTGCTAGAATAGCTAACAAAGCCCTGTCTTGAAGCATAGCTGTAACAAAAAAAATATGATTTTTTTTTAATAATTGTTGCTTTTTAACTTTGAGCAGATATTAGAATATATTTCATGAAATTATAATGTTTGATTTTATGACATGTTAAGTATAGTCCTTTTGACTTCTATAAATCTTCAGAAAATAATTCTTAAAAATTTATTTTTTTTCTTGATGTATGTTAATGTATGATATATACGAACTCTGACTATGAATATCATAATTTTAGGCTAATAATCAAAAAAGTTACCCATTAGGTCTCTATGTTACTCCTTTTTTTTTATATAAAATACTTGATGGAGTAAGTATGAATAGTGTAACAGCCTTCCATTCATATATACTTATATATCATACATTAACATACATCAAGAAAAAAAATGTTTATTTGCAGAAATGAAGTTTTAAAGAATTATTTTCTGAAGATTTAAAGAAGTCAAACGGACTATATGTCATTTTCAAGTCAGAATTTCTTTAAATGATTTGAGCATATTTTAGTATAATTCTTTTATGTATAGTGTTATAAGGTATATTGACAGAGGTTAACTTAAAATAGATCTACCAATAGCCACTGGGTCCTTCTCTAAGCCTGGAGAAGCTGCAATAACATTTTCTAGTGTCTCTGGATTGTTCACCATTCTTTCTACCTACAAAATATATATCAAATAGAACAGATCAAAGGAAACAAGGTATATAGACACATTTTACTCTGATGTGTTATTAAGTTGCTTTGTAATTGATGTATATCTTAAATTTCCTTTCATTCCTATTAAACAGAGACAACAAATTTGGAAATTTAAACTTGTCACCAGCTTTTAATCTGTAACAAAAAATCTGCTACCTTTAAAATCCATTTCTAACTATCAGAAATCATATTCCAAATATGAAAACTTGAATCATTATGCAGAAAATTTAAATATTATGGATTTTTTAGCATACTCAACAAATGATAATGGCTGTTTTACTGTAAATTGGATTCAATATGATTCTTTCAGGCTTTTGATTAAAGTAAACTCGAGCTATCTCACAGAATCAACCAATTCTCCTTGTTTTGAAGCACATAAATCCTACATGAAGCAAAAAATGTTTCAACTTCTTCATTACTGAATTTCAAATGATACCAGTGCTTGATACTTTTTTCTCCAAAATATTCTGACTTTTGTTTTGAAGGTAAGCAAAACTTATCACCAGTTAACTGTAAATTTTGCAATTAAGGCAAAACTCCTAAACAAGCAGAAAGCTGTACTGCTAAAAATTTATCTTGACCAGTATTTTGGTGTTAAAAGAAAGGATGTTTTTTATGATCCTGGACAAATACAATGATTACATAATAAACTTACTATAGCCGAATAATCTTGTGTCACCAATGCTGCTCTAACTGTTTGTGTTAGCTGTCTAACATCTACATCTGCCATCATATCTATGAAAATAAGTTATGTTTACTTACTTTATTCATGTTAGAAAATTGTTTTTAATTGCAAATATAATTATATGTTTCTATATTTTTCTATGATATTATAATAGTATAAATTCTGGCTTTAACTACGCGAGTATGATAGATATTACACCTCCTTCCATTTTCCAATAAAACAAAAAAAAGAAAATATAGATGTAAACAAGAGGCTCTCAAGAGCCTGAATCGCTCATCTGTAATTTTTTGCTTAAATCTTTCATCAATGATTTTTTTGCTTTTTAATATATATTAATGAGTGGCTTAAAAATTCCATTGAGATGTTCTTTTTATCTGTCATATTTTTTTCAAAAGCAAAGAAATACATTTTACCCCTATGTTCCATTTTAGCCATAGTGGCTGTTTCTTGACGTACAAGAAAATAAAATACAAAATTTATACTAGATACTCTGAAACTCATTCAGTCCAAGTTTGGCTGAAATTGATTCAGCAGTTTCAAAGGAGAAGATTTTTTAAAGTAAGCAAACTAGACGAACAAATTGTGAAAAATTGTCTTAAAAGGCCAATAACTCCTTAAGGACACATTTGACAATTTTGGTCAGTTTTAACTTATTTGTAGATCTTACTTTGCTGAACATTTTTGCTGTTCACAGTTTATATTTATCATTAATAATATTCAAGATAATGACCAATAAAATGCTTAGCTGGGGCGCAGCTTGATACGACCGCAGAGGTCGAACCCTGAACAGTTGGGGCAAGTATGGACACAACATTCAAGCTTGATACAGCTCTGAATTTGGATTGTTATTAAATATTTGACACAGCATAGGTTTCTGACACAGAAAGAATGTGGTCTAAGAACTTGAATTTTTTTTAATTTACCTATTATGGTCCAATGTCCAAAATCAAAATACATGGTTAGATTCAGCATATCAAAGAACCCCATATATTCAATTTTTGTTAAAATCAAACAAAGTTTAATTTTGGACCCCAACTTGGACAAACTTGAAAACTGGGCCCATAATCAAAAATTTAAACACATGTTTAGATTCAGCATATCAAAGAACCCCAAGAATTCAATTTTTGCTAAAATCAAACTAAGATTAATTTTGGACCCTTTGGACCTTAATGTAGACCAATTTAAAAACAGGACTTAAAATTAAAAATCTAAATACACAGTTAAATTTGGAATATCAAAGAACCCAAATAATTCAATTTTTGATGAAATCAAACAAAGTTTAATTTTGGACCCTTTTGACCTCAATATGAACCAATTTGATAGCGGGGCCCACAAATAAAAAATCTAAATTCATGGTTAGATTCAGCATATCAAAGAACCCCATATATTCAATTTTTGTTGAAATCAATCAATTTTAATTTTGGACCACAATTTGGACCAACTTGAAAACTAGGCCCATAATCAAAAATCTAAACACATGTTTAGATTCAGCATATCAAAGAACCCCAAGAATTCAATTTTTGTTAAAATCAAACTAAGTTTAATTTTGGACCCTTTGGACCTCAATGAAGACCAATTTAAAAAACAGGACCCAAAATTAAAAATCTAAATACACGGTTAGATTTGGCATATCAAAGAACCCCAATAATTCAATTTTTGATGAAATCAAACAAAGTTTAATTTTGGACCCTTTTGACCTCAATATGAACCAATTTGATAACGGGGTCCACAAATAAAAAATCTAAATACATGGTTAGGATCAGCATATCAAAGAACCCCATTTATTCAATTTTTGTTGAAATCAAACAAAGTTTAATTTTGGACCCCAATTTGGACCAACTTGAAATCTGGGCCAAAAATCAAAAATCTAAATACATGTTTAGATTCAGCATATCAAAGAACCTCATACATGTATATTCAATTTTTGCTAAAATCAAACAAACAAAGTTTAATTTTGGACCCTTTGGACCTTAATGTAGACCAATTTGAAAACTGGACACAAAATTAAAAATCTAAATACACTGTTAGATTCGGCATAACAAATAAATAAATGTGATCAAAGATTTTACAAATCTAATGCGCCATACTGTGCAATTAAAGATTACTTCTTGAAATGATTCAATATTTGAAATTTGAAAAAAAAATAATATTTGAAGAATAATTCTTTTTAATTTCTGAAATCTGAAATGAGAAAAAATTGACCCCCCACAATTTCTTTTTATCCCCCCCCCCCCTTTTCCCCCCAAAAAATTCTTTCCCTCAAGATATGGTCATAATCTCAATTCAAATTTCCAATGGAGTTGGCAACCATAATTACCCATTTAAATTTACCATAGTGCTAACTTAATCTATTTTATAATAGAATTAAAAATATAGTGTCAAATCTTTCATATGGATTTTTTTGTAAAAAAAAAAGATGCAACATTTGCAGATATTTTTACTGGTCTTCCTTTATAAATATGCATTTCTTTAAACATAATTTAAAAGCAGTGTAAGGGAAGTAACCAAAACGTTGTATTTGGATTACCTCCCTTACACTGTTTTAAATTATCTTTATTGTTCATTAACCATTACTTTATACATAATTTAAAAGCAGTGTAAGGGAGATAATTTCAATGATGTATTTGATTTATCTCCCTTACACTGCTTTAAATTATGTTTTGTACTAAAGTATTTGTCCATTAACCAGGACAACCTTGTTTTTCCCCCTTTTTTGCCCCTAATTCCTAAACGGTTTGAGCCATAACCCCCCAAAGCAAATCCTAACCATCCCTTTGTGGTATGGAAACTTGTAGTATAATTTCAGAGAGATCCATACACCGTTCCACAGTTATTGTCTGGAAACTAGAAAATGCTTATTTTTGGCCCCTTTTTGGCCCCTAATTCCTTAACTGTTGGTAACATAACCCCCAAAATCAATCCCAACCTTCCTTTTGTGGTATTTAATCTTATGGTCAAATTTCAAAAAGATCCATTCACTTAAACTAAAGTTAGAGTGCGAAAACCAATGTGTCTTCGGACGACGACGACGACGCCAACGTCATACCAATATACGACCACAAAATTTTTTTGCGGTCGTATAAAAACTGCAAAATTCCTTAAAATTACCAATTTAGTGACAGCAACCCAACAATGGACTGTTAGATTCGTTTGAAAATTTCATGGCTGATAGAAATTGGCCTAATGAACATTTTAACCTCACATCAGATTTGCTCTAATTGCTTAAGTGTTTGAGATATATTAGCCAAAAACTGCATTTTACTCCTATGTTCTAATTTTAGCCATGGCGGCTATGTTTTTTGACGAAACAGTAAATAAAACACAATCTTTATTCTAGATACCCTAAGCATCATTCAGCATAAGTTTGGTTGGAATTGGTTCAGTGGTTTCAGAGGAGAAGATTTTTTAAAGTTAGAAAACATGATAAACTAATTGTGTAAAATTGTCCTTTAGGGCATTAGCTCTTTAAGGGGTCAATTGACAATTTTGGTCATATAAGCTTATTTGTAGATCTTACTTTGCTGAACATATTTGCTGTTAACAGTTTATCTTTAACATTAATACTATTCAAGATAATAACCAACAAAATGCTCCGCAGGGCGCAGCTTGATACGACCACAGAGGTTGAACCCTGAACAGTTGGGGCAAGTATGGACACAACATTCAAGCTTGATACAGCTCTGAATTTGGATTGTGATTAAATATTTGACACAGCATAGGTTTCTGACACAGAATGAATGTGGTCTAAGAACTTAAAAATTTTAAATTGGACATTCACCTATTATGGTCCAATATCCAAAATCTAAATACATGGTTAGATTCAGCATATTAATGAACCCCCAAGAATTCAATTTTTGATGAAATCAAACAAAGTTTAATTTTGGACCCTTTTGACCTCAATGTGGACAAAGTTGATAACAGGGCCCAAAAATCAAAAATCTAAATACATGGTTAGATTCAGCATATCAAAGAACCCCATATATTCAATTTTTGTTGAAATCAAACAAAGTTTAATTTTGGACCCCGATTTGGACCAACTTGAAAACTGGGCCCATAATCAAAAATCTAAATACATGTTTAGATTCAGCATTCAAAGAACCCTAAGAATTCAATTTTTGTTAAAATCAAACAAAGTTTAATTTTGGACCCTTTGGACCTTAATGTAGACCAATCTGAAAACGGAACCAAAAATTAAGAATCTAAATACACGGTTAGATTCAGCATATCAAAGAACCCCAATAATTCAATTTCTGTTGAAATCAAACAAAGTTTAATTTTGGACCCCGATTTGGACCAACTTGAAAACTGGGCCCATAATCAAAAATCTAAATACATGGTTAGATTCAGCATATCAAAGAACCCCATATATTCAATTTTTGTTGAAATCAAACAAAGTTTAATTTTGGACCCCGATTTGGACCAACTTGAAAACTGGGCTCATAATCAAAAATTTAAATACATGGTTAGATTCAGCATATCAAAGAACCCCATACATTCAATTTTTGTTGAAATCAAACAAAGTTTAATTTTGGACCCTTTTGACCTCAATGTGGACAAAGTTGATAACGGGGCCCAAAAATCAAAAATCTAAATACATGGTTAGATTCAGCATATCAAAGAACCCCATATATTCAATTTTTGTTGAAATCAAACAAAGTTTAATTTTGGACCCCGATTTGGACCAACTTGAAAACTGGGCCCATAATCAAAAATCTAAATACATGGTTAGATTCAGCATATCAAAGAACCCCATATATTCAATTTTTGTTGAAATCAAACAAAGTTTAATTTTGGACCCCGATTTGGACCAACTTGAAAACTGGGCCCATAATCAAAAATCTAAATACATGGTTAGATTCAGCATATCAAAGAACCCCATATATTCAATTTTTGTTGAAATCAAACAAAGTTTAATTTTGGACCCCGATTTGGACCAACTTGAAAACTGGGCTCATAATCAAAAATCTAAATACATGGTTAGATTCAGCATATCAAAGAACCCCATACATTCAATTTTTGTTGAAATCAAACAAAGTTTAATTTTGGACCCTTTTGACCTCAATGTGGACAAAGTTGATAACGGGGCCCAAAAATCAAAAATCTAAATACATGGTTAGATTCAGCATATCAAAGAACCCCATATATTCAATTTTTGTTGAAATCAAACAAAGTTTAATTTTGGACCCCGATTTGGACCAACTTGAAAACTGGGCCCATAATCAAAAATCTAAATACATGGTTAGATTCAGCATATCAAAGAACCCCATATATTCAATTTTTGTTGAAATCAAACAAAGTTTAATTTTGGACCCCGATTTGGACCAACTTGAAAACTGGGCCCATAATCAAAAATCTAAATACATGTTTAGATTCAGCATATCAGAGAACCCTAAGAATTCAATTTTTGTTAAAATCAAACAAAGTTTAATTTTGGACCCTTTGGACCTTAATGTAGACCAATTTGAAAACGGAACCAAAAATTAAGAATCTAAATACACGGTTAGATTCGGCATATCAAAGAACCCCAATAATTCAATTTCTGATGAAATCAAACAAAGTTAAATTTTGGACCCTTTGGACCTCAATGTGGACCAATTTAAAAACGGGGCCCAAAATCCAAAAACTTAATACACGGTTAGATTCAGCATATTAAAGAACCCCAAGAATTCAAGAATAAAACCCTATTGAAATTGATCAAGAAATAAGCAATTTATACGAAGTATCTTCTTTTGCACAATACTGTGCAATTGAATATTTCTTGCTATTGCGCAATACTGTACAATTGACAATTTCTTGCTATTGCGCAATATTGTGCTATTGGATATTTCTTGCTATTGCGCAATACTGTGCAATTGGAGATTTCTTGCTATTGTGCAATACTGTGCAATTGAACATTTCTTGCTAATGTGCAATACTGTGCAATTGAAAATTTCTTGCTATTGCACAATACTTATTATATAATAATTTACACATTCTGTTTGGTGTGTATCTCCTACCATATCATTATTATTTGCTTTTAAATATAAATCAGAAATAACCAACTTAAAATGGAAAATTTTAAAAGAAAAAAAAAGGAAAAAAAGAAAAAAAAAGAAAAAAAAAAAAAATCCCTGCCCCCCCCAAAAAATTTTTTGAACCCCCTTATGATTCATCACCCCCAAACTCAATCCCAGCCTTCCCTTTGTGGTATGGTACCTTGCAGTACAATTTCAGAGAGATCCATACACTTGAACACAAGTTATTGTCTGGAAACTAGAAAAATGCTTATTTTTGGCCCCTTTTTGGCCCCCAATTCCTAAACGTTTCGGGCAATTACCCCCAAACTCAATTCCAGCTTTCCCTTTGTGATATGGAACCTTGTAGTACAATTTCAGAAATATCCAAACACTTACACACAAGTTATTGTCATGAAACTAGAAAAATGCTTGTTTTTTGCCCCTTTTGTGGCCCCTAATTCCTAAAATGTTGAGGCAATTACCCCCAAAATCAATAACAGCCTTCCCTTTGTGATATGGAACCTTGTGGTACAATGTCAGAGAGATCCATACACTTACACAGAAGTTATTGTCTGGAAGTTACAAAAATGCTTATTTTTGGCCCCTTTTTCCTTAACTGTTGGTACCATAACCCCCAAAATCAATCCCAACCTTCCTTTCGTGGTATAGAACCTTATGGTAAAATTTCATGGAGATCCATTCACTTAAACTAAAGTTAGAGTGCGAAAACCAATGTGTCTTCGGACGACGCCAACGTCATACCAATATACGACCAAAAAATTTTTAATTTTTGCGGTCGTATAAAAACTGCAAAATTTCCTTAAAATTACCAATTTAGTGGCAGCAACCCAACAATGGGTTGTTAGATTCATCTGAAAATTTCAGGGCTGATAGAACTTTACCTTATGAACACTTTTATTCCTTGTCAGATTTGCTCTAACTACTTTGGTTTTTGAGATATAAGCCAAAAACTGCATTTTACCCCTATGTTCTATTTTTAGCCATGGCGTACATGTTTTTTGATGAAACAAAAAATAAAACACAAACTTTATTCTAGATACCCTAAAGATCATTTAGCTTAAGTTTGGTTGGAATTGGTTCAGTAGTTTCAGAGGAGAAGATGCTTGAAATAGTTTACACCAGACGGACGACGCCGACGGACGCCAAGTGATGGCTAAAGAAAGGTGAGCTTAAAACACATGTTATAAGATTATTCTACTGCTTTAATAGATTTAAATATGCTGTGAAGTAAATCTACAAAATTTTGAAGCATTGAACATTTGACAATAATTCAATTTACTTTTTTACACTTCTACTAGTATGCAATTCTTATCAACATTAAATATCTTCTACCCTTTGTATATAATGATATAATCTACACATGTTATGTAATGATATATTCTACAAATGTTATGTCATGATATATTCTACACACGTTATGTAATGATATATTCTACACATGTTATATAATGATATATTCTACACTTGTTATGTAATGATATATTCTACACATGTTATATAATGATATATTCTACACATGTTATGTAATGATATATTCTACACATGTTATATAATGATATATTCTACACATGTTATGTAATGATATATTCTACACATGTTATGTAATGATATATTCTACACTTTGCATGAAATGATATAATCTATGCATTTTAAGTAATGTTATAACAAAAATTTACCCTGTGAGTCATCTTTCTCTGCAACAAATTTCTTTAATGCAAAAACTGTAGCACCAGCTTTTAAACCAGCACCCTCTAATGGTTGATTGTCTTGTAATTTTTTACCACAGTAAATTAATTCTGTAAAATCAAACAAACAGATAATGAGAAATTTCATAAAGTATGTGTATCCGGGATCTTTTAAGGATGTTTGCTTTACTGATTATTAACTTTCCTTATTTGTTTGTTTGTGCTTTTCTGATTTTTAACTTTCCCTGTAACATGGTTATAATGAACCTGTAAGATAAGAAAATCATTATTTCAGAATCAAAAGGTCCAAAACAGGATAAACAATTATGACTTCTAGTAAGGCTATTTTATTTCTTTACAAACCAAACTCCATAAAATTTGATGGACCTGATCAGATTTCCTAACATTTAATTTATGTTATCCTGGTATTCAGGTGAGTCAAATTTTACGGATATTGGTTTAAAGATTTATTTTATACTCTAGGAAGTGAGGATTTTGGGAAATAGTTTTTTTTTTTAAATGGGTCATCTTCATCTCGGCTGGAATTTTAACTAAATTAATCATAAATTTTGGATATTTTGAGAAATATTTTGCCCCATTAGGCAAAGAGAAAGCAGTTTGTATATGTGTAAACATTTCTAGCTATCAGAAAAAACTTCATGGTAAAAATATTTGAATCTCAAAGTTGAGAGCAAAATTTGTTTTGTGTCCACGTATAAAAATTGCTTGGTGCTTTGTACAAAAATGTTGTATATTGTCATACTTATTAGGACTACAATTCACAGTGTCAGCATCTAAAGGATTGGGGTAATTTTATTACCCCAAAATGATAATGACATCATGAAATATCAATTGTTGAGGACGCTTTAAGCCAATCACAAAGTTTCTGTGTACGCTTTTGAAAATATTACCCAAAATTCATTAGATTCTGAAACTGCGAATTCTTTAAGGGTTAGTACGGTGCAATCCAGTGTATCCACGCACCTAAGATGTTTGGTTTCACTTCGGTAAACTCATAAAAACAAAAATCAGATAAAAAATTGTGAAAAAATTCATAACATACTGTAAGCCACCCGAGAGTATCCTGTCCTATACTGGGCAGTTTACATACGAACACTCATAAAATGCAGTATCTGCTCCCCGGAGCACCTCAGTTTGTGTTTAAATATAGTTCCTCTGTTTGGTTAATGTATGTGTATTAAACGGCTTCCTTTGTATTTATTTGTTACTGTGCTATTTGTGTTGCTAACGGCTTTCCATAGTTTTTAATTTCGAACGAGCGTCCTCCAGCTCAAGTTGTTTTACCAGTGTAAATGCAAATACTTTTTGAATGTATCCAAGTTTGATAAAATAAAGTGATCTTTTCAATGCTAACAGTTTTATTTGCTGAACTGTTAAAAAAAATCATATAACATTATATGATTTTATATAAATAAACAATAGCGTTCAAGTGTACTGAATAATAAATCCTAAAATACATATATTTGTGGTGTCCGACGTGGTGGGAGATAGCTTACTGTACAAAAGACGGCTATTTAAACTTCATTATGTTATCCTAATTCTCACCTAAAGGTTATTACTGCTTTATTTGGAAATTTATTGTTTTCTAGGTTCAAACTTGCCGCCAGCAAAACTTTGGGCTATCTGCCATTACTGAATGCTCACGCGTTTATATACTAAATTGTAAGTGTCACGTGACATACTAATCCAATGGTTACTTGTCCTTTCCGGGTAGCCGGAACTATACAAAATTACGATATTGAAAAACATAGAATTGAAATCATCTTGAGTTGTCCTATGATTGTCCTTATACATAAAATATTAAAACAAAGCTATAGCATCTAAAATATCGATAAAGAAGCTTGAAATAAACAATCGGACACCACTGCGCGCGCATTGATTTAGCAGACGATCTGCGTAAGAACATACAAAGTAAATAACATATAACATAGTTCATTACAACCATCTAAATATTTACAATATATTTGTGTCCGGCAGGGTATACTTATAAAATATTAAATGTGTGGTATTAAAAATGCAATATTAGATCAATTGATCAGGGGACGAATTTGTATCAAAAGAGATAAAATCAACGTTTCATTCCCCACAAAATGGCAGACGGCAAAATCGCCGGTCAGTAAACAATTGCAGTTAAAGTATTTCCCTATGTATACCAGGCATATCAGACGTTTAAATATGAATATTTGGTTACCAGAAATGATCCTTAATACGGGAATTACATGATATATAGCATGAAGAAGGTAATCCATGAGTAATTACATACATTCCCTGCCGTAACACTTGTACACAAAAAATGTAAACAATGATAAAATCATTTCAAATTCCAGAGCTTTCACATAAAATCAGTTGCTTTACTGGATATATATCACCTTTGTACCAACATATGTACACACCTTACTTGTAAAACTATGTTTTAGCTAATGAAATGCCTCCCCCTGTAATTTATTGGCAAAAAGTGAAACTTTGGCCTGTGAAATCCATAAAAAAATAGTAAATTAATGCCATATCTTTGATTTCAAATGTAAAATGTTTCTCTAGCTCGCTGCAAGCCAAGTTACTATGCGCAAGAACACAACCGTTAAGTTTAAAAGATAATATTTGGTAAAAACTTGAATTTTGACTTGTGATCATAGTAATAAGTATAGTGGATTACTGCCACAATTGTAAAAAATCATTATAAAATATGTGTCAGTCTTGCCACAAATTAAGTATTTACTTATAAATTACACCGCACAATTTAATACCTATTTGTTTCAGTATAACATTCACCAGTACCTTACACTTCCCCCACCTTTAAAGACAATGAATTCTCCTGAATTGAAAATTTTAGCACATAATTATTATGAAGTTTGAGATCTAAAATGTTAGTGTTCAATGTCTTCTCCGAGTCTCAAGGGAATATCAAGAGCATCTATTCTCTTTATCACATCGTCTGTGGAGTTATCTCTCTCCTTCACTGCAGTTTCTAACATCTTTAATGTTTGTACAGTTGATGTGTCTTCTTTGTCACTCTTTATTATATAAGCCAAAGCTTGATATAAATAAAACCGAGATTTGGTTGCCATTGTGTTTTCTTCACTTCCTGTCGGTGTTTTTGTGCCTGGTAATGCTAAAAAGTGATACTTGAGTAGCAACTCTTCCTTTGTGAATTGTAATTGCTTTCCCGAGTTCAACTCCAGAGCTATACTGGCATACTCCCAATTAAAATACTTTTGCTCTGGAGTCATCTTTTTCCAATTTTTAGGTGGCCAACTAACAACTGCTGGGATGGTAATCAGTGGGATGACTTCTTCTTGATTCCACTCCCTTCTCCCAGCTGGGAAAAGTGGCATGCCACCTTTCCTCAGAAGTGTCCTTGCCCGTTCACTTGCGGTAATGTTGCCGTTTAGAGTTGTACAATCTGTGCCCCGATCTTCTGATGCTTCCAGTTCCTTTCTTTTACTTTCTTCATTGTGTTTTTCTTCTTGTATCCTCTTTTCCTCCTTCAACCTTTCTTCTTCGTCCTGTTTCTGTTTTTCCTGCTTCCTTTGTTCTTCCTCCTTCCGTCTGATTTCCTCCTCCTGTTTCTGTTTTTCCTTTCTCTTTAGTTCTGCCTCCTTTAGTCTGACTTCCTCGTCCTGTTTTCGTTTTTCCTGCTTCTTTTGTTCTTCCTCCTTCAGTCTAATTTCCTCCTGTTTCTGTTCTTCCCTTCTCTTTTGTTCTTCCTCCTTTAGTCTCATTTCCTCATCCTGTTTTTGTTTTTCCTGCTTCCTTTGTTCTTCTTCCTTCCGTCTGATTTCCTCCTCCTGTTTTTGTTTTTCCTTTCTCTTTAGTTCTGCCTCCTTTAGTCTGACTTCCTCGTCCTGTTTTCGTTTTTCCTGCTTCTTTTGTTCTTCCTCCTTCAGTCTAATTTCCTCCTGTTTCTGTTCTTCCCTTCTCTTTTGTTCTTCCTCCTGTAGTCTCATTTCCTCATCCTGTTTTTGTTTTTCCTGCTTCCTTAGTTCTTCCTCTTTAAGTCTGATTTCCTCGTCCTGTTCCTTGTCACCCTTTCCTTGCTTTATTTTCTTAGCCTTCTGTTCCTGGTGGTTATTCTTTTTCTTTCTTTTCTCTCCATTTTTCTCTCCTTCATTCTCTGTCTTCTTACTTTTCTTCTGGCTTGTTGCTTTCTCGTTCAGAATCTCTGGTTCTTCATTGTCACTGTCATCTTCCAATATAATATCTGAGGTTGATGGTGTTTTAAGTGGTGATAACGGATTTGTGATGGCTATTGTATGTTTCCCTGGGAAGAGTTCATCGGACGTTTTTATGTCTGCTATATATTCCTCTGATATGGATAGTTTCCTAGCTACTACCGGCGTCACTATAGACTTTAATTTACCGTCTATAGAGGCTGAGAAGGTATGTGATCCTGCATACTTGGTGTTTACCAGTGCCGTCATCCTCCTTATTAAAGCATCAAGCATTTTGTGATCTCTTAGAACCAAGTCATTCAAACTTATCTGATAGAATCGTATAGACACTCCAAGGTCTAATTTGAAGATGGCTGTCGAATCCCCAAGTCCTAATGTAAGTTGCTGGAGGGCCAGCCCTTCATAAATGGTGGGGCGTGTTGGTGAATATGACCCATTGGTTTTCTCCTGCTCAACCTCTTCCTCCTGCGTACCTCTAACCATTTCCCTAGGACACTTCCAGCCTTGAGTCCAATCCTCCTTCTTCCTGTTGGTGTTTCCAACCCTGTTTAGGAATTCTAGGACCTCAATCCTGGCTTTCATGGCCTCTTGGGAGTTTTCATTTGATGGTGAGATTACCTTTGCATATGTCTCTGGGTAATTCGACATCCAAAACCCATTGTTCTCACTCAAGAAACTGTACGGCATGATCTCTATTTTGCTGCGGTGGTTGGCCATGATGTGCTCCTTCAGGTCAACCATCCTCCTGTACGACTTCTCTTCAGGACACCAAACACAAACGACTGAAAGCCGTTTGTGTGGGGCAGCTGCCAGATGGTTCTTTAGTTGTCTCCTTGTCCTAAACGTCATGGGACACAGCCAACACTTCACCTCCACTTGTGATGATGGTCTCATTCTGAAATCGAATCAAATCTTTAAAATCCCTCCACCATTTATATAACATATACAATAAAAGATATGTATGTAGTGTGCTGTTGTGTGACTATATTTGCTTATGTGTTTTAAAATCCTCCCCCCATATGGCATATGCTGGTAGTAAATGGATCAGCCTACATTTCAATAAAAAATATGATATCCACCCCCTTGGTCTCCCTATTAAAAAAAATCTCAAGCCTCCTCAAGACAAAAAGTTGTCGTTAATTGCTTTCCGCCGCGCAGCTTGCGCATAAAATAAAACGCTTGGCAGTACAGTTTAATCTGCCATTCCCCTGGCAGGAAGGATCATCCTTCCCTTACAGCCAATAATATGTCCTGAGAAACAATGGCCATTTGTCTCCCTTACATATTCTTCCAGAGTGGATCCAACTCTAGGAATTCCAACATGACTTTCTCCAGTCTGAGATAAGTCATACAGTTACTCTTAAACATAGTAACTCATCAAAACAATTAAAAACGTAACAACTTGTACAACTAATTTCGGCTATTCAAACAACAACTATGAAAGGCATCTCAGGCCTTCCTACTGGAGAACCAAGTGGGCGGATTTCGTCCTTGATAGGGCAGTAGTCTATCGATGTGGTAGACCTTCCCTGGCTGTTTCTTTGACCTTTTCACAAGGTAAGTGATGTCATCAATTTTCCTTGTGACAACATATGGTCCTTTCCATTTTAGTGTCAACTTATGACAAATTCCTTTTCTCTTTGATGCATCATAAAGCCATACAGCTTGACCTATTTGTAATTCGCGCTTTACTGCTTTCAAGTCATAGTGACGTTTTTGATACTCAGAATTCTGCTTAAGATGTTTCCTAGCCAGTACATGTGACTTTAACATAGCGTCCTGTAATTCATTTATATATTTATCCGTTTCAGGGGTAGTGGATTCATCTGGTCCATCAGGACGTGGAATAACAGCTTCCATAGGAAGAAATATGTTTCTGCCAAACATCATCATGTTAGGGGTCTGTCCTGTGCTGGCGTGGACTGATGATCTGTATGCCATCATAACCTGTGGCAAAATCTCATCCCAGTTTCTCTGATCATTTTGACAATAAAATGTTAGCATGCTTAGCAGTGTCCTGTTAAATCTTTCAACGCTTCCATTAGATTGGGGGTGTTGACTTGTACTTCTAGTTTTGTCAATTTTCAGGAGATCACACAGATCTTGGAACAGCTTTGCTTCAAAAGACCTTCCTTGATCAGAGTGAAGCTGTAATGGTGAACCAAACCTACAAATAAATTCATTCACGATGGTCCGGGCAATGGTCAGGGATTCCTGGTCCGGAATAGCATATGCTTCAGTCCATTTAGAAAAGCAGTCACAAAGGACAAGAACATAACGGTTTTGTCGTTTTGTTAACGGAAGTGGACCAAGAATATCAATCGCAACACGTTCCATAGGCTCGCCAACCAAGTATTGACCTAATGGAGCCTTGTTTCGTTTAAGTGATTTCCTAGCAGCACATTGGTCACATTCTTTGCAGTACCTTGTTATTGAGCTTCTCATAGCTGGCCAGTAAAAGAGCTGCTGGATCCTACTTAGCATTTTATCTGGTCCTAAATGACCTGCAGATGGAACGTCATGGAAATACTTAAAGACTGTCTTTTGGTGTGATTTTGGTACCAGGAGCTGCAATTTGAAGTTGTCTACATCGTCTTTATCAGAACAATAAAATTTTCTATAAAGCATGCCATTGTTTATTGTCAGCCTATCCCATTGTCGCCATATTGTTTTCTGGTATGATGTTCCTTTTGATACTTGGTCCCAGTCAGGTTTATTTTTCTTTTCTTGAAGATATGTCACAATGAGTGACATGTCTGGGTCTTCCAATTGGCATTGTCTAATACTGTCAGGGTCCCATCCTTCTATGCAATAGCCACTTGGTGTAGCACTAGACTGATTTCCTGTCTGACTTCTTGTACATATTCGTACTATTTCTATTCTTGGTGTTGGCTCCTCATTTTCATGTAACTCCTGGTTAACAAAATCAGATTCTTCAAGTTGAATTTCGTCTGTTTCGTCGTCACTTGTGTGGTTTCCAGATTCTTGTTTCTCGCATGATTTACAAGGTCTTCTGGACAGAGCATCGGCATTTGAGTGTTTCCTTCCAGCCCTGTGTGTCACTGTCAAATTGTAAGTTCCCAGTTCTTCGAGCCATCTGGCTGTTTGACCAGTGGGTTTCTTTAGATTTTTCATCCATGATACAGCTGCGTTATCTGTGCGCAGCAAAACTTTCTGGCCATATAAATAATGATGAAATGTCTTTAGTGCTATAATTACAGCAAGTAGCTCTTTTCGAGTTACACAGTATGCCTGCTCATGTATGTTCATAGATTTGCTCATGTATGCAATAACTCGTTCAAGACCCTCTTGAATTTGTGACAAAACTGCCCCGACAGCCTTATCACTTGCATCTGTGTCAAGTATGAATGGCAAATTTGGAAGAGGGTAGGCAAGCACAGGTGTACTTGTTAAAGCATTTTTCAACTGTTCAAATGCCTTTTGACACTCGTCATTCCAAGCAAAACGGCTATTCTTTTCGCAAATTTTGTGCATTGGTCTTGCAATTGCTGCAAATCCCTTAACAAATCGCCTATAGTAAGAACAAAGTCCTAAAAAGCTGCGCACCTGTTTTGCAGATTTGGGGATTGGCCAGTCATCTATAGCTTTTGTTTTCTCTAGATCGGTGGAAATTCCATCCTCAGACACGATATGTCCAAGGAACCTGACTTGTTTTTGAAAGAAAATGCATTTGGCAGGTTTCAATTTTAGATGTGCATTTTGTAGGCGTATAAAGATTCTTTCTAACCTTCCAAGACCCTCTTCAAATGTTGAACTTACTGATATGATATCGTCCATATAGAGTAATAGTTCTTTCCACTGTAGCCCTCTGAGAACATTTTCCATAAGACGCTCAAAAGTAGATGGGGAATTTGCAAGTCCAAAGGGCATGACAGTGAATTGATATAACCCTAAACTTGTCAGAAATGCGGTCTTTTCCTTGTCGTCGGGAGCCATGCCAATTTGCCAAAATCCTGAATTTAGGTCCATTGACCCGAAGAATTTCCCCCCAGCGAGCGAGTCTAGGCACTCGTCTACCCTCGGAATCGGGTAGGAATCCTTTTTAGTGACGTCATTCAAAATTCTGTAATCAACACAGCACCTAGGCCTGCCATTTTTCTTCATTACAAGGACAATATTCGATGCCCAAGGACTAGAAGATGGTTCAATGATTCCTTTGTCCAACATCCGGTTGACTTCTGATTTTTCCATCTCTTGCTTTCCAAGTGGCATACGTCTAGATCTTTGCCTAAAGGGTATTGCATTTCCTGTATTTATTCTATGTGTTACAAGGTCTGTCCTCCCTATGTCATCATCTGTCCGTGAAAAGACATTTTGGTACTGTGAAAGGAGTCTGGAAAGCTGTTGTCTTTGGTTTTCATTTAAATAAGTTGAACTCCTTTTTAATAAGTCAATAAGATGTTCTGGTATTTCTTCACCAGCTGTAAAGCAATCTTCTTGTAGTGTTCTAATCTGCTCTGATTTCAAATCATGCTCAGTATATGATTCACATGTTCCTATTGTTTCCTTTTTATACAGTTTAACTTCGTCGTCACCATAGTTGACAACATTAACAAAGTGTGCTTGATCTTTTGTATTTATAATCCCAGGTATTGCTAATGTAGACTTTGCTGTTCCTGTCGTGCCCTCTATTAATCCGTATTCTGTTAAATGATTTACACCCGGTATTTCTACAGGCATCATAGTACTCGTCATTGGAGGAATTGTCATGTTGTCTTTAATTTCTACTCTGCAAATCATATTTGCCTTCCCTCCAATCCAACATTGTATTTCCTGGTTGTGGATCGTGTGTAAGACCATTCGCTGATAATTAACTTTACTTACTTCCTTAAGTAAGAAATCCTGTCCAAGTATTCCATCCTGATTTATATTACATATCATAAAATTTTGACTGAAATTTTCTAGACCAAGCTTTAGTTCTAATGTGATTGATCCAATAGCAAAAACTTTGTTGCCATTAACGTCAAATACTTCGGACTTGTTTGGCACTAAAGAACACCAAACATTTAAAGGCAATTTTTCGTAAACCTCAATAGATAATATTGACGCTGTTGAGCCACTGTCAATTAAAAAGTTGACAGGAAACCCATAGATTAACCCATTTGTATAAAACCCATTATCCCAATTATCATCTGTTTCCCCTATATGTCCTGTCCGGACATGTTTTTCTCCCTTTATATCAGGCCTTTTATCTTCTGTCACTAACTCACGACCTATTGAGCCAGCGTTCTGTCGTTTCCCTGGTTATTATTAAAAGAGGTATTGTGTCTTTGGTTGCCCTGGAAGTTCCCTCTTGCTCTTTGGTTGTTTTTGTGTGGACAGTTCCTCATAAAATGGTCTGGTGAGTTGCAACTGTAACACCTGCCAGTATTTGCCCTCTTTGTATCCCGATTCCCGTGTCCTTGTTCCAGCTTTGCTATCCTATCTTGTAAAGCCTGCAAATTGCTCTGATAATCCTTTTCACTCATGTGTCCTTCGATGTCCTTCGACTCCACAGCTCTGATTGTTGATTTCTTTTTGTCTCCATCCCCGAGTATTGACTCATATCTTTCTATAACATCAACAGCGTCTGCTATTGTTTGACATTCCTTGTCAATACAGCGACATTTCATTTCTACAGGTATTACCTTAAACAACTGGTTTAATGCTAGAGACTCCTGCGCTGCTAAGTCAAGGTCATAGTACGCCTTTTGCGCTAATTGCCTTATGTCATCCCCCACTTCAGCTATGCTTTCCCCTGGCATGCGCCTGCGCATCTCTAACTTTGAGAGCCAACGATTTTTGTGTTTTGAACTCCCAAACCTTTGATCTAACTTTTGTGTTAGCATTTGGTATGTGCGCCTGTCGTCAGGAGACAAGCTCATGTAGTATGTCCTTGCTTGACCCCTCAAGCTAGCTGCCAAAAACAACAGTTTTGTACGATTTCCCCATTGTCCCAATTCAGCGCAGTCCTCAAAATGCGACAAGTATTCCTCCCAACAATCCTTCCCAGAGAAGGGTTCAGGTTTAAGTGTTACCTTTGGTGGGCCAATTGGTTGCATGTTATGATTACCCCTATCATTCCTATCATCAAAATCATGTCTCTGATATTCATCCCGTCCTTTAGGTCTCTGAGCTATTTCATCACCATGACCTTGTAAAATAGATTCCCTATCAAAGTCGTCATTGTCATCAGTATGTATTTGATCCCCTTGTCCTAAGTCATCTAAATCCCTTTCCCTACGGAAATTTATTTCAGGGTCTGGGGAGTTCCTACCAGCATCAGCCATATTCTAAATAAAGACTTTTAATTTTATTTGTTGTTTCATATTTTTTTAGTTATAATTAATTTTTGTACAGTAAATCCACCACGTCGGGCTTAAACCACATTGTTAAGTTGACAGGTTATTCCAAGGTTCGTATCCTGGATGCTAATTAGAATTTTAGCATCCCACTTCTGACACCAAATTGTAAGCCACCCGAGAGTATCCTGTCCTATACTGGGCAGTTTACATACGAACACTCATAAAATGCAGTATCTGCTCCCCGGAGCACCTCAGTTTGTGTTTAAATATAGTTCCTCTGTTTGGTTAATGTATGTGTATTAAACGGCTTCCTTTGTATTTATTTGTTACTGTGCTATTTATGTTGCTAACGGCTTTCCATAGTTTTTAATTTCGAACGAGCGTCCTCCAGCTCAAGTTGTTTTACCAGTGTAAATGCAAATACTTTTTGAATGTATCCAAGTTTGATAAAATAAAGTGATCTTTTCAATGCTAACAGTTTTATTTGCTGAACTGTTAAAAAAAATCATATAACATTATATGATTTTATATAAATAAACAATAGCGTTCAAGTGTACTGAATAATAAATCCTAAAATACATATATTTGTGGTGTCCGACGTGGTGGGAGATAGCTTACTGTACAAAAGACGGCTATTTAAACTTCATTATGTTATCCTAATTCTCACCTAAAGGTTATTACTGCTTTATTTGGAAATTTATTGTTTTCTAGGTTCAAACTTGCCGCCAGCAAAACTTTGGGCTATCTGCCATTACTGAATGCTCACGCGTTTATATACTAAATTGTAAGTGTCACGTGACATACTAATCCAATGGTTACTTGTCCTTTCCGGGTAGCCGGAACTATACAAAATTACGATATTGAAAAACATAGAATTGAAATCATCTTGAGTTGTCCTATGATTGTCCTTATACATAAAATATTAAAACAAAGCTATAGCATCTAAAATATCGATAAAGAAGCTTGAAATAAACAATCGGACACCACTGCGCGCGCATTGATTTAGCAGACGATCTGCGTAAGAACATACAAAGTAAATAACATATAACATAGTTCATTACAACCATCTAAATATTTACAATATATTTGTGTCCGGCAGGGTATACTTATAAAATATTAAATGTGTGGTATTAAAAATGCAATATTAGATCAATTGATCAGGGGACGAATTTGTATCAAAAGAGATAAAATCAACGTTTCATTCCCCACAAAATGGCAGACGGCAAAATCGCCGGTCAGTAAACAATTGCAGTTAAAGTATTTCCCTATGTATACCAGGCATATCAGACGTTTAAATATGAATATTTGGTTACCAGAAATGATCCTTAATACGGGAATTACATGATATATAGCATGAAGAAGGTAATCCATGAGTAATTACATACATTCCCTGCCGTAACACTTGTACACAAAAAATGTAAACAATGATAAAATCATTTCAAATTCCAGAGCTTTCACATAAAATCAGTTGCTTTACTGGATATATATCACCTTTGTACCAACATATGTACACACCTTACTTGTAAAACTATGTTTTAGCTAATGAAATGCCTCCCCCTGTAATTTATTGGCAAAAAGTGAAACTTTGGCCTGTGAAATCCATAAAAAAATAGTAAATTAATGCCATATCTTTGATTTCAAATGTAAAATGTTTCTCTAGCTCGCTGCAAGCCAAGTTACTATGCGCAAGAACACAACCGTTAAGTTTAAAAGATAATATTTGGTAAAAACTTGAATTTTGACTTGTGATCATAGTAATAAGTATAGTGGATTACTGCCACAATTGTAAAAAATCATTATAAAATATGTGTCAGTCTTGCCACAAATTAAGTATTTACTTATAAATTACACCGCACAATTTAATACCTATTTGTTTCAGTATAACATTCACCAGTACCTTACAATACTTTATTTTCACAAAATCTTCTCAATGTATGATTTCACCTTTATGCATTTGTGTAATGTGTGTCCAAAATTAGGTAAACCCAAGTTCTGACCGGTTTTCAATTGTCCGCTGATGTTTGTGCATGCCTTCTAAAAATAGTTTATTTTTATTAATGGAAGGATTTTTTACTTCGAAATAAGAGTTCAGTTTGAACCAAAGAGACTGCCAAGGATGCAGAGCAAAAGTTTTTATCAGTTTGATAAAATGTGCCATGAAATGAAACCAATTTTTCTCTAATAATGTCTAATTTTTATGGAAAATGGTTAATCATGGGATTGCAATTATACTTGTATTTTATAATTTTAATCTATTCTGTCCCTTAGAAAGACTAAAACAATTACAAAAACAATTCTATTTAAGAAACAGAGTAGATATGACGAAATCAGGTAATGCGTGATATCACTAGCCGAACAGAAACAGGGGATTCCACTGTAACTCATTTTGGAATCATTCTGTTTGGTGGGTTGTGCCAAACCGGGTTAATGTATTACATGTATTGCCATTCTTTTGCTTGTTAGATAGCATGGGAAGCACGTTTTTTTCTAGAATTGCACAGCATGTTGAGAACAAATTATGGAAAATTTAAAAGTGAAGAAATGTTCAATAAACATGATAACAAACAATGAAATCTCATTACCGATGTCAGAGGGAGGTAAATTGATGACTTTAGAAACTTCCTCTTTTAAAAACAAGGAGTTGCCTTTCAGATTAACAAAATTAAGCGTTATTTTGTCAGTTTTTCCTTGTACTGTACGGTTACAAATTTTTAAGGAAGCCATTATTGTTTTGGAAACTGGTTTAAAATTACACGGCCTATTCTCCCTTGCAAAATTCAAGTAAAAATAATAGGAACCAGTAATTAAGAAAAAAAGTCCTGTGGTACCGGTTTAATTTTTGAGACCTCAGGACAATTTCCTTATTTGACATTATTCACAGATGGACAGTATTGACACAGACATCTAATCAGACAATAAAATTTATGAGCTATTGACATATATCACTGTTGTTATTAATATGAGGCAGGCATTACCTGTGAAAGGGGACTAAGTCTTTATGAATTATTTTTTTTAATTCAAACATTTTAACTTCAAAATCTGTTAAAAAAGAAACGGAAATACCGTAACGTTACCGATGTCGGTTTTGTTGTTAGGGATTTTAGTTGTGATGTAATTTATGTTATGACGTCATATTCAATGTAAACAAAGAAACGCTATCATCAGGTAACGGTTTTTCATATCAAGCCACTCAAGGAATTATTAAAAATGAAATTGGTATTGCGTTCCTTCCTATATTTTACTAGACTGATAAATAAATATTTTACTCAAAGACTCATGCAAACAAGACAGGAAAAAGGAAGTAGATTTCTGCGCAAATGCGGGAAAATAAAAAAGTCTGAAAATAAAAAAGTTAACGATTTTGAGTTCATTAGTAGAATGAAAATTTCGGGAATTTTTCCCAATTTTTTTTTTTTTTTTTTTCTTTTTAAATTTATTGATTTTTCTACCGCAATAGGGGACTTCGTCCCCTTAATATTTCATAATTTGTATTTATTTACTTTGAACTTTTTTTTTTAATTTTGGTGTTGCATATACATATACATATATATTTATTTAGCATGTACACTATCTTTTTTTCATAACTATTCAACACCCTTGTAAGAAAGATGACTATTATCTAGACATTTTATATAACTAAAAATTGAAATGCAAAAAAGTTAATTATTGCTGAAATGGCCAGCGCTATCATCCATTTTTGTATATATTTGTAAAAAGTGACCCATTCTAGAGGAATATCTGTGCATAGCTTCATATAGGAAGAGATCCAGTTATTATCAAAATTTATATGGTTTATAGTATTTGTGTTGATAAATGTACTGCATATCATAAATGTCAGCTTTGTACATCCCATTTATACCCTTGATTGAACAATAAAATATTCTCTTCTATTGATAGTTAATATATACTTACTTCTAGTTATCATGATCTGATAAAGGATAATTAGTGTGTTCCTCTTTATCTGACAAGAGATCACAGGCACCTTGATCATGGATCACCTTTTTTTGAGTTTAACAGATATATTCAATAGAATTTCTCAGTTCAGTCTATTTCTTTAATTTCATGTTTTCTTCTATAACTAAACACTTTTAGACTGTATGTAGTTTATTGCTCTTATTTTCCTGTAACCTATCATTATGTTACTACAAACAACTAAGAATGCACATGCTGAAATGTCTCATCTGCCTAACTGATTATGATTGAATATTTATACTTATAGTCTTTTATATCAAGGTCTTACTACAGGTATCACAATAACTTAACATTATCAATGATCCTTCAGATAGGCATTTTCAATATCAAGGTTTGAGTGTTCCTCATGATAGTTCAACAAAAGTGCTTCAGACTAATGCAATTTATTAAGTTTTTTTTTTCATTTACACCTTATAATGGTTCTATAATACAGCTGAGCTATAACTTATAGTAACTGGCAATCTGTTGTAACTGCCAACAAGAGGCTCTAAAGTTAGTTTCACTCACCTGCATCTTCAAAAATGGCCACTTTTTAGTAAAAATTTGTAAGGGTTCCGAGGAACCCAGTGTCTCGCCTACTTTTTCTGTTAATCATAGGCTCTACAAAAATGAGGAAGTAAATCAATAAAAATATTCCACTTGATACTATCTTTTGATTGTAAGAAGCTTCAGTCCAAGTTTGGTAAAAATCAAGGATAGTTTATGAATCTAATAAATGTTTAAAAACTTTAACTGCAGACTGAATGTAATTTTATCTGGAAGAAAACAAAATTTCCTTCTAGATACTAGCATTTGATCATAAACAAGCTTCTGTCCAAGTTTGATACAAATCCAAAATAGTATAAGAAAGTTATTAAAATTTTAAAAACTTTAACCACAGAGTTAATGTGTTGTTTCCTGGCAGAAAATCTAAGTCCATTTAAAAGTAAAATAAGGAAAAAATGGATTTATTTTTTTACAAAATTTACTACTGAATAATATCTTATGATCATAAACAAGCTTCTGTCCAAGTTTGGTACAAACCCAGGATAGTTTAAGAAAGTTATTAAAATTTTAAAAACTTTAACCACAGAGTGAATGTAATATTTCCTGGCAGAAAAACTAAGTCCATTTATAAGTAAAATACGGAAAAAATGGAATTTTATTTTTACAATATTTACTTCTGGATACTATCTTATGATCATAAACAAGCTTCTGTCCAAGTTTGGTAGAAATCAAGGATAGTTTAAGAAAGTTATTAAAATTTCAAAAACTTTAACCACAGAGTGAATATTTGTGTTTGCCGCCGACAACGCCGACGGAATGTAGGATTGCTATGTCTCGCTTTTTCGACTAAAGTCGAAGGCTCGACAAAAATCATCATAAAAGGGGAATAACTCTATTAAGTGTTACCTCACAATTTTAGTCATGTTGACATAATTGTCGACTGAAGATTTCGGCCATTATGGCACATTTGTAGATCTTGTCTTGCTGATCATTTGTGCTATTTAAAGATCCTCTCTATTTATTATAGTTTTAAAGATATTAGGTAATAATGCAAAAAATTGGGAATTTGGCAACAACTTTAATAAGGAGTCAACTGATGATTTCAGCGATGTTGACTTATTTGAAGAACCTGTTATGCTGAACATTTTTGCTTTTTAAAGATTCTATTTATCTATTATAATTTTTGAGATAAAAGGGAAAACATTTTTCAAAATGGTAAAAAATCGTCATTTAAGGGCAGTTACTCCTATAAGAAGTCGTCTGACAGTTTTGACTTAAATGGACAATAGGAAGAGCTCAACATTCTGAATATTTTTGTTTCTGTCAGATTTTCTCTATTTATAAAAGTTTTCCAAAATATAAGCAAACTTGCATTTTACCCCTATGTTCTGTTTTTAGCCATATCAACCATCTTAGTTGACAGCCGGGGTCATCAGACACAATTTTTTAACTAGATACCTAATAATGATTGGGGCCAAGTTTAGTTAAATTTGGCCCAGTAGTTTCAGAGGAGAAGATTTTTGTAAAAGTTAATGGACGACAACAGACAACGGATGCCAAGTGAGCTAAAATTTAACATTGATTAATGAACTATGAAATAAGGTCATAGTCAGATGAACCCAGTCAGAAGGACAAATGGCCTCAACAACCATTCTAAACACCAAATATAATTTACCTATCATTTATAGTAGCTGAGAAACTGACCTAATAATCAAAACTCAATATTGAATTTATCTATGCACCGTGAAAACCTGAAGATGTCAGATGAACCCTGTCAGACAAACATTTATCCCTAATAATCATTCTATATACCAAATATATTTGACCCATTATTTCAGTAGAAGAGAAACTGACCTCGTCATATAACTTTATAGTTGATTGATGAACTTTAAAAATGAAACCAAGGTCAAATGAACCCTGTTAGACAGACTTGGGACTTCAGACATATGCTACACAGATATTCAAAAGTCGAGACCATAAGGCATTTATATAGCTATCTACTAGATATGGCTTATTCAGAGTTTATACCATCTGAAATATATAACTTAGGCTGATGCTGCCATTGGATTAGGATCATTCTCTGCAGTTGAGACCAAATAAGGGATAATACTTGCTGGCAGGATGTAAAAATATGTTGGGCAAATACAATACAAAAATAAATAAATGGAGAATGTGTCCATGGTACACAGATGATGCCCCTGCTTGCATATAACTTTATAAAGGGGCATAACTTGAGAACAGTAAAAGTGAAGCCACCCAAATTCGAACTTGATCTGTGTTTTGTGGTAATAAGCATTGTGTATAAGTTTCATAACATTTGGTGGAGGCAAACTAAAGTTCGAGAACGGAAACCAATTTTGGGACGTACGTACAGACGGACAAGGGTAACACTCAATGTCCTCTCTGGTGACGGCATGGGCATACAAATTTTCATCATGTTAATGAACACAAGAGTGCACATACTGAAATGTCTAGCTTATTTAACTTATGATTAACTTCATGTTGAAAGTCTGTAATATGAGGGTTTTACTACAAGTATCACATTAACTTAACATTATCAATGATTCATGAAAATGGAGTAAAGGTCAGATGAACAATGCCAGACAGACATTTACACCTAACAATCATTCCATAAACCAAATATAGTGGTCCTATCGCTTATAGTATCTGAGAAACAGATCATATCACAAAATCTTAACATTGACCTATGAACCATGAAAATGGGAGTCAAGGTCAGATGAACCATGCCAGACAGACATATACACCAGTTATGTATACACCTAACAATCATTCCATACACCATATATAGTGGCCCTATTGCAAATAGTATCTGAGAGATAGGCCAATCCACAAAAACTAAACATTGTCCAATAAACCATGAAATTGAGGTCAAAGTCAGATGAAACCTGCCAGATAGACATGTACACCTTACAATCATTCCATACACCAAATATAGTTGACCTACTGCTTATAGTATCCGAGATACAGACTTGACCACACAACTTTAACCTTGACCACTGATCCATGAAATGAGGTGAACCTGACAGAAATGTAGACCTTGCAAGGAACCTGTATACCAAATATAATTATCCTATTACTCATAAGAGAGAATTTCACTTTTCAAGAAAACAGTAATTTTTTCAAGCAGTCATTGAATCAAGAAAATGAGGTAAAAGACACTTGACATATGACGGACCGAAACTTCGTTACATAAGGTATCTGTATACAAGGTATGAAGCACCTAGGTCTTCTAGCTATATAATATAAAGATTTATACAAATCTTCACTATTGCCGCCACCACCGGATTGTAATACCCATGTCTCGCATTCTGCAACTTTCATCGCAGGCTAGACAAAAATTATGAGCTTGTACCTGAATTAATATGTTCAAGATGATTTCTGTTTCTGGACAAATTTAACTAATTTTTATTAAGTGAGATTTCAAATATAAACCAGACAATATATATTTTCTTCAACATCTGTCATCAGATAGGTATGTGAAAAACTTGCATAATGGAATGTTTCATCAAAATGTTATATAAAACTTAAAATGATTTTTAAGTTTGTAAAAGCCATTTGTTTTCTGATGCACATCCTCATTGACTCTACATAAGCTAAAATGTGGGAAAGCCAAAGATATCTCAATAGAGAGGGATCTATGTACATGTAACCACACATTGGCCTATAAAAATGATTGAAATCTTCTAAAATCAAATGACCTGATGAAAAATTTACATCATATAATTATCAAATGATGTTTTTGTGTTTGATATTCCTTGTAAACAACCCTTATTCTTCTGATGCCTTTTGACCTTGTTTCTGACTGTCCTTGACCTTTGTACAAAAATATACTTGATACTTTTGAAAATTTACCCATACTTCCAGATGATAGACTGATGGTCTACGATACAATATAAAGTTGAACGTGAGAAATTCAGCACTTTTATTTCAAATATAAACATGACAACTAATGTTGGCAGAATCTGTTTATGTAAAATACATTTGAATATTTACACATAAATATGACAAAATAGAAAAAAAAAACATATCTATAGTTTACTATCAAATGCACCAAGTTTACTATAGCAACATTTACTATCTCATAATAATGAGCACTTAAAGCTTATATTTTTTTACTATGAATACAGTTTTTCTCTGAATCCCCATGTACTGTTTCTTGCTTAAATTTAATTTCATTTGACAATAATATAAATGTATATAATGTACCAACACCAGACACATTGCAACTACAAATAAATCTCCATTCACATGAGTATTTTAAAACGTTTACACTTAAGCATACAAATAATAAATGGTTTGAAATCTGATACTATATAAATATAAATTTCTAAAATGCAACTGAAAATAAATCTCCATTCACATGATTTTTCCAACTTGATTACAAGTAAGCATACAAAGAGTAATTATTTTTAAGTCTTATACTTTATAAATATCAATTTCTAAAACATTATTGTAATAAACTTAATACTGTAATCAATGACATAATGGTATTTTACTATTCTAGTGCAAATTATATGAGACAAATATATCAATAGTTCTGAAATTTTTTAAACAAACAGTACAAATGACCATTTAAAGTTCAGTATACATTTTATAAAATTGGCACATAATTGAAAACCTTTGTGTTGGACAGGATATAATGAATATCAATTAAAAGATGGTTCCATAAATAATAAGTCAAAAGAAAAATATTATAATTTTTCTCTCTCTCAAAAATAAGATTTCCTAATATAAAGCTGTATTATTCTTAAAGACAAAATAAACTGTTGACACAGAGCTATGTCTCTTCTGTGTGTAATTGTAAATGTTGAAATAAAATAGCAACACTTTAGCATGTAAACTACAAGTCTATCACCCATAACTGAGGGTGAATGGCCAAAAAAATCACTATGGAAATGAGATATGCCTTTAACTGGAAAGAGAGTATACTATGCCCTTTAAATGAGGATGTCTTTTTCATTATTTTTTCTTTTTTTGTTCCAGTTGCTTTACCCATCTTGTCAAGGCATGGTGAATATTGATAATAATCAAATACGTCAATAGTGTACAAACAAAGACAGCAAAGCTTGATACAGCAGCAAAGACAAATCTTGGAGCAAATATCTTCCATACCATCAGATGTCTTCTATGTAAAGCTGCTGCACACATTGAACCCAAAACCTGAAAAAGTTTTTTTTTATATTCATGATGTTTTACAAATTAACGATGTACTTAGGTGAAATTCAAGAAATCTTGAATTTAAAATTGATACTGTAAGTCAGAAGAGCATTAGTTAAGAATCAAAATAAGCTAAAAATATTGATAGGTTATGGAGCTCCTTTTCGAGATATTTAATTTTTAAAAAATGTCAGGAAAAGGCTGACTCGGACTTTTACCTTACATTTGCATTGGTATTATTTGGGTTTCAAATCGAGAGAAAAGAAATCTAGAATCTGGTAAATGACCTTTTATTAGCTATTGGGAGTATTATATGAAAAGACAAATGGGTGTTATGGGGCAAAATATTTTACCCTGTATAATAGGAAAAAAATTAAGGAGTATATATGAACATCTGACAAAAATTCCTAAACCTGACCTAAGTACAGCCTTAAGTCATAAGGTATGTAATTTTAAATATGTCACATGAAAAAGAAAATTACATGCATACAATGTGTTCAAAATAATTTCTGTTAGGTTATTGTGTTGTGTTTCATTGAAAGTTCTGTTGTTAGTTTGCATGGAGCTTTAATTTATCTTAAATTATGAACAACTGGATGATGTTATTTGATAGATTTATAATACTGTGTAATTTTTTATTAGAATGAACAGGGCCAAAATGTTAATCATATCTCTATTTCATTAGCAGTTTTGCTGTTTTTCCTTATTTTTCAAAAAGATCAAAAGCAAACATATAAATTTTCTTTAAATAAACTGTTGACACAGATTTATGTCTCGCCTGTCCACATAAAATTCAGAAAAAGACAATTTGATGGACAGCAACATTGCTTATTTATTAAAAGTCGCTGGACCATGATCTTGTGGGCAGGGCCTAGAAATGGTGGACAAACTGAAATGTACTGATAGTAATGCAACTTTATACAAAATATCATTGATCTGTCACAAGTAGTTCTTATCAAACTGACTTAAGCAGAAAACTTAACGTTGAAATTTCTAACTAATTCAAAGTCACTGGACCATGACCTAGGGGGCAGGGCCTCAAAATAGTCGTCATACAGATACAATGTTTGTACAGATAGTAATGCAACTTCATACAAAATATCCTTGATCTATCTCAAGTAGATCCTATCAAACTAACTCCAGCAGAACACTTAACATTGAAAATTGCTTATTAATTCAAAGTCACTGGACCATGTCCTAGGGGCCACGGCCCCAAAATAGTCACCAGAATGATATGAACTGATAGTAATGGGACTTCATACAAAATATCAATGATTTATCACTAGCAGATCCTATATCAAACTAACTTAAGTAGAAAACTTAACATGGGAAATTGCTTATTAATTCAAAGTCACTGGACCATGACTTAGGGGACAGGGCTTCAAAACATTTGTCAAACTGATATATACTGATAGTAAAACAACTTCATATTAAATATCAATGATCTATCACAAGTAGTTCCTATCAAACTAACTTAACATTGAAAATTCTAATGCAATTATTTTGTATCAATGGTTCTGATTGGATGACAATAAGCGTAAAATTCTCTATCTCCCTGTCTGTAACTAAGGAAGCCGATATTTTGAATTCTGGAATGTATTGACATGTAATTTCTCCAATAATAAGCAAAAAAACTCACATTTTGCACCTAGAAATCTTCTTTTTATCAAATTTTATTACAGTCTGAAGCAGACAAGAAGCCAGAAAACGCCCGGTGTTTAAGTTTGATGCCGGAAGCATACTTATGACGTCACCCAGTTTCGGCGCCAAAGAAGATAACATCATTTCGCGGAATTTTCGTTTAATGAAAATTTACACTATAATAATGACTAAAATTGAATGATTCGTTTATTTTGCATTAGAATAGAGATAACTGTATTGTATTTGAAGCTTTGCGGTTGTCCATCGGTAGTTTTACTGTCGCAAATAACGGTTTACCTGTCTCCACTACGCGTCGCCAGGTAAACTAAATATGCGACAGTAAAGCTACCGATGGATGTCCGCAAAGCTTCAAATACAATACAGTTATCTCTAAATTGCTAGTTAATTCAAAGTTGCTGGACCATGACCTAGGGGGCAGGGCCTAGAAATGGTCGACAAACTGAGATGTACTGATAGTAATGCAACTTTATATTAAATATCAATGATCTATCACAATTAGTTCCTATCAACTATTTAACTTAAGCAGAAAACTTAACAATTGTTGACGCCACCGCTGCAGCCATCCCCAGAAAAGCAATCCCTATGTCTTGGTTTCCACAACTTTCGTCGCAGGCGATCGCGAGACAAAAATCATGACTGATAATTAACAGCCTTTTTCTCCCAAAGATTTGAAAAATTCATAATACATGAGCCATGTACATTTTGATACCGCATGAAGCAATCATCAATCAACAAGTTCTACATTGTGTTTATCAATAGATGCATTATGCGGCATGGGTTTCGCTCATTGTTGAAGACCATATGGTGACCTATAGTTGCTAACTTCTACATCATTTAGTTTCTGGTGGAGAATTGTCTTTTTGGCAATCATACCACATCTTCTTATTTTTACTTAAGATCTCTTTATTTAAAATACTTGTAACCTAAGATAGTTTCTAGAACTTTACCTTGATTCCCTGAAAAAAAAACATGGAAGAAAAGAGTCTAAACAACATCTGCTTAAACACATCTTCATCCTCCAATAAAAGGAAGTCCCCCTTCCAATGTCCAGGTTCTTCCTTCTTTGTTGCCATGGATTTAAGAAACAATCCATCGGTCAGTGGCCATATGACAAGCAGTGGACACAGAACACTATAGAATACCTCTGCCGCAAAAGTGTTTAAAGTGATCAGAATAGCAGGAATAACATTGTAGTCGAAATCACCATGGAAACCAGTAAATGCAGATTCCCACTTAATTGATGGTACTGCAGCTTGATGTCCAGTAGAATAAAAATATGAAGAGAACAAAGTTGACATAAACACAACAGGTGGCCAAATGTTATTGACTTTACCTACAAATAAAAATATGAAGAGAACAAAGTTGACATAAACACTACAGGTGGCCAAATGTTATTGACTTTACCTACAAATAAAAATAATTCGGTTAAACTGATAGATTGATGACTGTCTATCCAGTGGCAAGTATTACAATCATATTCAGAAAGTTAACATGTTAATGTAATATAAAGATGCACAGCTAAATACTAAACTAACACTCTGAGCTGCATTTTTAAATGCTACCTCACAAGGTTACAGATCCAAGGACATGATATCCTAATGGGATACAGGTATATTGGTCTGACTCTAAGCTAACCAGTATTAACTCTTTCTTCAAAAAATTGTGTGTTTGGTGGTGAAGTAGTGAATACCAATTTTAGAATCTTTGGATTATTCAGACATGTTAGACTGGGGTTTGAACCCAATTTCCTACAATGATGCTATCATGGTTCCATCAGATTATCAAGATATTTTCAAAAACATAATGAAATAAAATAAATGTCAACAGTTGATATCAACTGTGTACATCATGTTAGGTGTATGCCTAATGGTAAGCTTGGATGGAACATTTTTCTTTTTAACATCTGTACTGTATATCTTACAACATATATTTCAGTATAACATTAGTTTAAAAATATTTCCCATGACTCATCAGCTTTTTATCTCTGATTGCCCCATATAGACCAATCTTGAGGGTTTTTTTATGAATGAGTTACCCCAATTGACCTGAGGACCTCGGTGTACATGAAGTCATTGAACTATTGGTTCTTACTGTGACATACAATAACATAAGCATTGCGACATACAATAATAACATAAGCATTGTGACATAGAAAATGAACGGGAAATACATGAATTTAAATTTCATCTATTCTACCTTTGTCCTTAAGTATGAATAGTCGTATGTGAAAAAACACTTACATGCTTTTGTCAACCCAAATCCTGAACTTTCATCTCCTGAGAAAACCATCTTTGTAAATGTTACTGAAGCTGTATATACTTCTAAAAATAACCAAACTGATAAAAATGCAAATAATAGGCTAGGTGAAGTGCCATCTCCCAACAGCAGAACAAGTAATAAGTAGAAGATCACAACAAAGTTGATCAGCGCTGACGAGTATGTTGTGCCGAGACCAAACACAATTGGTGGATGCTCAGCCTCTTTCTCATCCTTAAAGTTTTGCTTGATTTTGTTGTAAACCTGTGGTATAACAGTCCCATCAGCCTGAACAGAAAATTTCTCCTGTTTCGGTAGTAGATGAATCGTTAATGGTTTAATGGTGGTAGCTATGAATGATATAAATAGAAGTATATACACAAGCCTTGGCAAAAATATCTGTTGCCACACTGGTAAAGCATCAAGTATTGGCTGAGGTAGTCCTTGCAAAGCCCAGTGCAAAGCAATTGCAACACCACATACAGGATATATGTATTTTATACATATTATTCCTGCAGAATTTCCTTGAAAATTTCCAGAATGTTTTACATATTTACGAATTGCTAGAAGAAAGAAAATGACACAACCTACACTAAAAAAGTATCTAACATTTCTGTAGCTAGTCAACTCGTCTGGTAAGCTAGCTAATGGATACAGGAAAAGTGACAAAGAACAAGTCCATTGTTCTTCACGACATGCTCGAAAATTTGATGAAAATCTGACAAGCACATTTAAAAGTAGTGTCACAAATATTGCTAATATTGATGGCTGAGTCAAAGTTCTCATAATATCATAAGTTTTATGTTGTGTTTTGTGTCTTTTGGCTTTTTGATCCAATTGTGAAGTATCATATTTGACTAGAAATGACTGAATACTTTTAAAACAAAATATCCATGATAATGTCTGAGTATAGAACAAAGTTACTGAGTCTTCATGCACTACAAAACTGTTTGAAAAGAATAATACAAAATATAGTAACATTATCATCCATGAAAATATGTTATTGATGTTTAACGAAAGGCATGTTTCTGGTACTGCTTCAGGTGCAGAAAAGTTATAGGTTAAAATCCATATCATTATAATACCAACTACAGCCAGAATATATACCATGAATGCTGACAATGTTTCTCCCACAAAAAATGTCTGAAACACTGCATAAGTCAAATAAACCACACAATATAGAATTAAAATGACCACAGTATTTGGTACCTCACTACTATCTGAAATTCGTATGTAATATATATTAGTTGAAATCGCCAAAATAAGTGTCAATATTCCTATTGAAATTGACATCATATCAAATTTGGCCCAAATTCCTTTACAAATTTTCCCAACTTCTGATATGTATTCAATGTAATGGCCTCTCAAAATTTTCAAATCTTCAGTAATGTCCCTTGTTGCTCCATCTTTTACCATAGCGGTAACTAAAGCTTGTAAGTCTTTTTCTGCATGATCTAAAAGATTCTGTAGTTCATAATACGTTTGTATTGGAAAGTCTGAAGAGTATTCATAGTAAGATGTAAGGTAGTAACTGATTTGTTTGGCATTCAATCTTAAAGCTTTGGTGCTGTGATAAACCTAAAAAAAAGAAAATACAGTAGTTTTTTAATCTGAATAAATCCTTTTTCAGCATTATGGGAGTCTTTCCACAGCACAGTAATCATCAGTTAAATCAATACAAGGAGACTGCATTCAATTGTATACCAAATCATTCAATAAATGTATCTTTATACAGATATAAATCTATTTATTGTCTGAAGTATTGTCGGATTCAGTAAACAATGATTTTATGAAATTTAATCGTCTATGTATCACTAGTATCACTAATTCTGAAGATTCATTTATTTTCAGTGGGTACTAATTTTATCCAATTGTAAAATGTCGGCCAGGTGAGCTAAAAATTATATCATGTTTTTGTATTCAACTTCAAATTTTTATATGATTGTAGAACAGTAAGGTTCCTTTCAAAATCATCCTGACTATTTATGGAATATTTGCCACTGGACATTCAGCAAACAACAATTATCAATCAATCAAATTCAGAACTATGCTAACTAAAAAATTTTCAACATTGACAAAACTTTGAAATGGAAGATACCTTCTGTGTATATCAATAAACAGTCTGCATAATATTGGTACAAATATATTTACTTAGAGTCTCTTGTACGTTTGTTTTTTCTATACTCAAGGGTATCTTATTCTGTAACAATACAATACAAATATGTTGTAAATACAACAAAATGTTAAAATATTTGTCAACTAATGACAGCTGACATTACTGTATAATCATCATTAATAAAAAAAATAAATTGTACAACAAAATCAATAAATGCTATTTACAAGCTTCCGCATATGTTAATCATGTTAATACAAATATATTACATAACCATAAAATAAAAAATGTAGTTGCAATCTTTTAAATATTGTTAAACTTGCATTTCACATCAATTAAGCATCAACAGATATTGTAAAGAACCTTGTTAAAAAATGAAAATGTTTTCCAGAAATAATACATGTATTATTAATTTCTGTTGTAACCAAAACTTTTAAATTGGTTACTGGAAAAAAAAATTAAGGTTTTGTCTTTCTTTATAAACACTCTTACACACAACTAAACCTAAATTGAAGCCAGATGGAATCACAAGACTAAAGACATACCCATAGCCACAATTGATTGAACTATATGTGAACCTATACTTCACAAAAATCCAATTAACCAAACAATTAATTGTATCTGTAGTTAGATACTAATATCTGACTCACTGTTCAAGACTTAGTAATTAATAACTTTTAAGTTCTTAGTATGTGTATCCAAGCATATTATGCAATGTACATTTGATCCCTCATACATGTCTTTGTCTCGTCTGGAACTAAAGTTGCTAGTAAGGCTGAAGCAAGATGCAGGCTTGCTGTTTCCTACATAGGTGGAGTCAGTACAATAAAACTTTAAAAATTTGTGATAAGCTTACACAGGCAACACATATCTGATATCTCTGTAGCAACAGTTTATTAGTTTATTGTTGTGGTTTTGGTAAATTTTTACAATGTGATATACTGCTTTGTTCATAATTACCTTCTTGATATCGCTGGTAGTTTGCCACCATGGGCAGTGTGTAAATAGTTCCTCTATCACCTGTCCCAGGTTAGAGAAAGGTATTGGTATACCTAATAGCAGAGAGATGGTTGGTACAAAATCTATCTGGGAAATTGTGTCCCTTTCTTTCTACAATATCAAAGTACAAGTATTAGCAATCATCTTTGTATCTTCCTAGGGAAAGTAAAATGAAAAGTTTTGCTCAAATTTATTTTTGGACAATTTTGATTGTGATGAAGCAGCAACCTCCAATTCTTTACCAGATGCCATATTATTCTCTTCCAGCAATATTGGAATGAATTATTTACATTATACTAGAGGCTCTAAAGAGCCTGTGTCGCTCACCTTGGTCTATGTGCATATTAAACAAAGGACACAGATGGATTCATGACAAAATTGTGTTTTGGTGATGGTGATGTGTTTGTAGATCTTACTTTACTGAACATTCTTGCTGCTTACAATTATCTCTATCTATAATGAACTTGGCCCAGTAGTTACAGTGGAAAATATTTTGTAAAAATTTACAAAAATTTACAAAATTTATGAAAATTGTAAAAAATTGACTATAAAGGGCAATAACTCCTTAAGGGGTCAATTGACAATTTTGGTCATGTTGACTTATTTGTAGATCTTACTTTGCGGTACATTATTGCTGTTCACAGTTTATCTCTATCTATAATAATATTCAAGATAATAACCAAAAGCTGCAAAATTTTCTTAAAATTACCAATTCAGGGGCAGCAACCCAACAACGTGTTGCCTGATTGGTCTGAAAATTTCAGGGCAGATAGATCTTGACCTAATGAACAATTTTATCTACGTCAGATTTGCTCTAAATGCTTTGGTTTCAGAGATATGAGCCAAAAACTGCATTTTACCCTATGTACTATTTTTTAGCCATGTCGGCCATCTTGGTTCACGGGCAGGGTCATCGGACACATTTTTTAAACTAGATACCCTAATGATGATTGTGGACAAGTTTGGTTAAATTTGTCTTAGTAGTTTCAGAGGAGAAGATTTTTGTAAAAGATTACAAAAATTTACAAAAAATGGTTAAAAATTGACTATAAAGGGCAATAACTCCTTAAGGGGTCAACTGACCATTTTGGTCAAGTTGATCATGACTTATTTGTAGATCTTACTTTGCTGTACATTATTGCTGTTCACAGTTTATCTCTATCTATAATAATATTCAAGATAATAACCAAAAACGGCAAAATTTCCTTAAAATTACCAATTCAGGGGCAGCAACCCAACAACGGGTTGTCCGATTCATCTGAAAATTTCAGGGCAGATAGATCTTGACCTGATAAACAATTTTACCCCATGTCAGATTTGCTCTAAATGCTTTGGTTTCAGAGATATAAGCCAAAATCTACATTTTACCCCTATGTTCTATTTTTAGCCATGGCGGCCATCTTGGTTGGTTGGCCGGGTCACCAGGACACATTTTTTAAACTAGATACCCCAATAATGATTGTGGCCAAGTTTGGTCAAATTTTGCCCAGTAGTTTCAGAGGAGAAGATTTTTGTAAAAGTTAACAACGATGGACGACAACGAGGACGGACGACGATGACGGACGACGACGCCGGACGCCAAGTGATGAGAAAAGCTCACTTGGCCCTTTGGGCCAGGTGAGCTAATAAACAAAGCAGTCTTCATTAATGTGGGTTTTTTTTATTCTCTTATTCTATTAATGCAAGAAGACCTAGAACCAGTCCATAAAAGGTGGGGAAAACACTGGGGAAGATGAAGGAAAGTCTTGAGAAGTATCAGGACTATATTTTTCTAAAATAAATTATAAATTTCCTTTATCAACGTCCACTCAAAATTTGAAACAATTAAAAAGTAAAACGAGGAGACTGATTTAAACTACAACTACAAACAAAAAAACAAATATGGCAAAATGCAGCCAATGACAACCACTGGATTAAAGATTCACAGCTTGAGACAGGCACTTAAAGAATGTGGCTGGGTAAAAAAAATAATCATGTTTGTGAACAGGCAACCCCATTATAATCTGGGTCAATGGTGTTACAACACAACACAAGAACAAACTGTAAAAATCAGTTGGAAAGGGCTTAACTTATCAGACAGGTACTTAGCACTAATAATATGTAAATAATCTAAAATAATTTGCAGTTATTTAAAGCTAGTTCAAACCCCAATTTCAACTTAAGAATAATCCATGTCGATGTATGCTTATAGTATGCTTTTGACACGGACAGCATCTTAAGTCCCAAGCCCAATGCCTAAGTCTCCTCACAATTGCATCACGTAAAAATCTGCGTTAAAATTAATATGACTAAAAAAGTTTAATCAACAGCCCTTTCACATTTTATGGTTAAGGTTTTAATGGCACAGACTAAGATTTGAACATAAATATGATATCCTACCAATTTCAAGGTTCACCATTGGTAAAAAAAAATCACAACATTTTTTCTTGACCTAACTTAAATGTTACCCATAGATTATGTTGGCTGGTTATCTGTGCTGGACTATACACAAATAATGCTGCTTCTAATTCGTCTTTACTGTCTCCTCCGTGGTCTCCTGTTTTAGTCATTCCATGATCACCCATCACAAATAATATTGTGTCATCTTTCATCAACCTTGTCACATTCCTTGAAAATAAAAACAAAAAAAAATTCCAGGGCATGAAGAATTTTTTGGAAGGCCACTTACCCAAGGGAAAGTGATAAAAAAAAGTTCACTTTCCCGTGTGCAAATCCACTATCCCCGGTTGAGACCCGCAAAGTGGGTCGAATTGGCTCGAGGGGTTTGGGGGCATGCCCCAAGAAAATTTTGAAATTTAAGATGCACAATCCTGCAATCTGAGCATACTTTTAAGGGTTTAACATGTCAACTGATTATGATAATTTTGTGTGACTTTTTTAAATTTATATACTATAAGCAATAGACAATCCATATTATGTGTATGGAATTATAATTAAACAGGCGAGACATTTCAGCATTGCACCCTTGTTACAAAATACAGGTAGGTTGGTTCATTAATGCGTGGTTCATAAAATATGTGGTTCATTAATGCTGGATTGGATTGAATTCTGCTTTCTTGATCTATGTTGATGATCTGAATATAATAATAATATTGACTGTTTTTTCAGTAAATGTACTCTGACTGTACACTTTGAGTTTGTAAATATTATGTTTTAAGTGTCTCAATGTCATTACCCTTTTTTTTTCAATATCATTAAGTAATCAGTCCCTGTCATATTTATTATCCTTCTGTTTTTTGGGGATACTATTCCCCTTTACATCATATTCTGTTTTTCTTTTAGCGCTTGAAATGTCAAAGTATTTATGCAAGCTCATTTTCTGAGCGTCCGCAATATTTACAAACTGTTTCCCTTGCTACAAACCGGATATCTTAAATTTAAACCAGTCTGCTAACGATCTAACTAAATACCAAAAGGCACACGTGTAAAACACATAAAAATGTGATGAAATCATGGAAATTCGACGCTCAGATGATCTTACAGAAGTATTTTGACATTTAAACAAGTAATAGGGACCAATTATTTTATTTATTTACCGGAAAACGACTTTCCCGACGGGATATTAGCAACTGCTATGTCACTTTCCAGTGTTATAATTTACTTTACCCGGGAAACGGGAAATGGTAATCTTTATGCCCTGTTATTCATAAAGTTAAAAGAATCAGAAGTACTTTCAGTATTCAAAATCCAATGATATGCTAGCAAACGATAAAATAGGGTGATATAAATTAACAAATAACTTTTCATGTGATAAATTGGTATAAGACAAAAACAAGTAATTGAGGTTCCCAGGTCACCAGAATTGCTCGAGGCTACAAATTTGGAAAGCCAAGTGATTTACACACAAAAACAATGTTATGTGAGGCTTTATCTGCAGGCACAACAATATATTTGTCATGGAGGTAGGACAGGTGCTTTGCAACATTTGGGTGAACCAATTTGATTTATGTCCCTCAGGGCATCTTGACCTTAATTTATTATCACTTACGTGTACATAATAATATTTACACAATCAATACAATGTATGTAAAAAGCATCATAATAAAAATATGCCGATCTTGAGGTGTATTACCTTATCATATCATTCATTTGAGACAATTTGTCTCTCATAGCTGAATGGTTTGGACCATATCTATGTCCACAGTGATCAACACCAAGGAAATGAGCAACCAACACTTCCCAGTCATTCTTATTCTGTTCTTTGTAAAGATGTTTCAAAACACCATCATCAACGGTATGTAAATCTTTCACATTAAATGATGGAAATGGAATCTGTTTATAAAATCTGTTAGGGAACAGTCCTATCCAAGTGTCGTCACCAAGAAACTTTATTCTTTTGTTGTGGCGAATCAACTGATCTATAAAATTATCCTCTGTAATTTCAGAGCTAGCAAAATTAGATCCAGCATCAACAAATGTAGGAAGACTTCCCGTAGTCAAGCCTTTTAATCTCTGTAGTGTCGTTGTAGGTGGATCAGCGATAAATTTGTAAAGTTTTGCATTGTTTGGTTTCATCAGAGAATTTTTAATAAAATTTAATCTATTTTTGTATGGAATAGAATCATTTGCTGTGGAATCAAATGAAGCGAAATCATATCTTAGTGCATCTATTACGATTATAATAGCTTTCTTATAACGGACATGCATCCAACAACCCTTTTCTCCGTGCATGTCACTTTGCATGGCAAAGTCAACTTTACAGCTACTGTTTCTTTCTACAACTACTCTTTTCAAAAGAAATCCTTTTGCAAATATAAGCAACCCACAAACGTAAAGTAAGATAAGAAAGCATAAAAGGAAAAAGCATTTAAAGTTTTGTCCCATTTTTTCCTGAAAATTTTCTTCACATTTCGCCGGTGTTACGGAAGTTACCAAACGGAAGTAATGAAGAAAAAAAAACATTTTCGGTTTAGCATAAACTCAATTCCCGGCTATTGAAGAATTTAAGGAAGAATATAAAAGGAGAGCTATAAAGATTAAAATATATGCCCTTTTCCTTAAGACCTTTATTAGTGTTCGTTGTTGGTTTTTGTAAAAAATACTTTTCTACTGTAATTGGGGACTATACACATCACAAATGTACACATTACACAGTTACAAGTTACAAATTGACAATTTTGACCCCGTTGGCTTTCCATACTGAACAACAGGTGTGACAATATGATAGGCTTCAAAATATATATATTTATATATTTATATATTCTTAATATGTTTAATAAAATTGAAAAAATAACACAGGGAAATATCTATCAAGAAAATTATACAAATAAGTTTTAGACAGATTGTTTTAATTTAAGGTTAAAATTACATGTAAATATAAGAACATGTACACATTTAGGCCAAATGCTGACATGTTATAATAACAATTAGAACTTAATGAACTGGACATACGCAAGATTCACAACTATAAATTGTCCAGATTGGTAAAAACATGTCAATTAAAGTCAGCTTGATAGATATTCATCTGTGTATCCTTAGAATGAAAACTATTATTGTCAAAGTAATAGAAAGTTTGATAAACTGTTATATTCAAATGAAATGTATATAAACTATTTGCATGCACTGTTATGGGGGAGACCGTCCGTTATGGACACTGGTTCAGACTGGCTTGAATAAACTGTTGTTTCAAATAACCTTGTGTTGTGTTACACAGTGGTTATTTTTGGTTAACCGTGACCAAAGGATGCTAAGGTAAAGTGACTATTATTGATAATCTTTATTTAATTTCGCAAAATGGCTGATAAAGAATTTAATGATGTAAGGTTAGTTTTCCGAAATTTAGAAACACAAGTTCAAAGTCTCACTCAAAAGGTATTTAAAAAGGGCATACATTCGAATAAAAGTGTTGATGGTTCAAAATCAGAAAAGTTAGGTATAGGTGTAATATATGTAAGCTCACTTTTACATGCTCAAGATGTTAACTTGGCTGAACTCATCAGAAGAAATGTTCTGTTAAAATAATGTTGATTTCATAAGTGAAAATGTAGATATTTATTTTTTTCTGATTCAATGGTGAAGGTTTAATTTTTTTATTGATATTTCTTAATGTAATCATTATGAAGGTGAGGGCACTTTATATTATGTATTTGATTGTATAAGTCAATATAAAAGACTTGCGTACACATTTTAATTATAATGACAAAATGTTTTTAAATGCTTTCTATTAAAAGACAGAAATATATTATTTAAAACACGTGAATATTAATATTTTAGAATTAATTCACAATAAGTAAAAGAAATCTTAAGATGCACGAGTATTTAACTGAGTGAATAATGATAAGATTAAAACATTTATATCTTGATTTGGAATATAATAATCTCTGTTTTGATTCATAATTTGAGTTGTTTTCTGAAGATACAATCCGTAATTCTAGAATATACGCGCCTGTATACACTAGTATAAGAAAGTTTCATTTAAGAACCTTTTAGCGACGAAGTAAAGGATATTTCTGCGATGTTATAACCATATGGTTGTTTAAATATGGTTGACGCAGTTGGGTAAGTGCGTAAGCACATTTGTTTAGAGAAACAAAACATTCTATGTTATTTAGAATCCAAACCTTTTTTTCGCACAGTTAATAAGGCATACGTTGCTAAGCCATGAAAATGGTGTACGTTGTTGGGTAGTGTTAAACACGGTTGTTATTGTAACAATTTTTCTGTAAAAAATAAAACCAACCCTTATTGTGGTATTTTTAAAGAATGGCGGACTTATCTTCAGAAAATAGCGCATAAATGATAAAAAATGATACAATTGTTTTGTTCACTCTAAGGGTTTTAAGTTTTTAAGTATTTCGCGATAGACGAAACATAGGATATATTTTTTTTAATATGTTCAAAGGGATATTTGAACATCATGTATAATCATCAATGAGCAAATCAAATGAATGATTGATAATATAAAAAAAAATCCATAATAAGGGTTAATGAAAATGTTTTTATAATATTGCATTGTAACACGGATTACAATATTAATAGAATAAATAATTTAGAACTTAAATATATGGAAATAAGTATCATATGATTAATCGTTATAAACAATAACGCGATACATCTTCCGACGAATATTAATGTGATGCTGATAGAAAAAAAAAGGAAATTAGCAAGCCAAGAAAAAATGAGAGAAGAGGGTCATAAGGTCATCTATAACTTCCGGTTTAAATGAGATGACAAATGATAATAGTTCTGATAGATATAGTTTAGAAAATAGTCAGAACATGCCTGTTGAAAAAATAAGTATACTAAAGAAAAATAAACGAAAAATTTATGTCTGAAAGAAAGACTAATTAATGTTAAACATTCTCACAATGTTTTGTTTGTTTACGACTAGCACTTTGTAGTCATAGGCTTCTTTATAACTAGTTTGTTTATTTATAAGTATAATTTTTATGTGTATATGAACTATTTTTGTAAATAATATACTTTTGTTTTAATTAATCATATTCATTCTAATTGTCGCTTCAGATGGATCACTGAAAAAATATTGATTGTTTAGAATTCGTATTAATATCAGTCATCTCTTTATCACAGCTTTGTTTATGGAAAAGGAAGGAAAGTGGTGGTTAAATGTCAAACCTTATTTAAAACCTTTTCAGTGTCTGCGAGAGCGAAGTATATATTAAAAGGTTGTTATTTGGGGGGTAAATTGATACACAGTAAAAAAAAATTATTATATAACTTAGTAAAAAAATAAACTTTAATAAAGAAACCATTTCGTGTTTTTTCGAGTTTTTATATTCTAGTTAAGTAAATTACATATTGATAAGTCCATTTACCAAATTAAAGCAATAAGAACTTATTGAGGACGACTTTGAACTATCAAACTTGGTAAATGTATTAATTTATTTTGTTGTTATATTTATAGGTATTTTGTTATATTTATTTTGCAAACATAGTCAAAAATTTAAGTGTAGGTTTTTAGCCAATCGAGAATTATAATTAAGAGGTTCAAATAGTCACTAGATATCTTGGTGGCAATGAAGTGGTGTCAACTAATGTTGAGGGCGATGGTACTGCTTCCAGAGATGTTAAAATAGCTTCTGTACCACTATTAGAACCAGCCACTAAGAACCATTATCCAGTACTCAACTTGTCAAACAATGAGTAGTAGCAATCAAGTTAACTGACCACAAGAATGATGATTGGAAAAGAACACTGGATATTGGCTTCGATTTTTGGACACAACGCAGACGTTTAGATGTAAATAAAACTATACGATCACATAACTTTATATTGGTAGAGGGAATCGTTCTACAACATCACAGGTAGATTTGCCTGAATTGTTTCAGCCGGTGATAACTGAGCAACCTAGTCAGGGACCCTGAATCAACAGGGTAGGTAAGCTAGGTCAGTTAGGAGTTATATAAACTACAGATGGTGGATCACTTGGAGGTCGGAGTATATGAACGACATATGGTGGATCACTTGGAGGTCGGAGTATATCAACGACAGATGGTGGATCGCTTGGAGGTCGGAGTATATCAACGACAGATGGTGGATCATATGGAGTCGGAGTAGTTGCGCATGGAGGTCGGAGTTATCAACGACAGTCGGAGTAATTGCAGTACTTCTGAATGACGGGGATTGGCGTTGCAGACAAACAAACAGATTGTTGGAGTTGACAACGACGTTCGGAGGAGCAGTCCACTGGAGTCGGGGTTATGAAGACGGTCCGCAGTTAATGGTTGCGCCTTTTCGTTGTATTCTGAAGTTCTGATCTTTGATGTTACGAAGAATGTAATGATAGAACTTTTACAACTTAGTTATTCATACAAAGACAGTATGAACTATACATTGCTGGACATTTAGATGTTGTTGAACTGTTGAAATGATTTTGTTTATGAATGTTGTATTTTTAATTTGCAAGCATTCGTATTGTCACCGATTTAAACTAAAATATAAAGTTATATTTCTTAAGAAAGGGAGGAATGTGACAATATGATAGGCTTCAAAATATATATATTTATATATTTATATATTCTTAATATGTTTAATAAAATTGAAAAAATAACACAGGGAAATATCTATCAAGAAAATTATACAAATAAGTTTTAGACAGATTGTTTTAATTTAAGGTTAAAATTACATGTAAATATAAGAACATGTACACATTTAGGCCAAATGCTGACATATTATAATAACAATTAGTTAATGAACTGGACATACGCAAGATTCACAACTATAAATTGTCCAGATTGGTAAAAACATGTCAATTAAAGTCAGCTTGATAGATATTCATCTGTGTATCCTTAGAATGAAAACTATTATTGTCAAAGTAATAGAAAGTTTGATAAACTGTTATATTCAAATGAAATGTATATAAACTATTTGCATGCACTGTTATGGGGGAGACCGTCCTTTATAGACACTGGTCCAGATCGGCTTGAATAAATTGTTGTTCCAAATAACCTTGTGTTGTGTTACACAGGCTCCTGTATAGGACTTTTTTTCAAAAATGTAATGACACAAAAAAGTATGGGTCGCGGACTTACTGCATGGTGTTGCAAAATTAACGATTTTATAACGGTTATACATGGAAAAACCTACTGTGTTAGAATAGAAAGAAACACTTATGGTAGAATTAAAAAAAAATTGATCAAAGCTCTAAATGTGAATATGATTTTTTAATATTAAAATTCGATTTATTAATATTAAAAAATAATTTATAATATTAATAAATGATTTATTGATATTAATAAATAGGGAATAAATTCCACAACGACTTGCCATAAATGAGGGGCCTGATGGGTTATTTTCGTTCTTCGTGATCGGCGCATTTTCGCTATCGTGATCCGTTTTTCTAGATTTATTTTTTTTTATATTTTCGTGATCCGTGATCATGGAAATTTATTTTCTGTGAATCGTGATTGACACAAAAATCAAATCGTGAATCGTGATGAGACCCCCCCCCCCCCCCATCAGGTCCCTCATAAATGTGTGCTTTAGGAAAATAAAAAATAAAATTGGGGTTACGCGATTCGTTAACATTCGGATGTGTAGTTGCACTCACCTTTTATTCAAACAGTTTTTATTTTAGAATTCGGATTCCGGCTGTTTCAGAAACAGGAACCGAAACTATCACATTTGTCTTAAATTTTAAAGGTTTTAAACATTTTGCTTTGGATTTGCAAAAATGTCAAACCCACCATTTATATAAAGTTTCAAAGTTGACATTTGACATCATAGTTTTAAAGAAGGAAAAGTTAAACTGACCACTAAGGATCTAGGATAATGAATTGATTTTGCTGCATATGGATAAAAATACTTCACCTTGTAATTAATATTCATAAATTTATCAGCATATATATACTTATGTATAAACATCCTGTACATTCAAGTTTGTTATTACAATGAAAGACATATAGTTTATTTCAAATATATGATATAATTTATACACGAAACAGAAAAAAAACTAGCATGATACATGACAAAATCATTAACAAACTTGCTGACAAATATGTAAAAACGATAATAATATCATACCGACACGTGTCCAAGTTATATTTTAGTTAAATTTCTAGGTATTGACTATGTCGGAAATAGGAATAATATGCGTTGAAGGGGATTTTTAATATACATTAAATTGTAACAGGATACATATGTAGTCGATTTTACCGGGTTGTTACTAAATTTTCGATATGGTAGTATTCACAGATGGAAAATTCAACTTTGTTTATTCCTTATTATCTTATTTCACGTTCTTTGCTTTAACTGTGTCCGAATATGTACCTGGACATCTTAAGCCTCTTGGTCACCATAGAAAATCTCTTGGAGGAGTTACAATATTGAAGGAATTTCCATCTCCTACAGATTTTTATGAAAATTACATTGCGAAAAGTGAACCGTTTGTTGTAAAAGGTGTTCTAGAAAATGGACAATTTCCAGCATACAAGTTATGGACTGATCAGTATCTAGAGTATGTACTATGTTTATCTGTACTTTGCATATATCATTGGCACTCATACCACATCTTCTTATATCTATATGTGTATATGTACTATGTTTATCTGTACTATGCATATGTTTATATGTACTATGCATATGTGTATATGTACTATGCATATGTTTATAATTATGTACTATGCATATGTGTATATGTACTATGCTTATGTTTTTATGTACTATGCATATAGAAATAAGAAGATGTGGTATGAGTGCCAATGAGACAACTCTCCATCCAAGTCACAATGTGTAAAAAGTTAGCAATTATAGGTCAAAGTACGGCCTTCAACACGGAGCCTTGGCTCACACCGAACAGCAAGCTATAAAGGGTCCCAAAATGACTAGTGTAAAACAATTCAAACAGGAAAACCAACGGTTTAATCTATATAAAAAACGAGAAACGAGAAACACTTATGAACCACATCAACAAACAAAACCACTAAACAACAGGCTCCTGACTTAGGACAGGTGCAAACAAATGCAGCGTTTAAACGTTTTAACAGGCGCCAACCTTCACCCTAACCTGCAACAGTATGTGTATATGTACTATGCATATGTTTATATGTACTATGCATATGTTTATATGTACTATGCATATGTTTATATGTTTATATGTACTATGCATATGTTTACATGTTTATATGTACTATGCATATGTTTATATGTTTATATGTACTATGTTTATCCAATCGATACTTAATAAATAAGTGTATAACAAGCAAAACCTTAAATTAGTCGGATCTGGGTCACATTCAGGGAGTTAGCATGACGCAATTTAATCTTAGTATACCAATGAAAATGAAAAAAACTCTGTAAAATGGTATAAATCAGATACTTTGAATGTATGTTCTATCATATATGTCAAGACAGACAATTTTAGGAATGAAAACAGATAAAAAACATGAACTCTAAACGAAGTGAGATCAGATGCGATGACGGGATTAATATAAAAATAAGGAGATGTGGTATGATTACCAATGAGACAACTATCCACCCAAGTTCAAATGAAGTGGATGTAAACAATTATAGGCAACCGTACGGCCTTCAACAATGAAAAAACACATACCGTATAGTCGGCTATAAAAGGCCCAGACATGAAAAATATGAAGCAATTCAATTGAGAAAACTAACGGCCTAATTTATAACAAAACAACTTACGAAAAACAAATATGACAGACATGAACCAACGACAACCACTGAACTACAGGCTCCTGACTAGGGACAGGAACATAAAGAATGTGGCGGGGTTAAACATGTTTGTGAGCGCTCAATCCTCCCCTAACCTGGGACAGTGGTGTAACAGCACAGCATTAGAACAATCTATAAAAATCAGCTGGAAAAGGCTTAACTCATCAGATCGATACAAAGCAGAAAAACATCAAACAAAAACATTTATCAAATATATCAGTCTTTTAAAAAAGTATTGATTGGTGTGCCTCGGTTAAACTAGTTTAAATCTCAATTCTCCTTTTAATCTTAATCATTGAAATATTTATAATAGGTACATAGAAGAACGTAGAATAAATCTAGGTTAGAAAACACAACAGTAATGCGGATATATATATGTACAACAATAAATTATACGGTATAATTAATGCTGTGGTCTTCTTCGGGGATCTGGATGGGGTTTACAGAATAGAGAATAATGAACAAAAAATATATAGAATAGAGAAAAAGTGGAGAAGACAACAGTATACACATGTTAATGTGGGGCTAAAATATTAAGAATTAAGAATAAAATAGAAGAATTTTTACTGTATAAGTTTTTCATCAAGATGATATCGGTGGAGTCGAATACTCACAAAACTAGTTTAACCCCAGAACTTGTTTATGCTCAAAGTAAGGAATCTTGTTGCGTTTGGCATTGTTCCAGGAATCTTATAGTGACTGGCACAGTTTCAGGAATTTTATAGTGACTGGCACTGTTCCGGGAATCTTACTGTGACTGGCACAGTTCATGAAATCCTATTGTGACTGACACAGTTCCAGGAATCTTATTATGACTGGCACAGTTCCAGAAATCTTGTTATGAATAGCACAGTTCCATGAAAATTATTATGACTGGCACTGTTCCAGGAATTTAGTTTTGACTGGCATTATTCCTTATTGTCCTGGACATGCATGAACTATTTGCCACAGGAAGTTAAGCAAGCAACAATGAATCATTGTTTCCTTACGTTTTGTCTGTTGTATCGGTCCCACCCGTTTAGTCTTAGCAAAGCACAGAAAATTTTATAAATCAAATGCATTTTGCGATAACTAGATAATAATCAAACAAGGCTAGTGAATATCCAAAATGTCATATTTTTCTGTGTCCATCTTTTTCTAGCACAATTCTTTAGTGTTACTCATCGAGCGTTGGGCAAAGAAGGAACGATCTTGGATGAAAATCAAAAATGCTACTTTTATCAGAAACTTCCAGAACAATGCAGAATATTCTATTAAATTTCTAAAAACTGAAATCATTATCAACAGAAAGATTTGTCATGTCTGTTGCTTCAAACCAATCTTCCAAAATTACCTGGTGTCATTGTGTTGGCTATTTCTAAATCGATAGAGTCTTAATTATAATATATTTCAGTGTTAAACCTTACTACTTACCCTTTCCGGAGCACACGAGTTCAAGCCTAGTACGGCGGAGAATGCCGAAAATCCATTTAACCGAGGTATAATCTGTATCTAATAACTAAAATATCAATGAAGGTACAGGACAAATACAAATACAAAGACTTCCAAAGAACATGGGATTACTTGATATAGGCTCCTGTTAGCGTTTCACATATCACAAAGCCGCCATGCAAAGGGGATGTCGATGCACTGACAACAAGGCCTATGAGCCCATATCCCCTGTGAAGCCCGAATAACAATTATATTATACTGGAGTGTCCTGATTTTAACATTAATTACCATTCTGATCTCCGCTTTTGTTTACAGGGTATATGTGCTCATGTACCCTGTCAAGGTAACCAATCAAATTGCACAACTAGTCGGGATAGTTCACTCCAGTCTATAATGCTATACTTAAAGGGTTGTTTTGTGTTGCCATTGACCTATATACACCACACCATCTTTTATTCGTAGCAATTTAACATTATGGATAAAATTTCAAAAATTCTCTAAAACATCTGACATCTAAACCATTTATCCACCAAATAGACAATATATATTACATAAAGAGACTCTTGGTGTCTTCTTACTCATATCCATACGATAGTACAATAAAAGTCGTTAATATATATGCTGCCCCTCGATCCTTATTTTCCACGTCCATGCCCACAGCGCCAATGGTTGACATGGTTATGCACTGGCCGGCTGCAATACAGTTAGTTAAATAAATCGCAATTACGATTTCAAGGTACATGATCTATCGTATTGTAGGGAAAAATATGGAAGAATTTATGTGGACGTGGAAGGAGGCAAGAAAGAAGACCGTAACGCACAGGCTTACGCAATGCCGATGTCAAAGTTCCTTCAGATATACAACCAATCAAATGTCTACATGGTTTATGACGTTGCAAAAGAAATGAAAGGTAATTTGCCCCGTTTTTTGTAAGAATCTACATATATTGTGATATATTATGGAAATATTTTCCCTCTAGTCGGACTAAAACAGGTAATCCATCATGACTGCCAGTACAAAAGTCCTTGAACACAACATACCTACATATTTGGTTCTTATATTAAAATGCAAATGCAGGCTATATAAAAATTATCTAATACCTTTTTACAAAAATTCTTATTCTCCTATGTAACAACGTAAAATATGTACCATTGTATCACATTTGAACATTGTCTACCTTCTTGCAGCTGATATTACAATACCAATATCTCTGCAATGTGGAGGTTTAGAAAAGGCTATAAAATCAGTTATAATGTGGTTCAGTAGCGGTGGGACAAGGTCTGTTCTCCATAATGACGGACTTGACAATATCAACTGTTTACTGGATGGAAACAAAGACTTGATCATGTTTCATAAGGTATTAACAGATAGAAATATTTATGTTTCATAAAAACAAATTTTAACATAATTCACCAAATTCACCAAAGACCAATGTTTGCGAAGATTTTGTGTCAGTCGTGCTATTTCTGGTTCTCCAAACATACGTTTGTGCAATATTTACGATTTAACAAATTGCCATGTTTCAACTAACGTATTTCTGTCATGTTTTTTTTTCTTTTACAAAAAGTTATTGACTTGTTTGATTTGACATTTATAACATTGAACATGATGTATTTTTCATGTCTGCACATGTAATTGCATGGTATTTTGTACCATTATTGTATTACAGTATGATGTTTTTATCAACTGGATGATCTGTCCGTTTATTTGGTGAATTTGTTTTGTTTTGATGTCTTCCATGGTCTCTTATTTACTTGCTCGATCTTTTAGTGTTCCTCTTGATTACTGAATTCTGACATTGTTAAATCTGATTCGTTAACGTCTAGATGTATTTTTTAGAAATACAAACCTGAGATTGAAGCGGATCATTTCATGCAGTATGGTTCCTATAGTAAAGTTGATGTTGAAGCTGTGGATATGGAGAAATTTCCCAAACTACGTGACTTACCATGGTATATGGCAAACATTACCAAAGGAGATTGTCTATTTATACCCTATCAGTTCGTATCCATAGTAACAAGTAGTTTAAAACTGTCCATATTATCTGTTGCTTTTTATATATTTTAAAACCAAATTTAGAACTACTAGCATTCAGGGGCAAATCCTTGCAAATGTTGTCCTCCCCTTTATGACCCAAAATTGTTTAGTTCATTTTTTTCATTTTGACTGTCCATTTCGTTAAGGCAATACCGGTACTTTTTGGCTACCATCCAGACCTCCGCCTTTTAAAATCCTTGTTCTGCAGCTGACGTGGGCAAAGGCGTTTCAATAAAATGGTAAAAAATATTGGGTGTAAAATATCTTTATCTTATTTCTGTGTTCTGTTTATTTATATATATATTCTTTATTGGAAAAAGTAATAACAAAACTAAAGATTGAGCAAAACGAACCTCACCAAAAAAACCGGGGGTGAACTCTGCTTCAGAAGTTAATCATGTGCGCCAACTGCAATATTTAAAAAATTACAACAGACAAATAATGAGGAGTCTTAGAACACACCTTCCAGTTATGCTTTTAACAAAATTCTGTTCCTGAGGGTAAACGAAACGTTTTATCATGAAAATGGCTCCATGTACAAAACGTCAGCTGAATCTTGTAGTTTGAATTTGCACATGCGCATTACTAAACAATGTATAACTAATCCCATAAACTCAAATAAATAAAAAATGATTACTTTTAGATGGTACCATCAAGTGTATTCTCATTCTGGGCGTAATTTGGCTGTTAACATTTGGTCTAACCATCTTCGTTGGTTTGACAAAACAGCATGCAAAGAAAGTGAAGACAAACTTAAGCCAAAATCACTGAAGAATATAGAGTTAAAGAATGAAGAAGAATTCTCTCTAGATGATGAAGTACGGTAAGACAACTGATTGACACTATTTTTATTTAATTCTTATAACATTCTTATTCTAGATGTAAAGAAAACGTTGTAAATAATATATTATAGGTTTTTTCACTGATTTTTTTTTCTTCAAAACAGCAACGTACGGAGATAAAAAGAATAAAGCTAAATAATTATATTTTATTAAGTTTGATTTAACTTCGAAATTAGAAACTATTATTGGCAAGAACAGCTGCCAACTTGAAGTTACAACAAAATCTAGAGACCAAAATTGTGACATACATTCTTATAATTTAACAAATGGAATGCATCTAGCATATATAAGCTTCTGTTCTAAATAAGAATATTACTGGCGTGTTTAATTTTCGTCCAACTGACATATGTAATATACTCTTATTTTATGGGAAAAGTAAGAAGCTCATGCTTCAAATACATTGAGATGTGATTTTGTAAAGTTCAGTACTTTTTATATACCAAAATCGTGTAATTTGAGATACTTGTGCTTATTGCAATTTGATAGCATCACATACAATCTAGTTAAAATATAAATCTCTGATTTCGTGTACGCGAGTTCCGATATATCTGAATTTTAATCAGGTTGTATCACTTAAGCCTCAATGGCCTACATTTCATATACTTTAAACTTCAATAGATATATATATACAAATTTGAACGATACCACATCCAAATCGTGGAATACCATACAATACTATCAATAAGTGATGATTAAAGGTAAGAAAATGCACTTTTATTTAACAAACTTGTATTCCTTTTTCAGAGATATGTTTCTGGATGCATTGGATGATCTAAAAACTGTCAATTTTGAAGACTTTGCAGTTAGAATCAGAAAGATTGCTGTAAAGGAAGTACCAGATGATGCTCTAATTAAGGTTAGAATACCCATAGAACTAACATATATTGCACTTAATAAATACATTTTTATCGTTGAGGAATTTTAGGTGAAGTTTAAACATCTAACATGATTTCATTGATAGAGGGTTGATGCTTCAAATGAAGCTATTGCACCAAGGGATCCGATTTGAAAAGTTGATGTCATCCCTTCGAAAGTTCTACGGTCGACTGTTATGGGTTATCTGTGTCACAGGTTACAATGGCTATGTTCCAATATATGGATATTTGCACATCACCTTTCGAAAACAATTTAGATACTCATAAAACGGTTAGTGATACGCCCATTCCATGCATTAAAAACAAACTTCAAGGTATCGCAAAGCGTTTTGTGTTCGTACCGGCCGACAAAGCAGCCAACAATGCGGTATCTTTAAGACTTTTTTAAATTAAAAAAAAAACACACACACAAAATGCAAAAATTAACGCATGCAAATCGAAAGTATTCACTTAACTGTTAAAACCCATAGTTCATTGTAAGATTCTGTAGGTCCATTTAGCGCTTTTATATTCTCAGTCAAATTTCATATTCCGCTTCGACTAACCAGATGTCTGCCACTTTTTCAGCGTTTTCGACGAATTGACAAATAAAAAGTAAAGCCATGAAAGACGCGCATGTCTCTTTCTGTAGTTTTTATATTTATCTTTTTGGGATGTATAAGTCAATAATGTCTTTCTTAATTTCAGATGTTTGATATAATCGACAATGATAAGAATGGCATTTTAACGATGGATGAATTTCACACCTGTGATTTTTCTGAAATGTTTGAACAAATACCAGATTTTGAATCCTTTTTTACGAACAATGATCAAGATGCTCTCGACGGAAAAAATGATCAAGAGCTGCCTGGCAACGATTATTACAATCAACAACCAATGCTGGTAGAGATGGAAGATGACGTCAGTTTCCTTTTAAATCCTAAAAAGCCACAAGAAATAACATTAAATGACGAAAATATCCAGGAAGAAACAAATGATCAAATAAGAAATACGGGTAAAGAAGAACTATAACTGAAAGACAGCTTCTAACTATTTGATTTTATGAATTAATCCATTTTTCTTTTCAAGTTATAAAAGTCGCTGAAGCAAGACTTACGCTGCCCACGGCATAAACATGTACAATTGTCAAAGTTTGTGATTGGGTCACAAAGGCGAGACATATATATATCCATGCATGTGCAAACAGTTTATTCAATAACAAATAAATGTATTCCTATCCTCACTTATTAAATTAAATCGTAATCTTTTAGAATGTTTAATCAGTTTATGCAGTATTTTTTCGCTGACCTTATGAGTGTCTTTGTTATCATGCAATATCTTTGATTGTTAAAACTAAATGGAAGTATAAAAAATGTCGTAAAACTGGATTTAACGACTGAAATCCGGGTTTTGATGGGTAGTATGGCGGGCGGACGGGTGGCTATGGTGTTACTGGTATCAAATGGAGGTCAATTTCAATATTTGCGATTTTCGCTTTTCTCGTTCAGAAGTTATGATCCATGATTGATTGGAAAATGGCATTTTATGTCGATTCCATATGATTACTTGAGAACGCTTAAACCAAATCCTCTTTTAATTTTAATCTGGTTTTTTTCACATGACAGTCACAAAATGGAGGTCAAGATTGATTTTGACGATTTTCGCTTTTGTCGTTATTGCCCTTTATTGTTGTCATTATTAATGCAATAAAGGGCAATAACGACAAAAGCGAAAATCATCAAAATCAATCTTTTAGAATGTTTAATCTGTTTATGCAGTATTTTTTTGCTGACCTTATGAGTGTCTTAGTTAAATGGATAAATGGAAGAAAACCCCGGTTGCTTTCTTTTTAACAGCATCTTTTTAACATTTATTGTGTTGATCGGATAAGGTAAGATTGGTAATTTTTCTATTCGGTCATAACCATTTTCATCAACTTTATGTGCTTTTGAAGTGTGAGACATTGGATGAGAATATCTAGCATGCATTATGTCCTAGTTTCGAGCTACTTAATATAACACGAAATATAGATCCCAAAACCTTTTGAACTTTAAAGTCATTAATTTGATCTTCTATGTTTTCAGAATTCTCAAAAATTATCTGTGAAACTGAAACAGATTTTTTTTTTGGGGGAAAAGGGGGGGGGGGGGTCTCTGTCAAATAGTTAACATACAAATATAATACCGACTTCAATCCTCACAAAACTTATTTCTCTACTAATCTTCATCAAGAACCCTAGAGATCAAAAGTTTGACAATAAAATACATAAAGGCATCAAAATACAGACCAGTTTACTTTTTAGATGGTTTAAGGCCGCATATAAGGCTTACCTTTTTTGGTTTGCAAATAGTTCTACTTCATCTTTGCTTTATAAATCAGTTAAGTTGCTTCGGTTGCAGTTAATATAGTTATCTGTTGTTTTAATGGCTACCAATGCCACGTATCGGTAGAAGTGCTTTGTCAGTGATCTGTTTGATCAGATGCATTTCTTATATTAAAAAAAAGTACAAGTCCATGGATATTGTAATGCTTTGCCTATTAGTAAGTGAATAAAGGTCTTTAAGCATCAGACAAAGTTTTTTTAGCTGGGTTGTTTTTGGTACTAACATTTTATATCTGTCCTTTTTATATTTTTCCGTATTCAATGTTTCTATGATCATCTGAACCAACGGTTAGATTCTATATCATTGAACCGTCTAAACTTTTGTCTTTGGACATTTTTTATTTCTCAATAGCGGTTTAAACTATTTACCGTAAATAAGGTCTATTATTCAAAAATTATAAATGTATATTTTGAACTTTTAAACGCATGTTTGTAATGAATAAAAGCATTAAAGACATCTTTATGGCTAAAATACATGCACAAATGAATATATATATCATTGCTGGATATTGGATAAGATACATTAAAGAAAAAAGTTATTCAGTTATGGCTATTTCTAACAAGATAATCAATAGAAATGCCTATAATATCGACACGTATTATATATATATATATATTGTTTTCAATTTAGACTTATATATATATATATATATATATTATCAAATTAAAAGTAGTTTCCTGTTAATAGATATATAGAAGTTGTTTAAGTGTTTTACCTACGTCCTAGCAGTATTCTTGATTCAGATTACTAAAACTTATATATTTCATTTTTTGTTTCTATGTTGCACAATTAAACAACATTCATTTTTTGGGCACGATTAATAAAGCTTCTTAAATTGGTGTCCAGGTAACAATTACGTAACATGCGAAATATTGCCGAATTTAAGGACGATAGAACATAATATTGCAAGGGTATCTCGGGTTTTTAAATTGATCCTAGTACCTCCAAATTAGAAATTTGACTCTCCTGGTTATTTGGATGTATAAATACGCAGTCACGTCCGAAAAAAATTGCAATTTGAAATATTCGGCTTTGAGCGTTCCTGGTGGAGGTAAATCGAGAAGAGTGTTTCGGACGCATGACAATTATAAAGTGTTATTTTCATTTTTACAGCACTGGGTCAATATTCTTGCTGGTGGACTTTCAGTCCCCGAGGGTATCATCAGCTCAGTAGTCACTTTGGTACTGATATGGTTTATAACAGAACTTCCCAAAATTGTCCGTTTATAATTTTAGAAATTATTAAGAAACTAAGGTTTCAAATCCCTTAGGCAAAGTTGACCTTAGATGGATTTGTCTATTATTTTAGGTCCTTTTTGGTCATATAGCTCTACAAATGTTTCGGTTCTTATACATCCTTTGCGTTCAAATATTCGGATTTGAGCATTCCTGATGATGTTAAAGCCAGAAAAGCGCATCGGACGCATGAAATTTATATAGAGTTGTTTTCATTTTTCTGTTGCACTAAATTCGAAGTCTCGTATAGTTAAAGAGCCACACTTCCAGTGCCTTGAAGACCCTTGCAATAACTTGTGAGTGATCCGTAGATGGCCTGTTTCTGATAAAATTTATGTCTACCATGTATCCAACATGCATGTACATGTACTTTCATATTTTCAGTGGCAGTGTTATTACCCTGCCCTTTTTCCACGTCGGCCCACTTTGCGAAGACTACCTATCAGATTAATTGTTTTAATTTGTTCTCTGTCTGAATATGCATGACATACTTGCGACTGGATTTTAAGCAGACAACAATCAACCAGAGAATGGACACGAAAACATTTGAAGCAAGTTAACAAAAGTTTAACTTGTAAGAAAAAAAAGATATATAAGAAATAAATGGAACTTTTAAAGCTTATTATGATACCTCAAGTTTTAATAATATATTTTCTTATACATTTGTAAAATTACTGATAAATAAAGGACTGCAGAAAAAGGCTTTTGTTAATAGGCAAGCATACACAATGGTAGTCTATAATATATGTTTATTGTTGTTATATTCAAACACAAATTTCTCTGAAACTGACATTATCAAGATGTATGATTTCTTGATTGACAACATATTTGTTACGTTTGGAGGACTTTTTTTTTTCAACAAACAATCGACATGCCCATGGGAACCAACTGTGCTCCTCTACTTACCGACTTGTTCCTGTATTCATATGAGGCTGACTTCATACAGGAACTTCTTATGAAGAAAGAAATGAAGTTAGCAGTATCCTTTAACTTCACTTTCTGATCTAAAGATGATGCTCTCTTACTAAATAATTCAAACTCTGGTGACTATATGCTGAACGCATCTATCCCATCGAACTTGAGATAAAGGATACAACAGATACAGTTAAGTCTGTCTCAAATCTTGACTTACATCTAGAATTTGACAATGAGGGTCGATTGAATCAAAACTTTACGATAAAAGAGATGATTTCAGCTTTCCAATTGTGAACTTTTCATTTCTAAGTAGGAACATTCCAGCAGCGCCTGCATACGAATTATATATCTCCCAGTTGATACGATATTCCAGGGCTTGTATTTCCTATCATGATTTCCTTGATATAGGGTTGCTGCTCACAAGGAAGCTATTAAACCAAGAGTTCCAAGTGGTGAGGTTGAAATCATCCCTTCGTTAATTTTATGGACACCATCATGAGTCGGTTGACCGTTATGGAATATATGTTTCACAGATGACAACGGATATGTTCCAACTTTGTCGTAACTACAATGCCGTCCCCTTTTCCCCGAGTGAGACCTACCGAATTAGACTTATCACCGGGTTTGTACTAACATGAGCAACACAAGTGGTGCCACATGTGCAGCAGGATACCCTTCCAGAGAACCTGAGATTACCTCAAGTTTTTGGTGGGGTTCATGTTGCTCAGTCTTTAGTTTTCTATGTTGTGTTTTGTGTACTGTTGTTTGTCTGTTTGTCTGTTTGTCTTTTTCTTTTTTAGCCATGGCGTTGTCAGTTTATTTTCGACATGTGAGTTTGAATATCCCTTTGGCAGCTTTCGCCTCTCTTTTATACACATATGCACGGTTCTACAATCTGTCGATACCTATAGTTTGGCATTACAAAAGGTCATGTTTTTTCGGACTTTTAATGACGTCTTTACACTAAATCCATTGGATGTCGGATATGTACTGATTAATATTTTAGTCATGATTTTTATTAGTTGTTATTGGCTTTAGGCTCCATGTTGAAGACCGTACTCTGACCTATAATGGTTTACTTTTATAAATTTTGACTTGGATGGAGAGTTGTCTCATTGGCACTCATACCACATCTTCTTATATCTATTTGAACTAGCTGCTGTTGTCAGTAACTGCGAGTACTCTCATATCTGTACTTTGTATAATTTTTTGCTGTGAAGGATGTATGAATTTCCTGCCACGTCCGATCTAATGAGCTAAGCCTTTCAACTGATTTTCCTAGGTTGTTCTTATGTCGAACTGTTACACCACTGTGCCAGGTTTTTTTTTTGGGGGGGGGGGGGGTGGCGACAGCAAACATGTTTAACCCCACCACATTCTGCACATTCTGTATGTGTCTTTCCCAAGTCAGGAGCCTGTAACTCAGTGGTTGTCGTTTGTTGTTGTATATCATATTTGTTTTTCGTTTATAGTTTTGTACATAAATCACGCCGTTAGTTTTCTCGTTTGAATTGTTTTACATCTGCATGACATTTCTGGGTCATTTAAAGCTTGCTATGCGGTGTGGGTATTGTTCAGTGTTGAAGGTCGTACGGTTACCTATATTTGTTAACTACTACGTCATTTGGTCTCTGGTGGAGAGTTGTCTCGTTGGCAATCATACTACATCTTCGTATTCTTATATTAGCTGAAATTTGGCTTTGATTAAGATCTCAGTAACTGTAAATATACTCTTATCGGTCGATACTTTGTGCTTAATACCAGTATGAGTCAACCTCCTTTTTCAACTTATTTTACAGTTTGTTCGAATATCGTGCTGTTGCACCATTTCCCCAGGGTTTGGGAGATTTAGCGCTAACAAACATGAGTAACTGAGCAATATCATTCATGTGCCTTTTATAGCTTACAAGAGGTTTTGGTTTTTTATTGTTGAAACTGTACGCTGACCTGTAGCTGTTTAATAGTCATTTGCCATTTGGTCTTTTGATGGAAAGTCGTATCATCGGCTATCTCGTTATTTTTATACATAAGGGAGCTACCATTTGATTTTTATGGGGGGGGGGGGGGGGGCTAGGATGAAATTTGAAAAAAAGGCAGGACAGGAGTTTTGAGTAAAAAAAAAGGGAGGATGAGACACTTTGCCAAAAAAAAAAGGCAGGATGACAATTTATGTAAAAAAAGTCAGGATAAACTAATAAAAAAAAGGCAAGACCGAATAGAGTGAAATATAAAAAGCCAGGACGGAGATTACAACTAAAAAAAAAATGCAGGACAAAATTTCCCCCCCCCCCCCCCCCCATAAAAATCAAATGGTAGCTCCCTATCGGCAAGTTGCATGAAACCAGTTTTCTGAATTTGACTCTCTTTTTCAGTTATTCTATGCGCAATTATGTAGGACATATACACGTTCTATATAATGTAGAAAACTTCGAAATAACTTTTTTTCTGTAACACTAATAAAGTCGAGAAAACATAAATACAACAAATACGTATAAAAAACATGCGAGGTACACGTCAAACAGTCAACATGCTGGTTTCAAGGAAGTCAATCAATCAATTTTTGTTTATCAACTTATTATGAAGTTAGATGGATCGTCAAGCTAACAAAGAGAACTTTTTTTCATGAACAGAACCCTTTATTGGTCTATCCCTGACAACGGTGTATATTGTTATTTTATTTTCCAATACTTGATACTCTATACTCTAAACCGGAATTTGCTTGTATTTGCGCTATGCTCAACGAACAAAGCGTAGTAGTCAGCCGAAAACCAGTTTTACTCTATATACTTTGTAGCTACTACTGCTCCTGGTTAGTACCAGAGGTAATCGTCCTCCCAGTTTGTCAGTTTTGATCGGATACATTTTCATAGAAACTCACCGTTTTGGTGGCTTTCTATTTTGTTTTTGTTTAATTGGTGGTACTTTTTCGTTTTGAGTGGGGTAAAAGACAAAAGGAAAACGGAATGAAAGGGAAAGAAGCGAAGAAAACAATTAAGAAGGAAAAATAAATTACAACAAAAAACAAAAATAAAAATGGTAACTTTATAATAGCTGGACTCTTAACAAAATAAAAATGGTAACTTTATAATAGCTGGACTCTTAACAAAATAAAAATGGTCAAATTTTAAAACTTTAATAAATTTACCATTTTAATTTTTATTTTTTGTTGTAATTTACTTTGTTTTATTGTTTTTCTTCTCTTTTCTCTTTTATATATATATTTAGTTTTCCTTTAGTCTTTCTTTTTATACTCCAGCTTTTATAAATTAACCATTTTATCTTTTATTTATTATATGTAATATTCTTTTCTTTTTTTATTGTTTTTCTTTGCTCTTTTCCCTTTTATTTAGTTTTCCTTTTGTCTTTTTTTTTTAAAGTCCATCTATTATAAATTCACCATTTTTATTTTGGTTTTTTTTGGAAATTATTTTCCTTTTAAATGTTTTTCTACATTTAGTGTATTTAGTGTTCCTTTTTTCGGGTTCTTGTGAAAATGTGTTAATTATTTGGTAACGTTATCCTGTTCAGTACTTTTACTTTTTGTGTATTGGAATAGCAAAAGGTCACACCATTTTGGACCAAATAATGAAACAAAACAAAATCTATCAAACCAGTAATTCTTCTGGAAATCGGAACAGATATGTTATATAACCATCAGCAACTATAATTTGAAAGTCCCTAGTCAAATTGGATGTTTTGCAGTGTATAAAGAGATCATAATGATTCCGAGGACCAACAAACAACAAATGGTAATGTAGCAGAATGAGATCCAATACCATACTCGGGAAATAATTTTAGAAATTTTCTTAAGTATAGATACATGTTCACTTGTAACATATTACACTTTTTGTGAATTATTCAAAATCTTAATCATCTTGAATACACTATAATAAGTTGTGCCTAAAGTATTCATTTGTTTTTGTATCATTCCATGTATCTACACTCGAGACAATTTTCGGTCAGTCTGTGTATTTTTAAATATATACAAAAAGGAAATACTTAGAAAATACCATTTATTAACATTGCAGCGAATTTTCACGCCATTTATGCTATTTTACAATATATATTTACAAATAAAACTTTCAACAAAAATAATTAACATTTAGCACATAAAAAATAAATATCAAACAATATAAATACGCGAAAAAAGTTCTTGCAAAGATTTACCTGGAGTTCTGAGACAGTTTGATAAACACGCGATTAGTAACAAAGTTATTGTCCTATTATGTTGCTTGAAGCCTTAACTGTCCTGGATATTGCGGTGCACAGTAAGGATTCTGCTGCAGTGATGAATAGTTCGGCAAATTGTTGGTAAAACTACTTGTTAATGCATTGTTCGATGGTGGTACGGAATGAACGTTTGTACCAGACAGATATCCTCCTCCTAAAGAACCAGTCAGTGAGGAACCAAATGAAGAACCAAAAGAATTGGTGATGTTACCGGTGTTGTAGTAAGATGAATAGGCGGACGTTGATGGGGCATTCCAAGCTTCGGATTTCGGAGGAAGTCCATACTGCTGTGTTTGATGAAGGCCCTGTGGAAATGATGGCAATGCTGGTAATGGATATGGTTTGTATCCTGATGGTGGTCCACCATAAAGATTAAAATGTCCATATGAACTCACGTGTTGAATATGTGCCTGTTCTTCTTGTTGTTGTCTTTTTAGTTTAAATCGTTTGGCTCTTCTCAAGAAGCTCCCATTTCCAAACATGTCTCCGCATCCGGGATGTAAGGCCCAATAATTTCCTTTTCCAGGGCGCCCTGGTGCACGGGGAATTTTCAAAAAACAATCATTCAAAGATAAATTATGACGTATCGAATTCTGCCATCTTTGCTGGTTTTCTTTGAAGTACGGAAAGCGGTTCATAATGAAGCTGTAGATTTCGTTCAACGTCATCATTCCAGAAGTCGAACTTTCTATTGCCATGGTGATCAAAGCGATGTATGAATACGGTGGTTTAACATCAGCAAATCGTCTCTTATGTTGCGACATGGTTGAAGTTCCTGAAAATTGTCCATTATTTTCATCATCCTCTTCATCTGAAGAATTCATTGGAGAAGAGTCATTCTTTTGTTGATAAATATCCTCACTGCTTGTATCACAACTTCTCTCTGGAACCTCTGGTCGGGATGTTGAATGCAAGAAGCTGGAATCAGATAACATGCACGCAGGGTTTTCATCATTCATGTCGAATTTTCTATGTAGATTTTCCATAACCATTCTGCACTATAAAATTTTACTAGTTGCACTTCAAAAACGTAACTTCAATATTTTTTCAAATGTTCAAATATGTTTGTTCAACTCAAATCACTGAATTATAACAATAATGTTGTTTGGATAAGTAAAACTTTCGCTACTGAAAAAATATTTGGAAGAAGTTGTTTTAAGCTCGTGGGACAGTGGTCATCTGAATTTTGATTGGCCGACGAGTTCGTTTCTGACTTTTTACAATTTCAATTGACTTGTAGATATTCTTTTGAATTTTTTAATTACCTAATAATAGAGTTCATGAAGAGTAGCCAGTGGTCATTTGATTGACTAATTTAATCCCGCCCCTTTCTACACAACAATTGTTATGACATGTAACGGGACTTAATCCGTCCGCGGGCTGTTTTTAGGTAGACCAAGTTTTCTTCAACTTTGAGTCACAGAGTTATTGTTCCAGTTTACTTTTTAATTTCATATTATTTTCTTTATAAACATTTATTTTGCTTATTTTTCATGAAACAAATAACATTGACATTAATCATTCATTAATCAGACTGTACAAATTCTGTATTTATTTATTTTGAAATGAACACGGGTAAACATTAAAACAAATTGGAAAATATTTGAATTACAAGTAAAAATATTTCATGATAGTTTATAAAATATTTGTTTGGTTAGGAACGATTTAAAATTCAATATTAACATTACAATTGATAATTTAACAATAAATTTATCATAAGCGTGAATTTTTGAAATGTTGTTTTACTATGTGATACACATGTGTTATCCACCTGGGGCCGGTTTCACGAAGCTATCCTAAGACCTGTCATAAGATATATCTTAGGACATGTCTTATGATCCTCTTATGACTATCCTAGGACATATCTCAGACCTCGCCTCGAAGCTGTCTTAGGATGATCTTAGCAAAGATATCATAAACCTGTCGCAAGTTCTTTAAATTTTTAAATATTAACATTGATTTATGGAAAAATTCATGTAAATGTAGTATGTATTTCCCATAAATTACTAAGTGTATTGATAATTAGATAGTTTGCAAAATCAATATAAAAAATAAGTGTAATTTATATAAATAATCTATTGATAATATACTAATATACATATGAACTTTAAATACAAAATCGAGAAAAAGGAATAAAATTATAATTTTTTTTTTGTATAAGTGAGTTGAATTCAATTTGTCACTGTATCGGTTATAATAGGGTTAAAGGATAAAATCGTGCATTCTTGATACCAATACATCGAATGTTTATTGTTGACAAATCATGACAATCCGTCAACCAAAAAAGATTTAGTTGTGAGCCGGAAAAGGAGAATGGATAATTAGATAATAATAAGATAATTTACAAAATTAATATAAAAAATTAGTGTAATTTGTATAAATAAACTTATGACTATCCTAAGACCATCATAAGACACCTCTCGTGTAGTCCTAACTTTATGACCAACTTTAAGAGGTGTCCTAATTTAGGACCACTTTGTGAAACCCATTTAGGACTAAGATATGTCGTAAGACCATCCTAAGACATGTCTTAGTCCTAAGACAGCTTCGTGAAACTGGCCCCAGACTTCTTGAGTGAGATAAGTTAACGGGTTCATAGAATATTAAAGTTTATTTTCTATATTTTGTTTTATAAAATGACAGACATTCCTTATTCAACTGAATTACTGTAAAACTTTTATTTTTAACTTAATTATTCATTGTTTATCTTTTGAAAAACATCTGTTTTCGTGTATTTCAATTACAGCAATACTGTCAGAATCCAATACACGTGGTATAAATGAATAAGAATAAAAGATAAACAGATAAAATTTAACTCAAAGTAGTTTCAAAATTATTGAAAGCACCAATCCGTTGACAAACATTACAATTAATATACACATGTGCTAGCCACCATCTACCAGACTTCATGTGAGATATTCATATATAAGATATGAGAGTTCACAGAAAATTGATAGTTGTTTTTCCATTTTTTTGTTTTATGAAATGATAAACATACCTCATTCAACTGAATCATTGTAAAACATTTGTTTATACTTTATTAAGTGTTATTCTTTTGGAAAACTAGTTTAGTGTATTACAGTTACAACAATAATGTCAGAACCCAATACACATAATACTAGTGAATAGGAAATTGAGATAAAAAAAAACAAGATTAAAGTTAACTCAAAGCGGTTTCAAAATAACTAATAGCACCGACCCACTGATAAACGAAAAACACAAAAGTATCTTGATATTATAGAAAGTATGGGAGTTGGCTAATTCATATTGGATGGCGATGTAGGTACAATTAATACAAGTAAATGTTGACCTCTCCTTTTATATCGTCATGACAATATATATTTATTACCTTTGAACCGTTACTAAAGGGCTGGGTTCTTATAAAAAGTTGCAATATTGCAAACCACTAACTTTAAAATTTTGTATGTGTTGCTTCAGCGTTAAGCAAAGTCGCTTAAATTATGAATAACAGCGAAGATTGAACGGCTCATTATCAGAATCTCTCAGACATTAGGTAACATGTTTTCCTTAGCTAAATCTAGCATGTTATAGCTTTGCGACTCAAAGTGTTTTATAAAATGTAACGAATCCTAACACTATGGAAGTTACTAAGAAGCGTGCTTATATTATATATTTTGGTTTTCCTCGATTTCAAAAAGCCTTTAAATTCTAAAAAAATATTAAAGATTAGTTTGTCCACTTATAGTTCGAAAATATTATCCCGTATTTCAGAAGGTTTAATCGAATTTAAAATTCATAAACGATGGCTATAACTTCATAATTTTTTCCCATATTTTGAAAAAATAAATAGAAAAGACACTCCCAACCAATATTAAGATTCGCTACACAGTGTATGTTAGTACTGTCTTAGAAACAATACATTCATTTGGATTCAGGTTTCGCTAGATTTGAAAAGTTTACAAAAAATATTCATGTGACAGAATACTGTTTTGATTTTTATGCCTCTGGAAATTAAAATAAATACTTTATAAGTTTCTCTTTAGACTGTATAGCAGTCAAACGAAAGGTTTCGTCAACGTTCGAATTTTGACTTTAAGTGAAACAAAGACGGGAAAAATGAGCCAACCTATCAAAGTTTCATCATTTATTTTCAAGAAAAAGTCCTGCTTGAAATGATATTTGGAAGCGATACCGTCTGTTGCATTGATAAAGCCTACCACTGGAGCTTTACCGATGATTGTTTATTTTTATCTATTATTGACTGGGTTGAAACAAAATTCCTATAAATTGGGGGAAATATTTTTGGATAAGTCGTCTTTAAGGTTTTCATAGCATTTTCTATTTAATCGGTAAACATCAAATATTTCAATAATCTTTTTTTAAGTGTTTAATATTTACTAAATCCAATTACATTTTATGAGATCAAGATTAAAGATATTGTTTACATGGTAAACAATTTACTAAATAATGCAAATACAAAAAAAGGTACTTCAGATTAATTACGATCAGTCAGATTAGAAAAAAGTTAATTTGTATTATGAACTAACAAACAAACTGGATAGAGGATTATTGCGAGTAAATGTATATCTTAAGAGTTAAGTCGAACTTTTTACACATACATGGAAGTCGGTTGCTTTTGGGTAACAGCTTACTTTAATGCCTCAAAGAAAAATAAAACTTAAAACCATAGATTTAAGAGATTTTTGTCTCTTAACAAAATTTTAAGCACACAGTTTTTAAACGCTGCTTTCAGATATATTTTCCCAAAATTGTGAGTGGTATATTGCTGTCGGATTAACCTCGTAATTTTATATCTGAAACATATCATTTGTCAATTGATAACTAAATGCACTATATTTATTTATTTAATTGAACTGTAATTTTTTTTTATTTATTTATTTGCAATTGCAATTAGGATCTATTTTTTTCATAAAGAATATTAAACATTTAGTGTTTTATATTTAATCTGTTGACTCCTGTGATTCCAGCGACATTTAAAAAAAGTGCAATCGTCCCGCGCCGGGCATTGTAGTATCCATGTCGTAAGTTGAACTAATTCAAAGAAAAAATCTTTTTAAAATAGCTATAAAATGTCAATATGACTTTTGAAAAATAATGAATTTAGAGGTAGATGCAGTGCTTTTATTACTGTAACAGTTCGTTGTTTTGTTAGTAAATTGCATATACTTGAATAAAAGTATTTCGAGGTCCTTTTTAGCCTGTTTGCAAAAATAGCTGTGTTTTTTTTTTTAATGTCAAAACTTTGTGAGACCCGCATATCAAATCTATTTTATGTACCAAACCAGGATTTCAGCAGTGTAATTCTTACACGTATGATACGCTTAGCCTCGTCAAAATGGTCTGGGTCGTCTTAAAAAAACCCGAGAGATGTCATTCAATGACTGAATATCTGGCCTCAAATGTAAATACTATTATGTTTTGTACAAAATTTGCACATTTGGATATGAAAGTGAAGTCACAGAAACATATTTCTTTTAGGTCTGGAATAATATTTTCGTCTTTGCTTAGATTATCATGGAATATGAACATAACATAAATTTATATATGACTAAATTTAATTTCACCAACAGTCATTTTTATTATTATGAAATGTAAAAAATGCTAACTTTTTTTTTTATCATTTTTCATAATTAAATAAACAGACTGAATTATATAATATAAAGCATTTAAACAATACCATTACGTTAAGTACGTATACGGTTATTCAAATAAATAGATATGTTTTTATGTAAATATTGTCAATATTAAATATGAATACAAAGATGGATTATTATAATAATCATACGTTTTCTTTATTATCGTATTTTCGCTTTTTAATCGCAGAATATAAATGAGAAATTATATGAATAAATATTTGATTGCAGACACCTTATGTGTTGTAAGTACACTTTGTTACGAAAAAAGATATAAATATTTTTTTTGATATATTAACCGACAAAGAAATTGTTAATTTTAATTGGATTAATTCGTTTTAATCATTGCAGACATAGCTGGAAAAGGCGATCTCTTGATTTTCCCATGCCGCTTTAATTTAATTTTGAAGTCAAATTAATTGTATTGTTAAAAAAAATATATAATAACTTTTTTTTTGCAGTACCAAGGAGATTTAGTATTTTATGCATAGTT